AGGTAGCTTGTTATACATTTGTACTCCAAGAACCATGGGAGAGTTCGCGGTTAATTTTCTTTTAAAAGTGGGGATTTAGAAAAGGTCATTATCACGTAAATTATAACTATGTGTGTCCTTGTTCCTAATCAGTTTATGAGAATAAGTGAAGATTAATTTACAATTTTCAAAAATTAATAAACTAGGAACCGTTAAGATTTCCAGATCTTTAAAGAGACTCTGCACGAATGAAATTTTGACACGTTTGCAATTGTTCTTATAATGCGCTTTTGGGCAATGAAAATAGCATGCGAGTGAGTAGACGAACCCCATAGACATATCTCATATCGTAGGATGGACTCCACAAGCGAGTGGTATATATTAACGAGTTGATTTAGAGTTAAGACGCGTCTGAGATTTCTAATTAGGTAATTAACCGAACTCAATCTAGCTGCGAGTTTGGAGCAGTGTACTTTCCAGCTTAAGTGGTTGTCAAAATGTAGACCCAAAAATTTAGTGGTGGAAACATCTTGCAGAGTGTTGTCCTCTATTTGTAGAGCGACAGGGTTAATGGTTTTTTGTGGGTGATGAAAACGAACATAATTGGTTTTGCTTGCATTTAGAACAAGTGAAGCTTCCTTGAACCAAACACTAAGCTTATGCAAGTAATTATTGCACAAGTTTGTGAGTAATTTCTCGTCATGGGACACCAGCATGACGTGTCATCCGCATATAAGAAATGGGGTACTTCTGTCCCGAGGAAAGTGGGTAGATCATTTATATACAGCAGAAACAGCGTTGGTCCCAGTACCGATCCCTGCGGGACCCCAACATTTGTAACTTTATTCTGCGATTTAAATATTTGCTTGGTGCCGTTTACTAGTCCGGTAATAGAAACATACTGTTCCCTGTTGTAAAGGAAAGAAGAGATCCAGCTGAGTCCAACACCTCTGATGCCATAATTCTCTAATTTTAAGAGCAGCTTGTCAATGTGTACGCAATCAAAGGCCCTTGTAAGATCACAGAAGATCCCTATTGGACATTCTCCGTTGTCTATGTATTTAATTAGCTTACAATAAAAATTTTGTAGAGCGTCTGTTGTTGAGCATTTCGGTTGAAAACCAAACTGTTGTTTCGACATTAGTTGGTGTTTTGTAATGAAGCTTTGGAGGCGTTCAAGGAAACAATATTCAAATATTTTAGAGAAAGTGGAGCTGAGGGCTATTATAGGACGATAATTGTGTATACACTTATGATCTCCTTTTTTATAAATGGGGATAACGTTATTAATTTTTAACATTTTTGGAAATTCTCCCATGCTAAATGACAGATTTATAAGGTATGTCAGTGGGGATATTATTGATGGTAAAATTTGTTTTATAAGTACTGGTGGTATCCCGTCCGGACCGGTTGAGTGTTTATTTTTTAATTTGGAAATTATAAGGACTGATAGTTCACTAGTGGTAAATGGAAGCAAAACAAATGTATGGGGATTATTATTCATTTTTGGGATGTAATGTCGGTTTCTGTTTTGTTGATTATTATTTATTAGAGTTTGTGCTATATGACAGAAAAAGTCGTTAAAATGATTTTAGCACCTTATTTGGATAGTAGGAGCGGTTAAATATATTATATTGTTTCGGATAGAGAACCATTCTCAATATTACTTTGAAAAAGAATAGTTCTATGATCCGAAATACAATTATCTAAGGTCCTATATGATGCAGAGGCCTCAAAGTTTACATACAAATGGTCAAGATTCTTGTTGTTGTGTTTTATTTATTTAATCAATTTGAGTTGCAAACAGGACTAACCTAATATAGCAACTACATCGCATTGAAAAAAATATATATCAATACTAAAAGTGACATTCCACAAGCGTAATCAATATAAAAGCTTAAACAAGATTAACAGAATAAATTAAATTCATTTTAAACACATAAGTGATAAATTAGTTTGCAGGACACAAATGATGTGCTACTCAAATTCAGCAAAAAGTAGAGGCAAACAAAATATAATTACATAGTATAAAATAAAATTAAGATATAGTAAAATAAATGTGTATGGCATGATAGTAAATGCAACGCGATGTGTAGAAAAGGAAGAAGGATATATAACAAAGTTAATAAACAATATTTTCACTGAGGACTTTAGTAGCATTATTCCTACCAATTCCGTTTGAAATTATTTTCCAGTGGTACAAATAATTCGCTTTTTTTATAACAGAGAATGTTTGTCTTACCTACTAAACTGTCTCTAAATTCACCCCATCTAAAATTTGCACTCCACACTTCTTTTTGATACTTGTTACACTGTACTATAGTCGAGGGGGTAACATCTTCTCAAATTTTGTGACAGTATTGTGACAATCCCCATGATTTCCCTACGATTGCTGGCATTGTGACCACAATCCTGCGATTGCGATGCGATTGTCGGATTTTAGAGGATTGCATTGTGATTGCATGTGATTATGAATGATTGCAGACGATTGTAAATGATTGCAGGTGATTGTGGGTGACTGACACAGATTTCTGGTAGCTGCTCAAGTTGCTATACACGGGCATTACGTAAGCAAGAAACATATTCATTTATGTTGGCTATTAGGGAATTCTTAGTTCGTAACAGGTACTTTTAAACACACAAATAAGAAGTTAAAAAGGTAATCGTAAATTTATAAAAAGCGCATTACTCGGCGCATTGCAATTGCATTCATTTCCCATACTGTAAGATGCAAGCAAGCAAACTTAAACTTAAAATTTCGTAAAAATCCGGCCACAAATAAGAAAGTTAGCGTTGCACATGTGCAATCCATTTTTGACTTGCTGCTTCAATTTCAGTTTATAAAAAGAACTCTACCCTAAAATGTCAGGGTATTTCTGGGCATGCGCAAAACAAATTATTTGATTTGGCGTTAGTTTCATCTTTATTCGAGATGCCTACATACAAAATTTCATTTCAATAACTTAACAAATAAAAAAAATTCGATTGCGCATGAGCCCAACATATTTTTTGACTCGGCACTAGTTTTACTTTAGTCGAGGCCGCCATCTACATCTACAAGCCTACATAAAAAGTTTCATTTAAGTATTTAACAATTAAAAAAATGGATTGCGCAAATACAAAAGCTATCGTGCACACGGACGGACAAACAGACAGACAGATACACTGACAGACGGCCATACAGCCAGACAGCAATACAATACAATCTCAAAAAAATGGGTTTTTTACCATAACTTTGTTCGTAAGCGGCACAGAAAAAATTCCTTCCTTGGTGCAAACCTTGACAGCATAACGAACCAATACCGAAAAGAGTAGAAAAACTAGAGACGGACGGGCAAAGTGGCCACAATAGTAATTTTTTTTTATTTTTGTGGAAATGTGCTAAAAAGAAGAGTATTTCAATGGAACAAGTTCTATACAATCAGATAAATCTAATAGGGGTGTGGCCCACTCAAATCACACATACCGAAAGACAAACTAAGTGGTATGTGCTCTTTCTGGGCCAATGTTAAAAAATGGCACAATCAAAATTTGAAAACATTCGCTCGCTTACAGAGATACAAGGGAAAATCAAAAATTGTCAATATCAGAATGAAAAGAGAAAAAATGTTTATTACAAAATTACTTGCTGGATAATCTGCCGTTTTGAAAATAGGTTACATATACGATGTCCGCAAAAAAGTTACTGGACTGGAAAACAATAAATTCAAAATTATTAAAAAAGAATTAAAACATTTAAGAAAGGTTCAAATATTAAAAAACAGCAAAAATGAAACATTTTGAAATTTTTTGAAAAATCTAATATTGCACTTTTTTAAATTTCTTTAGTGTTATATTTCTAGAAAGTGAATTTAATATGCTCTTTTTCAAATGAAATATACAGAACATTCCACTAAAAAAAAATGACGTTAGGTCAGGGGTTAGCTCGGGGGTTAGGTTCTATAACTTTTTTACCTTATCCCGTACACCTATTTTAAAACGGCACATTATTCAACAGTCTTATAAAGAAACTTGTAAAAAAATCTTGCTATCTCCTTTAATAAATATAGGTTCATTCTGAGATTTACAATTTTTTGAATTTCCTACGTGCATTTTTAAATTGAAATATTTTAATCAAAAACTAACATATTACGAATCTCTTTTCCAAAATATAACACTACAAAAATTCAATATTGATTTCAATAGATTCAAAAGATTTAAAAACCGAAAGATTCAAATTTTTTTTGAAATTTTGTTGTATTTATCAAATCGTTTGACCTTTTTTTAAATCTTTTTTGATCCCTTTTTGAATCATCCTTAGTGTATTATGTTTTTTAAAAGTTAATATGCTATATTTGTAGATTATTAAGCGGCAGAGGAAAGCGATGTAAGCTTTATAGGGAAGTTGATGGTGTCCGTCTGTCCGTCCGTGAACTCCATAACTGCCAAACCCCAAACTTTGCACAGTTAACATATATGCCACATGTAACAAGGCAATTGAAAATGAGTCAAATCCAATCATGCGTAGGGTTACTCCGAGGTGCTGTGCCGCTTTTTTAGATCCGCTTTAGGGGTTTATTAAGTAGTACAGGGCTTTCCATTTAAAAAAATAAAGTTAGGTGCAATAACTTTTTTGCCTAACCCCGCGTGGCGTGTGATTGTACCTAAAAACAGGCGAGGGCGTGCACGATTGCCAATGTGATTGTCAGATTGTCACAACGATTGCGGGATTGTTTTAGGCGATTGTGAGATTACAAACGCGATTGTGGGACTGTGAGGGAGATTTCCACAGCAATCAGAGGGATTGCAAGCGATTGCAGACAATTTGTGACAGTATTGCGGGAAGATGTTACCCCCTCGACTATAGTATAAGGTTGTCCAATCAAATGCTGTTATAACACAAATATTTATAAATTCTTTTAATTTTATGCTTGCATACGGATAGTCTGGGCACATGCCCTTTTCCACATGGGTGAGTTGACCTTACAATTTTAAATTGTCATAGCGCACTCTTTTCCTTGCTAATTGTTGTCTTCTTGCAGGTGATGAACCAAGATGTCAAGAAGGAGAATCCACTTCAGTTCAAATTCCGTGCCAAATTCTATCCCGAAGATGTAGCCGAAGAACTAATTCAAGATATTACACTACGCTTATTCTATTTGCAAGTTAAGAACGCGATTTTATCAGATGAAATCTATTGCCCGCCCGAAACGTCGGTACTTTTGGCCTCGTACGCGGTTCAAGCGCGACATGGCGACTTCAAAAAAGGAACTCACAGCGCTGGCTTCCTTGCAAACGATAGACTTTTACCTCAACGGTAACGCCCTTATCGTTAAAGAGTGCGCGTGGCTTACGCTGTTTGTTGCAGAGTTTTAGACCAACACAAAATGTCGAAGGAGGAATGGGAACAGAGCATAACAACTTGGTGGCACGAACACCGTGGTATGCTGCGCGAGGATGCCATGATGGAATATCTTAAAATTGCTCAAGATTTGGAAATGTACGGCGTCAATTACTTCGATATCCGCAACAAGAAAGGCACAGAGCTTTATTTAGGCGTCGACGCGCTTGGTTTGAATATTTACGAAAGAGACGATAGGTAAAGTTTCCCGTTGCTTCAACAAACGTGGGTCAACTTTTGTTTATAGGTTAACACCGAAAATTGGTTTCCCGTGGTCCGAAGTTCGAAATATTTCCTTTAATGATCGTAAATTTATAATAAAACCTATAGATAAGAAGGCCCCAGATTTTGTGTTCTTCGCTCCAAGAGTACGTATCAACAAGCGAATTTTGGCATTGTGCATGGGAAATCACGAACTGTACATGCGCCGTCGTAGACCCGACTCAATCGATGTTCAGCAAATGAAAGCTCAAGCGCGTGACGAAAAAATTGCTAAGCAACAACAGAGGTAGTTTAAACGCCTTTTCGGTGCATTTGCATGATGTTTCTGTTTCAGAGAAAAATTGCAACAAGAAATTGCCGCTCGTGAACGGGCCGAAAAGAAACAACAGGAGTACGAAGATAAAATTAAAACGATGCAGGAGGAGATGGAGAGAAGTCAGGCCAGCTTACTAGAAGCTCAGGAGATGATTAAACGATTGGAAGATCAACTCCAACAGTTGCAAGCGGCCAAGGAAGAGCTCGAAATGAGACAGAAAGAACTTCACGCCATGATGGAACGTTTAGAGCACAACAAGTCCATGGAGGCCGCCGAACGTCAGAAATTAGAAGACGAAATTAAGATGAAACAAGAGGAGGTAATGCGTATCCAATTAGAGGTGGAAGCTAAAGATACTGAAACTCGACGTCTTCAAGAGGAGGTCGAGAACGCTCGCCGAAAGGAAGAAGAGCTGAAAGCCCAACAACTCGCCAATGCGACCAAGGGGCATCTTAAAGAGGAGAACATTCACGATGAAGATGATGAGTTAGTTAACGGGGACGTGAGTCGAGATCTGGACACAGATGAAAACATAATAGATCCTATTAATGAACGGCGTACGTTAGCAGAGCGCAATGAAAATCTCCAGGGCCAGCTTTTGGTGAGTATTAGACAAATAATTGATCTTGATTTTTTGAAGACACAAAGTTGACTGTCTTGTTTAAATTGTACTTGTAATGCCAGAATGATTTGTTATCATTTAGTATCAAAGTAACATATAAAGTGACATTCACAAGGGATGTGGTGTTCCTTCTCGTCGTCCTGCGGTGTATGCGTTTGCTTAGTTTGCAGTGCTCACAAGTAACCTCAGGTTCCTTCTTGATGAGATTGTCCTTTGAAGGCTTCTCTCACATGGCGACAATGTACCATCACGTTCTACCGGGCTTGGAGTGGTCCACTTAAATACCTCTGCCATTTAGCAACCCCTTACTTTTCAGATGCAAGGATGTCAGAGCGACCTGCTCTCTCACGTGGAGATCATCTAGTGGAGGCAGGCCCAGAAGGGCCTCCATGGCGGCTGTGGGAATTGTTGCATCGCGCTTGTGCAAACGAAGAACAAAAGTTTTTGACCGGTCTCAAGTTAGCCCCCCCCCCCCCCATTTCTGAATTTTGAAAATATTTTTATGCCAATCGTTTGTGGTCGTTTGTTGGTTACATTTTAACGTTTGTTGGTTGACCGATATTTCATTATTCAAATTACAACATTTGGGCGTATAGTTAGCCCCCCACTTTTTGAATTTTCAAAATATTTTTATTGCAATCCTTTGTTGGTGTTTGTTAGTTACATTTTCACGTTTGTTGGTTGATCGTTATTTAATTATTCAAAATTCAAAAATTTGGGCGTATAGTGGCCCCCCACTTTTGGAATTTTCAGAATATTTTTATTTTAATCGTTTGTTGGTGTTTGTTAGTTACATTTTGACGTTTGTTGGTTGACCGTTATTTAGTTATTCAAATTTCAAAATTTGGGCGCCCCCCACTTTTTGAATTTTCTAAATATTTTTATTGCAATCGTTTGTTGGAGTTTGTTAGTTACATTTTCACATTTGTTGGTTGATCGTCATTTAATTATTCAAGAATTCAAAAATTTAGTGTCCATGTCGATGTAACGTTTTAACTTTCAAATAAGCTACGTATTCGATTATTATTTCTGTTTGAAATTTCGGATATGAAGGTTGTTTTGGGTAGGGGTGCCTGCCAAATCAATGTTACGTAGAAATTGTCTTCTTAAAAATCATTGATGTGGTTCACGACTTTCTCAAGTTGGTTTTACATCAACGATAAATTGACAAATTTCTTGTTCAAGTCGCTTTGACAAGAAAACATGACAGAATTGGATGCAGTGCAAATTCAGTGGTACCAATTACCATCAATCAGCATAAATAATTAAATCAAGATGTTTTCGTCACTTTCATGAGCTATATTTATAGCTAATATAGTACTTTTTTCTTTTTCTATTCTGTAATCTTCTATTCAAGACAGAGAAAAACATTTTTACACTTTTCACTTTTTTTCTACACAATTTAAAAAAATGACAACCTAACCTTAAAATAATTAATGGTTGGTGAAGTACCGGGTTCAGTTCCTTGGCTATATCTCTGGAACCGTTCGTCGTATGACTTGGGGGTAAAAAATTATTGGGTAAATCGGTCATGAAGAACGCTGGAAAATATTTTCAAGTTCTAAAAATGACCACCAGAGGGTGTAACTGCCATCTTAAATTTTAAAATTGCATTTTCTTTAAGTTTCGCATAATAAACTAAACATTATTTTTTCACATTTTTAAAGAGAACCAGTTTATCTATCATTTTCGTAAAAACCAAAAATTCAGTTATTTCAAAAACAAAGTTATTGCAATAACCTGCTTTAACTTCTTAGCTCGATTGTAACAAATTTGGTATCGTTGAAAAGAGCATTCCTTGGGCAACAAGAATCAACCAAAATATAGGTAATTTAGTTGAATCCTTCTCCGCCAGGGGGCTAGTTTTGACACTATGATCCAAAATCCTAAAAAAAATCAAATGGAATATGATTTTTTCTTTATGAAAAAGTAAAATAAAACTCAAAGAGGCCAGTGAAAACCGTTTTTCAAATTCTCGTTCCTAATCTCAAATATTGGGAAAATGACATTAATTAATTAATTAATAAAAATGCTTAAATTGTATCTTATTTGACGTATTTCCGGTATTGGTCGATGGCGCGAAAGGTTGTTTGGAAAAGGACTTAGGTAGGCCTTGGAAAATTAAACAAACGAAACATGATGCATTATAAAATAATAACAGCTCTAATTTGTAAATTATTCTGCTGTGTTTACATTCAGAAAGTGGAGTTTTTTGAATTTGTAATTTTTTCTAAAATGCCGATTTCTAACCAAGAAGCATTTAATATGCTGGCGGCGATGGTTTGTGGTCGATTTGGATAATGCAAGTATAAGATGCGGGCAGCGATGGTCGGATTATTTTGAAAATACTCAAAATATATCGCCAGCATATTAAATGCTTCTTGGTTAAAAATCGGCATTCTAGAAAAGGTTACAAATTCAAAAAACTGTACTTTCTGAATGTAAAACACAGCAAAATAATTTACAAATTAGAGCTGTTATCATTTTATAATGCCTCATGTTTCATTTGTTTCATTTTCCAAGGCCTTCCTAAGTGTAGGGTGCTTTTCTTTCGCGCCATCAACAAATATCGGAAATACGTAAAAAGTAAATTTAAGATACAAATTAAGCATTTTAATAATTAATTAACCCAATATTTGAGGTTAGGGACGAGATTTTGAAAACGGTTTTCACTGGTCTCTTTTGATGGCTTTTTCATACAGAAAAAGTCATATCATTCCATTTGATTTTTTTAGGATTTTGGGTCATAGTGTCAAAACTAGCCCCCTGGCGAAGAAGGATTCAACTAAATTAACTGTATTTTCGTTGATTCTCATTGCTCAAGGAATGCTCTTTTCAACCATACCAAATTGAAAAATCGGTCACACCGTTAAGAAGTTAAAGAAGGTTAAAGGCAAAAACAAACGAACTCCCCACACCATCTTTGTTTTAGAAATAACTTGTTTTTGTTTTTACGAAAATGATAAATGATAAACTGGTTCTCTTTAAAAATGTGAAACAAATTTTTTTATGTAGTTTATTGTGCGAAATTTAAAGAAAATGCAAATTTAAAATTTAAGATGGCAGTTACACCCTCTGTTGGTCATTTTCAGAACTTGAAAATATTTTCCAGCGATTCTTCATGACCTTTTTTTACCCCTAAGTCATATGACGTTCTCGAGATATGGCAGAGGAGCAGTCTTATTGGGTCACCCGGTACAATGACTTTAAAACAACAAGAAATTGATGTAAAACTAGCTTTATTTATATTTTCAATATCAAATTGACTTATTCATGTTTGCTGGTTCTAACTGAAATGCTTATCAGTTAATTTATTCGCAAAACGAATTAACAGTTCTATTCAATTCGTGTGGAATTTTGAAGGACTCTATTTTTCCATTATAGATTATCACTAGATTTTGGAAATTGACTTGACAAAACCGTACCATGAATTCAACTGTTAAGGTCAGTTTTTAAACGATTTTCTTCATTTCAGACCTTAAAGCAAGATCTTGCACAGCTGAGAGACGAAACAAAAGAAACCGCAATGGATAAAATTCATAGGGAGAACGTTCGTCAGGGCCGAGATAAATATAAAACTCTACGCGAAATTCGCAAGGGCAACACTAAACGTCGAGTGGATCAGTTTGAAAATATGTAAACTTGCGTACTGATATAACTCAATTTGGGCTTAACAATTATACATTTATATAAATAACTCACAAATGCTCAATAAGAATTTTTATTACCGTACATTTCAGCATTTATACTTACTAGATAAGTATTATTCTCGTCCGTCACAAAATCAAAGTGGTGCCTACAGAGGGGCCTTTAAAATACGTTTAGTCATCTGTTCTGTCATGAAAAAAAATTTGAAATGCATTGTGATAACCATCTTCTTGCTCTTTCGGTAACTCACTTTGTAAAGGCATTCCATTTAGAGATTTATTTTAAAAGCAATAGTAGTGTCCTTGAGTTAGTGCCATTTTTTTAATCTCCACGCGGCTTGTTTTCTCAACTGTGTTCATTTTTAAGATCATTTATGACTAAGGAGGTTTAAAATTGTTACCCAATATTATTGTGTTGCATAAATGATCTTAATATGGCCAGTTTGCATATTACAGAAGCATTTAATTTCTCATTAAGCATTAATTTTTGTTGTTAATTTTAGGCATGCCAATAACTGTTGTAAATCTCGATCATAAACAGGTGCTTCCCTATAAAATGTATATAAGTGACACTCAGATATTTTAATACCTATTGTAGGATAATGAACTACGGCGACTAGCCTCCATTCATAGCCTATTTTTTAATGTATATAAATACCGTTGTTGCCTTTTGCCTTTTATATTATTAGGTTTGGAAGATATTTACTGTAGTTTTGTTTTTTTTAATCGCGTTTATTCTGATTTTTAATAATTGTATAAAAATTAATTTTTAGTTATGGAATTTAGGTACACATTTTAATGTTTTCTAATTATCAAAAGTGTTGACTGTATACATCATTTTATATAGAAGAACTTTTCTGGCAGTATCACACATCAAACTTGTGTATTACACTTTCTTAAAACCACATTTATAGTTTTATTGTACTTTAAGTTAGTTATTTTTTGAGTTAATATTATGTATGTAGGGCAAAACAAAAATATATTATTACTAGGATTTCAGCATTTTAATATTAGAATAAGCTTCTTTAGGCTTTCTGGGAATTTTGTAAAATTGTGTCAATCTTGTAAATGATGAATGAATTATCCACATTTACTATTCAATGTCACTGAAGTCGTTTTTGGATTTTTTTCGTTTTTTGAGTTTCAGTAGGGACTATAATTTTGTGTTATTTCACTGAAAAGTATAGATAAAAACGAAAAAAATGACACCGAATAGAACTACATATGATAAATCTTTGAAGGACAATTTTCATTTGAAAAAAAGAAAGCTTTTTGCCGAAAAAGACGAAATATTTCGGAAACCTCTTAAATTTTTATATTGAAAAAATGTGTACTTATTTGAATCATAAAATTGTACATTTCAACCAAGTCTCGTTAAAAGAAATTTTGGCGGAAATGAACAATAAAAAACAAAAAACAAGTTTTTCCTCGATTGTTTCCGTTATTTTGAGGTTATGTTTATGTGGAAAGTGACTGGAAAGAAAGGTGTAGAGTTTTTCACGATCTACAACTTTTCCTTTGTCTTTGATCTCAACTTTTGCCAGAAATTATCGTCATACGAATTTCACCCCTTTTTACCCTTTTTATTGTATTTGTTATAGACCATTTTAACATATCCACTTGGCAAAGCTCCATTAACAATTTTCTTTTGCAGAAGGTCCAATTTGCCTGAACTACTAACCATCTCTCTTTTTAAGTGTTCTAATCTGTTTACACTCCCTAACCTCCTCACATTCCATGTTCTTAATTGCAGAAGCCTCGCCCGTAAAACGGTCCAAATGGTAGTGCTTTCCGATCACTGTCCTGCAGGAGCTTTCGGGAATGGTGATGATGCTGGTAGTTGATAAAATTCTCTCAAGAATTTTCATTTTTTTTAATAAGTAAGCCATGAATTTAGGAAAAACGTAAAAGATAGTACTCATTTCTCAAAATACCTATCTCTTCGTTTGCTGTATTAAATAATATTTTTAATAAAACTGAACCAAAACCAGTCAAAACTATGAATCATTGATTATCTCTTGAAATATTTCTCAGCTCCCCTCGTAATCACACTGTAAATAAATAAATTAGCACCTATAGATAATTCACAATCAATAGGTATAATTTTATCAACCTTTAGATAAGTGTAGTTCAGTCCTTGTAAGGTACTTTTAATACTATACTGTTTGGTTGCTAATTAAAAGTATATAAAACAAAAATGGTAAGTGCTATTTTAATTTTTAGCACGTTCCACAGTGGCCCAATGCATTACTTCAATAAATTTCAATCTAAGGAAAGTAGGCAATCGATAATTTTATCTGCCGTTATCTACTTATCGAATTTGATCCTTGCAGTTAATTTTTTGACCAACCTGCAAAATATTATGTGAACACATTATCTTAGGCTACACTGTCATTCAAGATTTGTCCCTTACCCCCACCAGTTTCCAAGCAGTAAAAAGGCTGCGTATTTTGGTTTAAAAAACTAAACCCATCCATGCCTTCACAGAATCGTGGGATGCCATGACCTTTGTAACCTTAGCCCACCCGATAAAAATCTTATGGTTTTCACTTTTTCAGTTAGGAACCGATGAATTAAATGTCTAAAAAAAATCTAATAACTCAATAACGATTCTAGGGGCGGAAATGATATTAACCTAATCATTTTTTCCAATTTCTATTTTTTTCACGCCACCATTTATAAATTATAGACAGAAATAAAAATTACAACAATGGACACGGAATTGGAATTTGCAGTTCCACCAAAAACAAAGGGTCGTGACCTTTTCATGCAAATTAGCCGCAACTTGGGCTTACGAGAAACTTGGTTTTTTGGTTTAATGTACAGAGGTCCCAACAACGAGCAAATTTGGTTTGATAGTTCCAAAAAGGTGAGAACGCTCTATATTTAATTGTGGAGGAATTTGTTTGACCATTTTAGAGCGTTGCCGACATCAAATTCAGTGCACGCAATCTTAAATACCGTGTAAAATACTATCCGGAGGATATTGGGCTAGAGCTAATCGAAGATACTACGATTCGTTATTTTTATTTGCAAGTGAGATCAACAATACTCTCGGATGAAATATATTGTCCACCAGAAACGTCCGTCTTACTTGCTTCATATGCAGCTCAGGAGAGACACGGGGATTACAACCCAAAAGTACATCAGAATGGCATTTTCAAAAAAGAAAAGCTCTTACCTGAAAGGTATGGCATTGTACTAGTTCTCGTACTGAAATGTATTTTTGTGTAGGGTCTTTCAACAACATACTATGTCACGAGAACTATGGGAAGAGAGTGTCTTAAAAATGTGGCAAAAACACACTGGTATGCTAACAGAAGATGCAATGACGGAATATCTCAAGCTTGCACAGAACCTCGAGATGTTTGGAGTGTCATATTTTGAAATTTTTAATAAAAAGGGAACTCAGTTGCTTTTAGGGGTCAGCGCCTTGGGACTAAATATTTACAAAGTGGAAGATAGGTAAGTAGTTCACGTTCTCACTGCCCGATCAGCACTCACCCTCATTTTTAGATTAAATCCGATTATTGCTTTTCCATGGTCAGAAATTAGCAACATAAATTTTAAGGGAATCAAATTTACCATAAGACCTACCGACAGGGAGTCTAAGATGTTTGTTTTCTTCGCAAATGATGCGTTTGTTAACAAGCACATTTTAAATTTAAGCATAGGCAATCACTCGATGTATGTAAGACGAAGAAAGAAGGATAGTCTTGAGGTTCAACAGATGAAAGCTAAAGCGACAGAGCAACGGAAATTTAAGTTAGAGCAAAGGTAAGTTTGGGATAAGTCATTTGTTAGTTATTCATTTGATCCAGATCAAAATTATTACACGAAATGTTAGCGAGAGAACAGGCGGAGAAGCGCGAAAATGACTATCAAAAGCAAATTCAAGTATTAAAAGAGGAGATCGAGCGTCGTGACGCAAGTTTAATGGAGGCGCAGCGTACAATACAACAGTTGCAAGACCAGCTTCGTGAGCTACAAATCGCCAAGGAGAAACTCGAGTTGCAACAAAACGAATTGAGGGACATGATGGAAAGATTGACCCACAGTAGAAATTTGGAAGAAGAGGAAAGGCGAAAATTAGAAGAGGAAATTAAATTAAAACAGGCACAGGTGCAAAAAATCCAGGATGAAGTTGAGGCAAGAAACGCAGAGACGCGATTGCTGCAGCAAAAAATTGAAGAGGCGAACAGAAGAGAAGAGCAAATGAGAGCGGAGCAAGAAGCTCTCAACCTTCAAAATGAGCGTAATAAGGAGGAGTTGGAGACTGTTCCCGATGGAACCAACGTGGAACTACCTTCCTTGGTAGAAATTAATGAACAATTGAAAGATGACTTGATGGTCAGTTATATATTACCTAATTCATTTCCGATTTTATTGTTTGTGTAATTATTTCAGTTACTCCAACAACAACTCGAGCAAACCAGACTTGAAAGTAAGCAAACAGAGTTGGATAAAATTCATAGAGAAAATGTTGCTAGTGGTCGGGACAAGTATAAGACTCTTAACGCAATTCGTAAGGGCAATACAGTGCGACGGGTGGACATGTTTGAAAATATGTAGAAATATATAGCAGATAATGCAAGTGGAAGATATTACATAACTTTTTTATAATTATACAGCGGAGTAAAGTTCCGCAAACACAGAATTATTGTAATGAATGTATCTTTATCCTACCTGTACTCCCACTTTTGACTCTTTGTCATCCCCACCCACAGCGGAGCCCAACAAGGTGACGGGTATTCAAACGCCAGGGTTACTAGAAGTCTAGAAGTATATAGCTTCTACAGGCTACCAGAAAACAGGCCCGATTTCGCTTTGGAGTAGGTCATTTGAGAACAGCCTACCTTGGGCTAGTCACTACCCTACATCTGTAGGTTCATCCCGACACTGATCATGGGTGGGTCAACCATGACTCTGCTTTTTAAACGAAATTTCGACCAAAGTAGGGTGGTTCAGATAACTCAACTACCAGGATCAGTTCATCTGCTGCTACGGGTCTTCTCGCACGGCACAAACACAAGGGTGTTGTCTTTAGTCTGGATTCTGACTTGGGGATTCTGGATAGGGACTTAGGTTACACGCCACCTTGAGCACTGAACCACTCAAGCCTCATAACCACGACAAGGCCCAACACTGAGGGGGTAGACAAGCGCTATAAAGCTCAGAAGACTATGGAAAGAATTTAAAAGGTTTCCATATATGTAATCAGAAATGGCTTTTTCTAAATTATTTTCAAGTACCAGAGCTAGGTCAATCTACAAAGGCCTATAAAACCTTGAGAATCACCTAAAAAGCTCTGGTACATAGGTCTATGAGGAAGCTTTTGAAAATTCCCGAGAATTTTTGGTTGTTCGAAGACTCTACGATAAGCAGACTTTCTAGGATCCAAAGCCTCTTTAGTGCTTTTTCATCAATTTCTTAGGTTCCGGGTGGTTTTTAGACCCTTTCCAGTGGCACAGAAAAAGCTGGCTATCGATTGGCGCTGTCAGAATTTTTGGTCGAAACTTCAAACCGTAATATTTCGAGAATGGTGCGTCGTAGATATGCCTTCCAACCCCTCGTTGGAAAGGTCTTGACCAGGGCTATCGATTGGCGCTGTCAGAATTTTTGGTGGAAATTGGTTTTTTGCCCATAACTTTTGATTGAGACGTCTAGTCGAAAAAGTACGAATCGTTTTGGATTCTACGCACCAAAATTAATAAGAGAAAGTTTTTTCCCGAGAAATTTTGGTGCAGTCGATTTTTGATAAAAAAGGAAGGTTTATACATTCTCTTTTTTTTTGGCCCGAAAAAAAAATTGTCTCAGATCGACCGGAATTCGGAAAAAAATATTTTCTTATAGAATGTGGCCTGTAGAATCCATAATTTCAAACAGTTCCAAGATCGAGCTACTAGATCAAAAGTTACAGCCCTTTGAATTTTTTGCTGAAATTGGTTTTTTGCACATAACTTTTGATTGAGACGTCTAATCGATAAAGTACGAATCGTTTTGGATTCTACGCACCAAAATTAATAAGAAAAACTTTTTCCCGAGAAATTTTGGTGCAGTCGATTTTTGGTAAAAAAGGAAGGTTATTACACTGCCTTTTTTGAGCCCCGAAAAAAAAATTGTCTCAGATCGACCGGAAAAAAATATTTTCTTATAGAATGTGGCCTGTAGAATCCATAATTTCAACAGCCCTTTGAATTTTTTGCCGAAATTGGTTTTTTGCACATAACTTTTGATTGAGACGTCTAATCGATAAAGTACGAATCGTTTTGGATTCTACGCACCAAAATTAATAAGAAAAAGTTTTTTCCCGAGAAATTTTGGTGCAGTCGAATTTTGGTAAAAAAGGGCTGTCAGAATTTTTGGTCGAAATTCTGACAGCGCCAATCGATAGCCCTGGTCGAGACCTTTCCAACGAGGGGTTGGAAGGCATATCTATCACCGTTCTCGAGATATTACGGTTTGAAGTTTCGACAAAACATTCTCAACCGTAATATCTCGAGAACGGTGCGTCCGACCCCTCGTTGGAAAGGTCTCGACCAGCGCTACGCTATCGATTGGCGCTGTCAGAATTTTTGGTCGAAATTTTTGAATTTGGGAGACAGTGGTTTCCCCATAGGTTGTCCTGCAAAGTTTTAAACGATCATTTCTGCCGTTAGTTTTGAACGAGAATCTTTAAATGAATCTGACATTTATTATATTCTACAGTCACAATTTGAGAAGCCAAGGTATACCTATTGATCCCGGAATCAATTTTTTAGCTCCAATATGGCGGATTATGATAAGTTGTCGCCACTGGTTCCTGAGGCGCGTTTGACTCTATTCTTATAAATCGTTGTCTTGATAAATCTGTCAAAAATCAAAATATTCTGTGAATTGTGAACGTAAATAAATAAATATGATTGTGAGCATATAAAGTATGTACTAATAATTTAACTGTTTTAACCGGGTTGGTAGAAATCACCATAGAAACAATTGTCGCAATAATTGTAACCATAGCAAAATTTGCCAACCCGGTTAAACCGGTAGAATTATCGTAAATCCCCATTGACAAACCACATTTTGTCTATGATAGGGTCATAATGTATTACTTCAGAAAATGAATGTATCATTGGACTGTACCTAATGGCAGGTTAGTTATATCCTTTATACTGCGAATTAATAAATCACTGTGTTAAAGGCTCGACAAAATATCTTGGAACAAGCATGGAGGCAATGTACGGCTCTCAGGGCCCTTGGAATTACGAACTTCCTCCGATAATAGCCTCACGTTATCACAGTGTCCTTTACCAGCTACCTGCCTCATTGAAATCACCTCCCAAACCTCATATCAGCACACAAAATCATCACTGGGATAGCGACCATGTCCACATGCCATATTCGCCAAAGAACTTACAAACTGTAAAAAATGTAGGTATGCGTAGAACTATGCACCCGTACTTAACAATGTCCCATTAGAGTAACGGCAGTGAAACTCCCAAATTACGATGGGAAATAATTCAGGAAGCACTACTGCAACCTATAAGCTCGAGTAAACAACTTGAAATGGTTTTGAACAAGTACAACACTCGTTTACCCAAATTGTCCGCGTTACACTATTTCTTTGAAGAAGTAAGTTCCTCCCTTAACTGCGAGCTATTGTGAGTTAATATTGTTAAGGTTCTAGAGAATGAAGAAAGTGAAGAGTTCTTCGAGAGTCTCCTACCGGGAATAATACGATTAGCTCTACAATTGCCCGAGATTTTACCGGGTAATTTACCATTATTAAAGAAGGGGTCGTGCAAATCGATTAGTCTAAGTCAACTCCAAATAGCTTCGCTGTTAGCAAATGGCTTTCTGTGTACCTTTCCCTGGCGTGAGGAGGTAGCACTTACGTATCCAGGGATCAACTTTTCGGGGTAAGTTTGCGGTAAAGATTTCGGGATCATTAAATTGGGTTGCAGGTTATTTTCATCGCATTTTCGGTCCGATTTTAATGAAGTTGTGGCGGAGAAATTGAAATGCATTTGTCATTATTTTAGAAGAGTTTTGACTGTTGGTAAGAAATTAGGAAAGTTTCACTTGTTTGCAGCGGTGTTTTTTCCGTAGAACCGGTGGGAATTGTTACCTTCGAACGAAAGTTCTTTCCTAGATCGCACTTGCCTAGATGGGATCGATTAGAGAACAATCTAGGTAACATTAGAATTCATATTTCAAGTAATGGTTTTATTGAAGACGATGGTGATGGATTGTTGCAAGTTGACTTTGCCAATAAGTAAGAATTTATAAATGTACTAAATTAATTTGTAATAATTTATATTTATTATTAGAAGCATAGGTGGTGGTGTATTAGGCTACGGGTGTGTTCAAGAAGAAATCCGATTTATGGTTTGCCCAGAGCTTATTGTGAGCCGTTTGTTTACAGAACACCTTGGCGCGACAGAAGCTTTAATTATAATAGGTAAAATCGAGGGTAAAATTAAATGTCTGTGTTGGAATAAGGAAGCAGTTATTTTATTAATTATAGCACGTAGGTAGTTTTAGATTCAGATTCCATTAAGTAGAAAAACTACAGATTTCATATTACATTGCATACTACGTTAATTTTGACGTATCACATTATTACAAAAACCCATAATGGTAGATTTCATAAAAAGGGAACACTTATTTTAACAACACTCGTATTTACAGTTATTTGGTTAGCTGATAACGTTTTTTATCGCTCTTGGTACCTATCCACATAATAGATTTTTCAGGGTTTAGGCCTATCTGTTGTTTTATGACAATTCAATAATATTTTCCATATTTATCTCTTCAAGAAGATTGCTAGTTTCACTTAACAAACAGGACACCTGCGAATTGTGTATCATTGGCATATTGATGTACATTCCATCCAGATTGTAATACAGTAGGAAGCTCCGCTACAAATACTGAGAATAGGGTTGGCCCCAGCACACTACCTTGAGGAACACCATAATGTACAGGGTGGTCTAAATTGGACACTTTCTTGTGGAAACATCCTTTATTTAATAATAATAATAATAGTTTATTGCCATGAATAAAATTCATTTACATTGGCATTGTCATGAATGTAGAATATTAGAAAAAAGGACAAATGTTATACATTGAGGAAAATAAAATGGTAGTGTGTCCGGTTTAATTCGCATCAAGCTCGCCAACGGAGTAGTAATTTTTTTCAAGTAGATATAATTTTAAGTTTTTTGTAAACAATTGAAGATTCCTTGATTGTTTTATTGCCTTTGGTATAGCATTAAATACTTTGATGCAATTATAGTACTAACCTCTCTCATGAGTTGTTCGGTGAGTGGGTATGCTCAAATTGTCACCATTCCTTGTACTCATTGCGCTGTAAATATGGCTATTTTTATTGAAATCATTTATGTTTCGCCACGTATGTACAGAGGCGCAGTATATTCTATAATTGTAAAACAATTGTCAAAGAAATATATATTATTATTATTATATAAAAAGACTGGGTAGAGTTAAAATTTTCAATTGTTTAAATGAAGTTCGGCAAGAAGCTGCACTTGGAAGATCAACCACAGCCCTAATAATGCGTTTTTGTGCTATAAATACGCGACGTGTATCTTTTAAGAGATAAAGAAAGTGGACCTGGGCATCTGGAGCCCAATTTTAAAGAGAAAATCACTGGCGCAAACTGAATTCAGCTATCTCTATTGGTTTGGACGGTAGGGGGCGTTTCTCGAATTTAGTCTATTTCCTTAATGCCCTATAACTTTCTTATTATTAAAGATCATTGATTTTGCCAAAAGCTTTCTTTTATGTAGAATCCATCGCGATACATAGTTTTTATACAGGGTGTTTGGTTTGTCTTATACGACCCTAAACTACATTTTTTCATATGGACCAAACTGTATATTTTGGAGTTTTTGAAAAGAGCATAAAGTTTCCTACATTGTGATGTCTTCACTTATTATATTTATATTAAATATTATTTGCAATATTGCATTGTATACATTGAAACGTTTTTTCACTACTAGCCTCTGATGACATGATTATTTACCTTTTTAAAGTAGGCTTTGTCGCCAATTGTTCAAAGTGGTTAATAAAATGAATAATTGTCACCAGGATTTCCAGAGAAATTACATACTTAAAATTGTCGGATTTTGAAAAGATTCGAACGAAATTGCTGCTTTAAAATATCCCAATGACAGATCAAAATACGGCCTGCTTGAATTTTACTTTCACCCACATGATTGACATGTAAAATTAATAAACAATAAATTCCGTCAAACTGTTCATTTTCTTAGGAATATAATCGGTTAATTTAGAGGACGTCAAGTACTAGTAGTGAAAAAAATAGTATACAGCCAAAATAAATAACACATTACTATGGCCACTTTTTTCCTTTTCAGTACAAGATGTTAGTTTTAAATTTTAAATCTGACGTTTCATCTCCGGTTAACCATAATCAACTTTGTTTGTTATTATAACGTGATTTATAAATTCGGGTTCGATTTATATCAATATTTATTAAACAAAATTAAAACACTATAAAAACCGTACAATTTATATCGACTATTTATATCACACACTTCGCAATTTATATTTCCGCGCTCTATGTTTCATCTGTACTCGATCTCGTTCGGTAGTAGACTGCCGCGATGTTCGGTCCGCAACCATTTATACACGCAAGCAATGTAAGTCCAGAACATTGGCGTACAGTCTCGAATATTCCTACACAAATCCCACTATCGCGCGCGTAGAAAATTCCAGAGCGCCAAAGGTGACGTCATGTCTGGAGCGCTTCCGTTACATTATTCTGAAAGTGATTGTTACTTTTTGTGTCATTTGATAGTGCATTTTTTTCTGATTTCAAAAATGTAAATATCACTATGAACCTATTTTCTAGTGGAAAAAACTTACTTGAATGCTCTTCATTTTGAAATAACCCATCGTTCTATTTTATTTCTTTAATTAAAATTCGAATTTTAAAAGTGGCGATATTCTTTTTGAATCGCTCTGTATATACATTAAATAGTGTATAGGTAAAGGTTTATAAGTTCGCCAAGACAAAACCGTAAAATATCAAAAAAAATTAGCGCTATTCCTGAAAAATGCAAAAAATTTAAAGTAAAACACAAAAAAAATGTTGAAGATATGATAAAATTAGCAAAAAATGGCAAAGAATGCAAAGAAATGCACCAACAAGATGCTGTCATTTGATTTAATTTATCCTGAAACAAGTTTATATATAAAACAGAGCAATGTCTCAGACTTTCAGAAAAAAGATACAAAATCATCCTAGCTCTAGTAATTAGAGAAAACTGGAAAAGGGGAAGGACTAATTTTAATTAGGGGGCTGCTTGCGCAGATTTTTTGGCTGAATAAAGTACTGATCTACCTTATTTTCATTGTAACTCACTTTCATGCTAAAGTTTGTTTTAAAAAAAAAGACAAAAGGGGTTTTTAAATACTTTAAAAAATATTCTACAAGTTTTTCTAGAAAAATGCATAGTTTTGCCGTGAAACTCTAATTTAGCGTTTGACGAACAAGAGATAACTTTCAACAAGGCCCAACTCGGATCATATTGGTCATACAGGATTATTAAAAAAATAAAAAACCATAGTTTTTGTAATAAAATGCATACTTTTTGAGTTTTTCGCAAATAACCAATTAAAAACATTGATCTTTTATATGAAAACCTCACACTTTCGGTCGCGAATAACTGGAGATTAACTTCACAAAAAAATTTTGCTAAATTTTCTATCTATTCTGATGTTAAAATTATAATAAACAAGTTGTAAATCAGCATATGCATGATGAAAGCGCATTTTTGGTAATGCAGATCAGTATTTCATTAGTAAAGTTTAAAATTATTGATCTCGCGAGTAATCTAACTCAAAATAGACTAGAACGTGCACATCTACACTATAACAGAAAGCTTTTAGTGAAAATTTAAGGTCTCTAGCAATTGTAATTGCTGAGATCTCAGCCAGACGGCCTGTCAGCCAGCCATAATGAATATAATAGCGTATTTTAAAAAAAAATGCGCTAATAATTAAGTTGTTATACTGGTAGCGCTATCTAACGGTAAAATTATAGCACCTCCGAAAACCATATCGAAATTATTTTCTTAAATTATCGATCTCACAATCTCACTCAAAATAGACTAGAGCCTGCACATCTACACTACCTCAGAAAACTTTTAGTGAAAATTTGAAGTCTCTAGCTATTGTAATTGCTGAGATCTCATCCGGACAGCCAGCCAGCCATAACGAATATAATAAAATTGTATTACAAAGCTCTGTTTTCTATACTGTTTAATGTTTATGGTTACTGGATGTCTATTATGTTTAATTTTAGGAGCAGAACGATACAGCAAATATACTGGATATGGTGACACATTCGTGTGGGCTGGTAACTACAATGACAATACACCATACGATCACTTTGGACGCAGGCGCACCTCAATTGTAGCGATAGACGCCTTGTTTTTTGGAAATCCCCTAGAGCAATATAATCCTTCATCAATTCTTAGAGAGGTCAACAAGGCTTACGTTGGATTTCATTCGAGACTTGACTCTCAACTATCTGCGGTTGCTACAGGTAACTGGGGGTGTGGAGCCTTTCGCGGAGATCCAAATCTAAAATTACTCATTCAACTAATGGCTAGCAATGCAGCACGACGAGATATTGTCTATTTTACTTTTGGTGACGTTGAATTACGTAATAACATCTACGAGATGTATCAATTTCTTGCAACAAATGATGTCACGATTGGTAGGTTGGCTTTACTTCCTGTTGGTGTTATAAGCCATTTTTGTTTTGTTATAGCCCAACTATGGAGGTACCTATGCCGCTTTGAGCAAAGTAATTTAAAACCGAAACATTTATTTTCGTACATTCAGCAAGCACATTTCGATAGCAAAAACCAACGTTCCCTAAAAGATTACTTTTGCTTTCGTAAAAAACCGGACCTTTCTACGTCCAACGCCAATTACGTATCAAGTAAAAGTCCCTCAACCTCTGCAAAAGCGGAAGACGTCCGATTGGATCCTGGCGAAACCGACAACATTGTTATCGCGTCCTCGCAAACTGACAGCGACACTGATATCATCGAGTCGTCACAACCTGATGATCTAAACACAAAGCTACCCAGATTCGTGAAAAGCCCACCGGCACAAGCAACTAAAGATAACGTCAGTCAGGATGCGGTCGATGTTATTCGTTTAATCGATGAGATCGATGGTAAAGAGACGAGTACTCACAGAGCAGATGTTGACAGAAAAGAAAGCATGTCCCTATTAACTACATTAGATAAATTAACTCGAAGTGAACCAAAATCACGGGACGTGGAGGTAAAGCAAAGCAAAGAGGAAGAGGTCGAAAAAATGGAAGTTGATCACGAACCCGTTGCCATCAATAAATCGAAACGAAAAATCACAGATTATTTTGCAACAATTGATAAAGGTTAATTATGAGGATAGCTTTAGGTCTGTAATTTTTTCATCAGATTTTTTGCACATGGTAGCCATAATTGTGATCGTTTAGCGTATTAATAAAAAGGCTTCTACCTGATACGTTTTTGGAATAAGTATTCTGATACTGCCTATAATTGCATTTATACATATCAGAGATATTCTCAGGAAACTTTTTAACGCATGTTTAAAAAATGTTTCTAGACTTCCGAGGGCCAAGAGATTGCTAAGGTGTTTTTTGCTAGGAGAACTTTTAACTGGATTTTTAAATTGAAGTTTTAATAGGTTTGAATGAGTAGGCCAAGTCTCTTTTTAACAGAGTAAGAGTACATAAAGTGAAACAAATGATTATGCATTCTAATGACATCAGTCGTTCTTATTAAAACTAGGACACGGAGCATGAATTTCAGAAGTTTTATGATTTCTATTGCTTCTGCTATAAAATAAAGTTTTGTATTATACTCATGGATGGTTGGCATCAGAGACTCGCTGGGCAAAATTTCAGATTTTATAATTTACATACAGGTTGCCTAGCACTGGCTCTTACACTAAAAGCATCATGAAATGAAATTAAAAAAATTTCACAAATTGATGATAGTTTTCTATATACAGGGTGGTGACTTGCGTAACGCATCATAGGGATTTCAATGTAAAATTTATAACATGCGATTATTGGCTCCCCAAATTATTTTAGAGCAAAAATGTATTAAGGTTTTTTGTAGTAAAAAATTTTTTACGTCAATCAACGGTTATTAGTTTTCAATTTTTTGCATAATAAAGACGGAAAATTGGAAAAATAAAACCTGCATCTTTTTCAATAATCTGACAGATATTGGCGTAGTATTTGTATTATAAAATTCCATGGGGGGGGGGGGGGGGGGGGGGGCATTTCTGGACTTGGAGAAGTTATCGGATTTGTGGGGTCGGTATTTCTGGATAGACTCCGTATCAGTTACGGATGCGCAATTCTATAATCTTGTTCGGTTCGGAACGGCAGCCTCGGGGGGCGAGGGGAAGGGGGTGCCAAGTGCAAGCACAAGGTCGTTTTTGGATAGTCAGTCGAAGATTTAAAAATTCGTAGCGGCAATTTTCCCTAGGGAAAATTAGGAGATGGCGTTTAGGACGGCGGCGGGGGTCTGAACTAACCCCCAGTAAAAGAAGATATTGTCTTCTGAACCTTTTGGGGGTGGAGTTTGAGGGGCATTTAAACTACAGGAATTAAAGGCCCGATTGTCGATTTTTTTAGATATTCGACCAATGGTGGGACCTTTAATTCTTTTTGGGGTAGAATATAAAAACGGGGGGTCTGGAATACCCCTCAGTAAAATATGATGTTGTGTTCCGAACCTTTTGGAGGTGGGCGTGGCGTCAGGAGTTTGAGGAGTATTTATGCCTCAGAAATTGGAGGTCCGATGGTCGGATTTTTATTTATTTGAACAATGGTGGGACTTTAAATTATTTTTAGGTTAGAATATAAAACCGGAGGGTCTGGGGGTATTCTTGATCCCCCCCCCCCCCCCCCCACCGTAAAATAAGATATTGTGTTATGAACCTTTTGGAGGTGGGCGTGGCGTCAGGAGTTTAAAGGTATTTAAGCATCATAAATCGAAGGTCCAATTGTCGATTTTATTTATTTATTATGAACAATGTCTCTTGGAATCGTGTTTAATAATTATTTATATTGTTTAATCAATAATAGCAGCATCTAGCATACAAAGTACCTAATAGTACATATAGTATAAATTGTTCTTAATTTGATTTACAGCATTTAAGGCATATAGGATTCAAGTTTCCGTGTAGCTCACCCTATCCATTGTATGTTGCTCATCCGAAATACGGAGTGGGGGTCTCAGTATTGAATCGTCTGTGAGTGCGGTTGCACGTTTATTTTTGGATCACTGCTTTAAGTCAGCCTACATACCATTGGGTTTATTTGTATTGTTCACAAAAACGCAGTACTTCAACTATTTACATAAAAACATCATAACCAAAACAAATCGAATATTGTAGGCACAGGTATATTCTACACGCTATTAGCTATAATATTGCACTCAGTATAACATAAAAGTAATTAACAAAATATTAATATTGACACTTAGTTTTGAAAGAGATTCATAAATAATATTGAACAATCTTCATCAACCACTTCATCGCTTTTTAAGGTGCTTCTTTGAACATTTTTGGAAATTCTATTTTCCAAATGTTTGTCTGTGAAATTATGAAAATCCTCTTCGGAATATTCGTGTATGTATTGTAGAAAGGTGTATAAACGACTAGGTTTTAACTTTGTGTCCGAAAACCGACATAAATATTTCCATAGCTGACCTAAAAGACGAGGTTTAATCAAAATGACATAGTCTATTGAAATCCTACCAATAGTAATCGCATTTTGGACAATAAAATTGATCATCTCCAATATTTCTTTGGCAAGCTGATCATCGTTAAAGGTGAAATAGACTATGTCTCTGTTACAAACCCCGCATGCCATAATTTGCAAAAGCGATTTCAATTTGGGATCCCCCTTGTAAGCACCGCATCCCCAGTTGCCCGTTGCAACTGGCGGTGGTTGTTTTAGAACTGTATAGAAACCAGCATACGCCTTATTTAATTCTCGCAGCATGTTAGTTGGTTTGTACTGTTCCGAGGGTTTTGTAAATCGAATTGCGTCAATTGCCACAATACTTGTACGTCTACGACCATATGCGTCTAGTGGTGTCGTGTCTTGATAATCACCTGTCCAAGTGTAAGTGTCCCCATATCCACTGTAATCACTGAAACGTTCCACTCCTTTAAATAACTAGATTAAAGCCGTTCAATTTTAATACAATTACCAACCGGTAATAATCAATGCTTCCGTTGAACCCAACTGTTCGGTAAATAGTCGACTTACAATAAGTTCTGGACAGATTATGAATCGAATTTCTTCTTGGACGCAACCGTAAGCTAAAACACCACCACCGACATTCCTAAAATTATTTTTGTGACGAGCTTTTAATGTGGGACCCTTACTTGTTGGCAAAATCCACTTGCAAAAAACCATCCGAATTACTTTCAATGAGACCGTCCGAAGTTATGTGGATTTCTCTCTGGTTCAAAGTGTTATTCAAATTGTGCCATTGAGGCAGCTCTTCATTTGCAAAGTGCCGTCTTTCGAAAGTAATAACGCTGACAGGTTCTAAAAGTACATGTATAAAAGTTGTTTATAAAAAAAATGATATGGACACCTTTATAAGTAACCCTTTCGAAGTAATGACATAACGATTTGATTTTTTCCAAAACGCACTTTTCGCGTTTGGGTCTGTCGTGGGAATTAAATAATCTATAACAAATAAATGCATAATCAGACAATAATTGTTTTCTACAAAAATCTAGTCGGCGATTAATTTTGTTCAAAATCGATTATTTTGCTAAATTTAAGAAAAAGTATTTAATTACAAAGTTAAAAATTTTTAAAGATCAAACATTCATAACAAATAATAAATTTCTTCTTTGAAAAGACAAAATTGCTACTGAAGGGCACCTAATTTTATGCATCCAAAATAACTTTTTAAAATAAATAAACATCTAGCTGTCATATTAATTAGTTTGAATATTGTTGCTTTGGCTTAACAGAAAAGAAATCTCTTACGCTCCTTAAACTATTACTGGCAAAATACCAATTGACAATATCAACTTTTTCGTCCGTTCAATGCATCACACTCAACCCAAACCAACAATATTCAAATTAATTAATGTGACAGCCAGATCTTTATTTGTTTTAAGAAGTTATTTTGGTTGCATAAAATAAGGCGCCCTTCAGAAGAGTCATTTAAAAGTAGACATAGGAAAAAACAATAGTCAGGTTTTTGGGTACCATTACCCTATATTTACTTCTCATTAAATAGCACTGTATATTGAGTATTTTGTTAACAAGAGCAGTACACAATTATTTTCAATGTGGTTTACAAATGTGCACCAGAGAAAATTATAGAAATTATACTTTTAATTGTACTGGATGAATCATAAACCAACACCTCAAAACTGAATTAAGTACCTCTAAAATTTTAAGTGTATCAAGAACGATATACCACTGTTAAATGCGGGAGTCAGACATTAAAAAAGGTTTTTATTTAAAAAAAGTCAGGTTTTTTGGGTACCATTACCCATTAGGTAATTCATTTTTGTATCATCATCTGTACACGTGTAGAGTAGAAAAATCAAATTCAGGTACTCACTTATCAAAATTAATGTCAGGACAAGCTCTGGCACTCCAAAAAGTGCACAGAAAGGCATTTGCTAGCAAAGATGATACTTGCAGCTGGCTGATGCTAAGCGATTTACAAGATCCTATACTTAAAATCGGTATGTCTGTAGGTATCAATTCTGGTAGTCTTAGCGCCAATTTAATTATTTTTGGAAGAAGATCCGTGAAGAAGATTTCCTGTTCACTTTGACCTAAAACCTTGGGGATAAATAAGTAACGATTTTTCCACAGGAAATTTACCTACCTGTAAAAAATGATGAAGCGCTGTAAATTCTTTCACTCTCTTATTGTAACTTTTTATGGCAGCTTGTAGTTCTTGGCTGGAACGTATAGGCTGCGATAAAGAGTCAGTGACGGAAGCCCAATACTTTTGTGCGACCTGAAACAAATTTCTTGTAACATCCTGTATATTTCGAGGTTAAATTACGAACTTCTTCGTTTACTACACAAAAAGGTAGCTGTATAGTTCGAAGCTCTTCAGTCCTTGAACTGCTATTTTGACCGAGTTCCCCTATCGTCTGTAATTCGTGCAAATTGGTGTGATCCGGTAAATTTGCAATATTCGATATCTCAAATTCCCAGGGTCCATGGTTCCGATATAACTTTTCCATAATGTTTACTGTTGTTTCACGCTGCACCTAAAAGTATACTTGCAAGGGTACAGATTTGTATTCGTTTATATAAGGAAGGAAATTGAGAGATGATAAGATAGGTGGGGATCACTACCATTTCTTAATTTAATATTGTGCAACTATTTGCAATTAAGTATAGATACTATATGGGTAGTTCCCCAAATTCTATGAAATACCTCGGTTACTTTTGGTTTATAATAGTACATACTATAATAATTTCCATCAACACTGGATTTTATTATAATTATTTCTCTCCCAGATGGCCCGATTCTTATATTAAAGGTTTTTGTGTACCGAGGGCTAAATGATTAATTGTAATCTACTTTTGCTTTCATTCCCTTAGGCTTAGGATGTCAATATCCTACAAGAAATCATTCCTGGGTGCATCTTCGCATTCCCCCGAACGACCTTTGCCTTGACCAGTTACCTATGCGGCTATGCCTCACGGTGGCAGTGTAGGTAGGTATATGCAGATGAGTTTTTTCTTCTTCCTGATACCCCTGCAAAGTGGGTTATTTACTTCAAGGTTTTTCATTCGACAGGAGCCGTATCAAAGGATACCATTCCTTCTGAACTTTTAATAAGTTTTTAGTTCTTTGAACAGAGGGAACCTGTGGCCTGGCTATCTGTTACTACATAAAGATCCCTTTGTTGGGTTCCAATATCGATGCCGAAGTGATAAATACTGAAATTCGTGCTCGTGCTACAAATTTGCATGTTATAAATTTCAGTACACACTGACTTTTTTTGCCATACGCCAAATATGGTCATGAGCAGGGGATTACGTTTAACCCTATCCATCTTACTTATATACCATTTTACTGTTAATAATAACCAGTAACCACACATTTCATTAATGTCCGTCGATTTGCAAGAATCATCGGGACAGTTTTATTGGAAAAGATTGTTTTAGGGTTAAACTATGTTTAAAAAAAATTGAGAACGCTCTTGTAGTCCCCAGTTTGAACACATCTCCTTTTTTTACTTGTTTATTTAATTAATCAATTACTATGAAACCTACCGCGGTGATCTGGTTTGTCATATTGTTTTGCTATTAAAAGAAATACGGATTTTCAAAAAGATCGGATGAATTTTACTTAGTAACATAGTGTTAATTTTCGAGAGTACTTTTTGACATTTTTCCATAAAAAACAATAACAGTTGAAAATGAGCTTTCCGGACCAACTGTATCTTATAGAAAATTTTATTCTAAAGAAGTTCATTTCTATTCATTTTTTCCCTCAGAGGAATAGTTAACGAGATATTCGAAGTCAAATGTGAAAAACACAACATTTTCCCATTTTTTCTTCGTTTTTTATTAATAAAACTATGTTCCGGGCGTTTCCGGCCAGGGGGACCATGATTTTCGTTTCAGTGAAATGACAACATCCAGTTTAGAGCTAATTAGATTATTAATTAGATAATTAATTGTACTATCAATATCAAAAACAAAAAAAAAATGTTTAGTGATTTTTGGTTCTTCACATTACATCCTAAAGTTGCTGCATCTGAATGCTACCAAAGTTTCGAATGCGACCAATGTATTCGTACGGCGGTGCCATCTGTGGTGGGATAATTGTAGCTTGCGTAAAGAGAAGGGAATAAGAGTGACGTACAGAATAAAGTAAACGATACGAAGTATGAAAACAAAATAATGTCAGAAATGCATCCCAAATGATTTGCCTACGTAAAGCCATAGAAAACGCAAAATAATAATGGGCTCCTTTGACAGAGCGCAAAAATTGTAAAAGATGGGCGTATTTTGTGTATAATGAAAGTGTATAAAGGTTAATTACTCTTTAGGTAAAGTAATCTATACCTTCTTAGAATTTTATTTTAGTGGCCTTAACATTTTAACACAAAATCAATGATCATGCCTGCGTCTCAGTGGCGTAACAATTAATTTTAATTATTATTTGTATTATTCATGGCTGGCAAGGCAGATAAAAAGGTTCTTTACTTCAAATTACGTCATTTGTTTATAAACAAACCGGAAAAAGTAATCGCACTAATTAACTCTCTTGATCACAGGTGCTGTGAAGCCCTAAAAAAATGAATATCATGAGGAAGTTGCGAGGTGCAGGTGCCAATGTCGGTATCTCTTCGACCTCCAATTCGGATATTGCCGAAGGGCCTCCCGGATCACCCCATACTCAGCTCGGATTAATGCATCTGAAAAAGCTATTCTCCGAATACACACATCCACCTCATCCGTTAACAGATGCGGAAAAGGAAGATAAACTTTATAATATGCTGCCCTTGTTTTGTAAGGTAAGAGCATGCTCTTATGGCCCACCGACTGTGTGTTAGAATTAGGTCACAATTTAGAAAGATGCCTCGTGGCTAACCCAAAAAACCCACTTTTCAAAATCTTCATAGAACAAGTTGATGTAGGTCTTTTCTGTGTGATATGGCACACAGCATGCTAGATTTCATAAGTTTTCTAAAGATTGAATTACGATGTTCCCCATTTTTTGTATATTAACCACATGCATATTTTGCAAATTGATCACATATCTTTAAACGCCCTGTATATAAACTGTGTATCGTGATGGATTCTACATAAAAAGTGCTCTAAGAAAGATTTTGCCAAAATGAATTATCTTTAATAATACAAAATAGAGTATTGGGTTATGGAAGACACGCCAATGGCGTTTCCATAATAAAGTGTCCGATTTGGACGGACCACCCTGTACATAGTGTAATAAGAAAACAAAGTTTCTTTTTTAATTTTGGGGCACGATAAAAGATGGACTTACTTTGGTACATCATTTTTACTTCTAGATTACTCTGATCTTACCAAGTTTGATGTCTGAGGATTTTTGTTGCTTGGATTGGGGTAGAAATTTTGGTAAAATTTTAGAAGATCGAAAATGACTGTACGTAAAAAATATGAGTATGAGTACAGAACATTTTTTCACAAATACTGAATATTTTGGATTGACCCCTAGGTAATTATGATTGTCATCCTCTTGAAATATACTGACGTAGTGTATTTCCCAATGAATATCTCTGTGCTATCTATTTATATTTAAGAGAAGGTCGCCACATTAAATTGAATTCATCACCAAAAGCTGTACCGTTCTAAAATTAGAAAGGACTAAATTTCATATAAGCAAAGGAACCCTAATTAAATAAATTATTTCCTGTCGACAGATCATAAACTGTAAAGTATTAGTGTCATATTTAGTAGCACATTTTATCTTGTGGTTAATCTGTAATAAATATGTTTTGTCAATTCAGCATTAACGCAAATTTCATAGAAAAAGCGATTGTGTACTAATGGATTACAGTGACATGAGCTTATCAGAATCATGATGAATCAGTGGAGGTAATCACCAGAGATTAAAAAAATGAATATCTGCACATATAATGGAATTCCGGATGTCCTCCCATTATATTCACATGTTCGCTAAATAAGTAATTTTGGTAACCCAATCTCATTTTATGATGTACGCAAATTGCATATGAAAGTACATAGGTATTATTATCAATAAGCTTAACAGACGATGAAATTTGTTAGTCTACTTTTCAGCGCATTTTTGAAAAAAAAATACGCTATTCGTTATGGCTGGCTGTCTGACTGAGATCTCCGCAATTACAATAGGTAGAGACTTCAAATTTTCACTAAAACCTTTTTGCTATGCGCCTCGGGTTGTAAACTTGGTGCTCAGGCAATAATACTGGATTTCTCTACCTTGGTATATAATGTACTATTAATGTATAAAATGCAATATCGCAAATAATATTTAATATAAATATAATAAGTGATACATCAAAATTTAGGAAATATATAGGGTGGCCCGTATGAAAAAATGAAGTTTAGGGGCGCAGAAGAAAAACCAAACAGCCTGTATAAAAACTGTGTACCGCGATGGATTCTACATAAAAATGTGCTCTAAGAAAAATTTTATCGCATTCACTTACCTTGAATAAAAAGAAAGGGGGCATTAAAGAAGTCGGCTAAATTTAAGAAACTCCCCCTAGCGGCCAAACGGTTAGAGATAGCTGAATTCTGTTTGCGCCAGTGATTTTCTCTCTGGTATTTCTCGGAAATTCCTACAGACCATTTAAGAACGTCATAAATGTTATAATAGGTCAAATTTTATATTTTACAAGCTCTTATATTTTTATAAAACCTTTTAAAGGTAAAGTCTCAAAAATCGTCTAGAAGGCTTTAAGAAATTCTATGAGACTTTAAAAGGTCAGCTCTTAAAGGCTAAAAACCTAGTAAACATTTTAAAGTATTAAGACCGAGACTAAACATGAGTGTTCTGAACTCTAAGGTTCAATACAATCTCCAAAGCTTCAAAGGCTTAACGTTAGAACCTTTCACAAAATTAAATTTAAACGTAAAGACAAAAATGTTATATACTTGTAAAGCCTATTAAATAAAGCCTTTTTAAAGGTTCAGCGCCTTACCTACATACTAAAAAAGTTTGGAAAATGATCTGAAAGGCTTTAGGACACTCTTGAAGCCCTGCAAAATCTATGAGAATATTGGTGAGTGTTTTGAAAGCTCTTAAGGCCTTGCGAAATTATTAAAAGGCTCAGCTCTAAAACGCTGTTAAACAATAAAATACTGGAAAGTGCTTGAAAGGTTTTATTTTAAAAGCTTTCAAAAACAAAAGCTCTTAAAGAAGTCCTCCAAAAGTCTCCGCAAGACTGTTTGAGATTCTGAAAGGCTCTTAATGACTGTTAGATACCTATAAATGCTGTTAAGAACTTTAAAGGATTTATAAACGCTTTTAAAGCACGTTCCTTAAATACAATTAAGATGTATTAAGAATTTTGAAAGGCTCATAAGAGTTTTCAAAGATTCTTAAGCCAATTCAAGAACTCATCCTCCAGAACATTCGTCTATAATAAGCTTTTGTAAATCTTTGGATACTCGTGGAGAGCTTTTTAAAGATCTTTAGAGGACTCTTATACCCTCGGGGGTTTCTGGAACACCCTCAAATGTATTTAAGGACCTTAAAGTTTGTAAAGGGTGTAAGTGTAACAGGTGGTCGCTTTGGGCTTTCAAAATTTTTTGTTAAATTTATACGTTTGCTGGTATAGGAAATTTTATACGTGTACCGCTTCATAAGGAAAGAGAACAGAACTTAGGTATATTTGAAAAAATAATGCGCGTTAAGATAAGAAACTAATGTTCAAGTAGATAAAAGAGTCGAAATGAGCAGCATTCTTACTGAAATATTCGAAGAGAATCTATGTCGGTCGATCGCGTATTGATTTTTTAGCCGAACCTGCGGTGCAAACTTGCATATTGTGAACGCGGAGATTAATAGATCGCGTAAAACTTCATTACTAATTAAAAGTTCGAACCGAAATCTTAAGTTTATTGACGTGGGTGCTTTCTAAATTTGTTACGCGTTGACATTATAAGTAAATTAATAATACGTGGTTGGTTTGTGCAGAAAGAGAGCTTCGTTGCGTGACAGAGGAGATCGACTGGCAGGTTTGTTTTTAACTGTAACTGTATCGGGAAGCGTTAACATATTAATACGTAGCGACATTTCTTCGTTGGTCTCTTAAATTATTGTTCTTACTTCCCAACAAATTGTTTCCGCGAAAGCGTTGGAGTCTAAGGTGCAAAAAATTGCGTTTCAATTTTTTTAAGGGGCTAGTTACGTAAAAAAACCAGTTTTTAAATCAAATTTGTGCATCTAATTTGTTTATATGAAGTGCGAACAAAATTATGAACTAAACGGCTACCGGTAAAAAGGTTAAAGACAGTCGAGCTTTTGTTTGCTGTTAAAACCCTAAGTTGCAATGGCGTTTGGGGATTTTGTATAAAAACGATTTTTTCTAGAAGTCATTTTTATACTCTCGAAGAGGTCGATTCGCGGGTTTATACCGTGAAAAATTTGTGTATTTTTTATAAATGATAAACTGAATTTCTATTATTTTTCTCATTAATTCAGTACAGCCAGTCTTTTGTGTGGGTTTTAAATTGTTTATTTGGCATTTGGGAGGTGTGTAAATTTGTTTTGAATAGGAATTTGTACCAGGTGTTTGGTTAATTACAAATAATTAAAAAAATCCTGCTATTAGGTTGGAACCGTGATTAGTGATTACGATATAGATAGTACAATTTTCACTTTTCTGCACCATATGTGGGTAGGTAAAGTATTGTTTTCATCACAGAAAAAAGTCTGTTGTAGTCGTTGTCATTGTTGTCCGGATTGTTAGCACAATAAGTCAACATTTAAAAGTTTTACATTTATTTATTACTGAGTTAACCGTCGATTTAATTATTTCATTACAAAAGATTATTACTATTATAGTAACATTTTTACCAGTGCTGCAGGAACTAAATTCTATTTTAGAAGCGCAGGGAGGTAATTATACCCTGCATGTGTAACTAGTCCGTTACAAGGCCTCTTCTCCTCTCGCGCGGACAGTAGACCGGGCTGCAGTTTTGACCATAAATCAATACCCGAATCCATAAAAGTTTAACAAGTAGTAGGGTAATATCACGTCCACCTATACAGGGTGTTTTTTTGGGAGCTTTAGTTAAACGTTTCTGGGAAAGTAAAATACGTAGGTTTTTGAAAATTTGTACTTAGGAGTTACTCTGAAGGCCGAATCTATGTAAAATATTTTCAAAATGTACGCACTTCCGGAAACACCGGAAGTAGATAGTCATTCCGTTATTTTAAATGGCAACCCCTATTTTTTATTGCATTTTTGGATTCTACGTGAAATTTCAGTTCTTTCGGTATCCATATGTCGATATCTGCCATTTTTGGTTTTTAAGTTATTTTCACTTTAAGAAAAAAATGGCGGATGCAGCTGGTACCTTGATAATTGATTACTTGAAAAAGGTTATAGTCATGGCAACCCTTTTTTATCAGTGCATAGAGAATGAATAGGATTTCTTTGAGTGTACTTAAAAAAAAGTTAAGTTGCGTACAACCGCACCTATGGAGATCCAAATTTAAGAAACTTCAAAGTCTATAAACTCAGTTTTTTTAAATGGAATGACCATGTTCTTAATATTGCATGAGATAGAGAATCGAAATTGGCATATTTTGACTATACATGTTCCTATAGCTATCTTTAACAGTTTCTGATTTATTCCCATTTCATTGAATTGATCTCGGAATTGATGCCATTTTTTTTCGCATTTTCTTTTTAGTAGTTGGCCATGATTTTATAACAATCGAATTTTAAACAAATCAAGGAATGGATTCTTTAATACCATTGATTCTAGTTCTAGTCTAAATAATTCATTAATAAATAACTCATTTATTAAGGATATAGGACGGAAAATTTTTGAAAAATCTAAACAGAGTCGTTCAACTGAATTTCTTAAACAACGTATAAGTCTGGAAATTAAGAGAGGTAATGCGATATCTGTTCTAGCAACAATTCCATACCAAAAATGTTTCAACGAAGTTTTTTATATTTTGCATTGAATTTATTTTGTTAATCTTGCATTTGCAATTCAATTCATTTTCTTAAATATTCTCTTGTAGAGCTTTGTATCACTTGTGCTTCAACGGTTTGTAGTGCATTAGGGGTACAAAATTTCCAAAATCCATACAATTTCGTTCCAGTTTTCGAATGAATGTACGGAAAGCACGTGCCGCGATTCTGCCCATTTCACCATAAATAACAATTAAATTCCAAAATAGGTGAAACCACTGCGAGTCATTTTCCGATTTTTGAAAAACTTATGTTAACCTATAACAGTGGGTGATGGATTAGTGTCACTAGATTTGTTTAAAATAATTGCCCGACTACTAAAAAAGAAAATCGATTCTTTATATCATGCAATAGTAAGAAAATGGTCATTCCATTTAAAAAAACTGAGTTTTTAGTCTTTGAAGTTTTATAAGTTTGGATCTCCATCGTACGTAACTTAAGTGCACTAAAAGAAAGCCCTATTCATTCTCTATGCACTGATAAAAATAGGTTGCCATGACTACAACCGTTTTCAAGTAATCAATTATCAAGGTACCATCTGCATCCGCCATTTTTTTTCTTAAAGTCAAAATAACTTAAAAACCATAAATGGTAGATATCGACATAGGGGTATCAAAAGAAGTGAAATTTCACGTAGAATCCAAAAATGCAATAAAAAATAGGGATTGCTATTTAAAATAACGAAGTTACTATCTATGTCCGGTGTTTCCGGAAGTGCGGCCATTTTGAAAATATTTTACATCGATTCGGCCTTCAGAGTAACTCCTAAGTTCAAATTTTCAAAAACCTTCCTATTTTACTTTCCCAGAAACTTTTAACTAAAGCTCCCAAAAGACACCCTGTACAGTCTGATTCAAATTCGAGAGCCACCATGGGGATCTCGGGAACTGTAAGAGATAGGTAGGTAGTTTAAATTTTGATGATGCAAAAAGTAAAAATTACTTCCATAAGAAAAAACGAAATTGATGATGGTTAACCGGAGACGAAACGTCGGATTTAAAATTTAAAACTAGCATCGTGTAGAGGGAGAAAAGTCATTTATTTCGAATTTGAATCAGCCTGTATATTCACTATAATTTGAATATGATAAATAAATTTCTCTCACATTGACAAAGTGGCCCAGATGGGGGCGCGAAAAAATAATTTACGATTGGGAATATGCGCTTAATAGGTATGATAAAAAACACACTATACCAAACAACAACAATACATTCTTAAGGACGATATCAAAGTGTTATAATTATTCTTGAGCTTAACAAAGTTTATGGGGTGTAGAACATTTAATCCGCATGTTTATCCATGCGATAAAAAATAATTGATAATATTATATCATTGTTTCCGTTAAATGTGACGTCTAGATAAAGTAGCGATTTTTAAAAAGCGTTTTATGCAAATCTAAGGGCACTGAACTTCAATTATTGTGTAATAAAATTTGCTTAATATTATTTAAGATTTAATAGTCTATAAAACTTTTTCGTATCGACATAATGGTTGATAAATACATTTTTATTTTACAATTTTCATAAACATTATGTATATTTTATCATCTTTACAAAATTATCTCTTGGGTATATGCTTTAAAAATAGTTTACCCAAAACCGCCCGTCTCATTTAGCCATGCAATAGCTATAATAACAATTTCCTTTTGTCAGGTATTCGGGTCAAGCCCAACATGTGATATGAATGAAAAATTTTGGGATATACTCGCCTTTTGCCATCAAGTCTCTCTGTTAATGGTATCCGAAATACGAAAACGGGCATCCAACCAAAGTACCGAGGCGGCGAGTTGTGCAATAGCAAAATTCCTAGAGATAGAAAATTGCGAGGAATCAAGTAACGGATGGATGCTCCTGTCGACGTTAAACTTGTTGGCCGCCGGAGACACTACATTGATACAAGTTAGCAGTGCGGTGATCGATGCGTAATTTTCAATTTTAAATGTTGTAGGTGATGTCGGAGGTATCGGTACCGTCGACCTTGGTGAAATGTCTATACTTATTCTTCGATCTGCCCGAAATGTCGGAAAATGAGGCAAACAGTACCGATACCAACAGCGATTTTACGCCTAGGGAGAGAAGAATTCTCCTGCAGAAGATATTTGTTCAAGTGTTGGTTCGTTTATGCAGTCACAGAATACCGGCTGAAGAACTGGCACGAAAGGATGATTTAACTCTCTTATTTTCCGCAATAACGTCATGGTGCCCTGCACACAACGTCATGTGGCGAAAAAGTGCGGCGGAAGTTCTGATGACGCTTTCACGTCACGGACTGACTCCACCTGTAGTTGGCTACATACATTGTAAGAGCTAAAGGCTCTGTTAGCTTAGCACCACCATTTTAGACTTTTGGTAAAGGGGGTCCGTTAACTTGGCCCCCCCCACTGAGAGATTTGATAGTCGTATTATTGCCACCGATAATAACTCTTGCGCCATTATCGTTTTTTAGAAATCTGAAAAAACATTGGGGGGGGGCAAGTGAACGTAGCCCCCCCCAGTACGTATTTTGTCCTTGTAACTAGGTCACCTGATACATTTGGTTATGCGCTCAATTGCGCCACTTGAATTAAAGCTAGCGCCATTACGGTTAAGCCATAAAAAATTTTTAAAAAGGGGGGGGCTAACTTAACGTTTTCAAAAGTGGTTTTTCTACTATATCGTACCTTTCATCATGCACTAAAATGCACCGTAAACAAAAATCTTTGCGCCATTATACAGGGTGTCCCTAAAAGGTCTGTACAACGCGCTACCAGGGGTTCTTGGTATCAAAATAGGACGATTTAACCCAACTTACCTCTATCCAAAAGTGCTTCGGTAAGGCGCTATCTACCGCCAAAGATTTAAAAAAAGTTTAAGAAACAACAAACAAACGTTACGCCACTCTAAGGTTTCACAGCCATCTTCTGATTTTTTGAGGAACAATCGCATGTATGGTGCATGCCATTCATCATGCCTAAATTTTTTTTTTTCGTAAACCATCACAGATAGCGATATTCATCAAGAGACAAAAAATGCTTGCAAGTAAACTGTCTATCAGTGTCTAAAAATTCACAACCGTCAAAATAGTAGTTAAAAAGTTTTAGACCTCTTCAGATGTGGATGGTCAGTATTTTACCACCTACATAGCAACTACAATCAAAATGATGATATCACAAAGACATTCACATCCCGAATTTCATTTTAATCGGCAAAACCATTTTCCGATAAAATAAAAATAACGATTTTTTTTTTCATCTTTGGCGGTAGATAACGCCTTACCGAAGCACTTTTGGATAGAGGTAAGTTGGGTTAAATCGTCCTATTGTGATACCAAGAACCCCTGGTAGCGCGTTGTACAGACCTTTTAGGGTCACCCTGTAGTGTTTCAGAAACACTATACAGGGTGTTTTTTTTGGGAGCTTTAGTTAAACGTTTCTGGGAAAGTAAAATAGGTAGGTTTTTAAAAATTTGTACTTAGAAGTTACTCCGAAGGCAACCCTTATTTTTTATTACATTTTTGGATTCTACGTGAAATTTCAGTTCTTTTGATATCTACCATTTATGGTTTTTAAGATATTTTGACTTTAAGAAAAGAAATGGCGAATGCAGATGGTACCTACTTTGATATGATTACTTGAAAACGGTTGTAGTCATAGCAACCCATTTTTATCAGTGCGTAGAGAATGAATAGGGTTTTCATTTAGTGTAACTTGTAAGTTAAGTTGCGGACAACCGCACCTATGGAGATCCAAAGTTATGAAACTTCAAAGACTAAAAACTCAGTTTTTTTTAATTGAGTGACCATTTTCTTACTATTACTATTACTATTACTACTATTAACAGACGATCAAATCATATAACACTAACATCCATCGTCTTAATAGTATCTTTGACTTCTCCGCATTCCCATTAGCACTACTTTTACTTTTACTCGAGGTGCGTACATACAATTTCATTTAAATAACTTAACAAATACAAAAATTAGATTGCGCACGCGCAATATTATTTTTTCATCTTCAACATTGTTTGAGGTTTAATGAATATTTACTGACACAGAAAACCGGGCATTTATATGTTCTTTGTAACACGAATTTATTATAAAAGATACCATTCTTTGAAGGTTCGAGCAGTTTTTGGGGTGTAACTGTTTGGCCCGTTAGTCTACGTAACTAAAAAACAATAGCGACCTTTCTTATATCCTTAAGAACATGTGTACCAATTTTCAAAGCGGCGGGACGTTTTCTAAACAAAGTTATCGTGCACAGGCAGACGGGCAGACATACAGCAGTACAAAATTATAAACTATCTCTAGGATCGTTAATACATTAACTACATTGCGGCATAATGCATCAACTCCAAACCAAGTAAGTTAATACCTTGTTGGCGATTATTGCAAACCGAGTTAAAATTGCACAATTAGAACATAACTTCACCGCATACCAAATATATATACTGTATTCATTATAAGAAGGTAGTAGATGGCGCTGTGTTTGAAGATCGACACACACAGGAAAAATATAAAACGGCACAAAATTTGGAAAATATAATTATAAATCAAACGATATCACGCTTGGATCTTTGAAATTGACAGCTAATGACAGTTCGACAGTTTAGTTCTAGTTGAAACTTCTAACAGACAGAATTCGTCACTCGTTTTATTTTTCAGGGTAATAGTGACTCGTGTTTTAACCAATCACAGTGAAGGTTAAACTGTCCCTATGCTTTCTACCGCTACCTTCTTAAAATTAATAGCGTTATAGTTTCTATAGGTACTAAAAAAGGTTCTCAAAAACTATAATGTGCAAAGATTTCTGTTAACGGCTCATTTTAGCGCATGATGAAAGGTACGATGTAGTAGAAAACCATGTTAAAAAACGTAACTTGTGAAAACGTTAAGTTAGCCCCCCCCCACTTTTTAAAAATTTTTTATGGCTAACCGTAAGGGCGTTAGCTTTAATTCAAGTGGCGCAATTGAGAGCATAACCAGGTGTATCAAGAGGCACAAATACCGGTAGCAAAATGCGTTATAGGGGGTTCCGTTCACTTGGTCCCTCCCAAATATATTTAAGGATAACCAAAAAACAAGAATGGCGCAAAGATATCTTTTTACGGCGCATTTCAGCGCATACCTGAGAGTACAATTTCGTATGAAAAGATGTTAAAAAAAAGTAACTTTTAAAAACGTTAAGTTGGCCCCCCCACTTTTTGAAAATTTGTCACGGCTTAACCGTAATGGCGCTAGCTTTAATTCAAGTGGCGCAATTGAGCGCATAACCAAATGTATCAGGTGACCTAGTTACAAGGGACAAAATACGTACTGGGGGGGGGGGCTACGTTCACTTGCCCCCCCCCCCCAATGTTTTTTCGAATTTCTAAAAAAACGATAATGGCGCAAGAGTTATTATCGGTGGCACATAACTAGCGCATTCATTTTAACACAATACGACTATCAAATCTCTCAGTGGGGGGGCCAAGTTAACGGACCCTGGTAAAGGATCTCTACAGCTTTGGTCAACTAGCGCCATCGCGGATATTGTGCATAAGTCATACTTTTGGGGAGGTGTTATGTTAATCATACCATTTCAGATGGTTCGTTTGGGTGTGCACAAAGTAGTCTTACACTTCGTTTTTTTTGGCGCCAGATTAGTAAGTGGTAACTTTGTCAGAGCAAGTGTGACGGATTGAGTTTTTTAAATACAAAACTGACTGATTTTCAATGCTAAATTTCTATACTGCATTCATTATAATAAGGTAGTAGATGGCGCTGTGTTTGAAGATAAACACACACAGGAAAAATAATAAAACAGCACCAAATTATTGTGAAGTAGAAATCTCCAGCACTGCGAACAGAAATAAATCTTTGACATTAACCCCTAGTGACACTTCGGTAGTATAGTTGGCAACAGAAACTACCAACTTACACAATTCGCCGCTAATTTGATGTTTCAGTGTAATAGTGACTTATGTTTTAACCAATCACAGTGAAGGTGTAAACTTCCCTATGCCTTCTACCGCTAAGACAGACAATCTAGATCTAGAATGTACTGCAAATTGCAAAATGGGGGTGGTATGAACCGTCTGTAACCTTATTCGCTTTAAAAATGAAGGCGCTTGTTTTGAAGAAGAGGGTTAGCGTCAATATCGTAACCCCCTGAAGTAAATGACTTTTACACAAAATCTATGATGGCTCTGGTAAAATTCAAAGTGCTGCTAGCTGGTACCGACTATACCCATTCTAATGCAATTTTTCTTTTACCCAAAACTAAAATGGTGGGGCTAAGTTAACGGAGCCGTAAGATAACTCGCATGAGTATCAATATAACACTTCCTATCTCTTACAGCAAAAGGATGTGTAGCGTTATGCATAGAAAATATGCAACGTGTACCTGAACTAGCTCCTCTAGAACTCGTAGAAATGTTTGTTACCGTATTTTGTTTTTTAAAAGATTCTAGCGAGGTTTCTTCTACTTTACTCGATGACTTTCGACAAGCCCAAGGTTATTTATTTTTATCAGAATTTTTATTAAAGTAAGTATTTTGTTTTCACATTAACCTCAATTAATTGATCTCATTTAGATTAGAAAGTGAAAGATCTAACGAAGCTCAGGAATCGGTTAGAAATTTAGTGTTAATGGTTACGTCATTGTGTATGTGCGGCTATATAGAGTTGAAGCCTTCGCAAGCGTCGACCGGTTCATTGTTCCAAATGCAAGGTTTCACGTTACCGCAACCATCAGGGAGAGGCACTAGTGTTAGAAATATTCAAGCGTTTCACGTGAGGAGCTAATTTTTTTTTTAAATAACCGCTCAATTTTACTTTTACAGGTTCTTCAAAGTACATTCGTTAAGTCAAACTCACCGTTAGTATGTTGTACCATATTAGATGCCATATCAAGCATTTATCATGCCGACAATGCCAATTACTTTATACTAGAAAATCAGAATACCTTAAGTCAATTCACGGAAAAAATTCACTACAAATCGTCGGATATCCAACAGAAACTTTTCCAATTAATTGAATTTTTAGTATTCCAATTAAATTTTGTACCTTGCAAAGAACTGATCTCGATGTCAATATTTCTTAAGACGCATAGTTTAAATCACGTCGACTGCAGCATCATGTGCATGCAAACGTTGCTGAATATTTTGAAACACAATCCGATCTTTAAGGACGTTTATCGAGAGGTCGGCATGCTGGAAGTGTTCGTCACCTGCTTGGATAGATACGCGAAAATGTTAGAAACCAAGTACAGCGAAGAAGATGTCGGTAAACAAGTTGTTATTTCCAATGGACAAGAAAAATTGGGCACGTTGGTTATGGAAGCTCTGACCTTGCTATTGGCGGCGAGCGCAGCTAATGCGAATGTTCTTAGGGAATGCGGTGGCGCCAAGTGCGTTCATGGATTGGTCACTTTTCAAGATTGTCGGCAAACTGCTTTAGGTAAATTCATTGTTGTACTGTAGTGGTATGTGGTTTTTTATTTGTATCATCACTGGTGTAAAATAGCAGTGAGAATGGAAAAAGTTATATTATTTAGCACTTAGAGAGGGCCTTACAGAGTCGGTGGCTTTGATGTCTCGCTTCCCCCTTTTGAAAAGGTTTAATAGTGTTGACAATGGTAAGTTGATCTATGTCATGAATGGTAAAGGGACACAACACGAGGGAGTACTGACAAAAGATTAATTATACATCATTTTTTTTAAGCCAGATAGATCCAAGGGTGTCATTCTTGATCTCATTGGCCAGCCGTGACTCATTTTGTCTGGGCGAAATCGTTCCCCAAAAATTGTGTCAGTGATCCCACTGAAACAGTACAATTAAAAACATTTTTCTACAAAGCAGGATTCCAGTAAAAAATAGTTGTCTTAAAAAAAAGTGAAACTTCCAACGGAACAATACAGATGATCCATATCTTGAATTGTATATACGCACTTGCAAAGGCCAGGGAAATTTGTCCTGGCAACCCGTTGAAAATAGGATCATTCAAACTTTATCTTGGTTGTGTTACTGTGTCCACATCATCCTTCTCCATGTATCAGCACCGCATACAATTGAGGTTTGTCAAAAATTTACATGGTGCTGACGGTATTACAGAAATCAAGTTTCAGAAATCCAAAATTTAGGCTCCGATTTTAAGATTGTCAAAATTTAGGACTTCAATCGTTGTGAGAGGATATTTTTTGAAATCTAGGTTTTTGAATATTTAGCATTTTTGGTTGTTGAATGCAAAATAATTTCAAACAATTATTTGAAAATTCAAATGTGGCGCGATTGTGGTCTTAGGATTAGAGAATTGTCTGTATTTCAAATGGTTCTTAAATCCTAAGATCATAATATTGTGCTACATTTGGGTTTTCAACCAGCGGCGGTCATTCTACAAGATTACCAGTGTTGCCAATGCTCCTGTATTTTAGTATTTTTGATGTATTTATTTGTTTTGTTGAGTCTTCTTTTTTTTGTTTGTTTTATTTTATATGGTACTGATTTTAGATCTGTTTTGTTGGGTGTACCACCGCAAATAATATGTACATTTACCACAGGTTGAGAACCGCTGCTTTAATAAGATGAATTTTGTGGACATAAATCATTAGACATATTGCGTTTCCAAATTCAAATGTTCTAATATATGTTGATATGAATTTTTTAGTTTCTTTGCGGATTCTAGGGCATTGAAGTAGCAAAATTGAAAGATTGAAGAAATAAGATATGATATGATCGTGATATTTTTTTTAATATTGAATTTTACTTATTCTAATTTTAAAACATTTGAGTTTCGTTAATACCAAAGTTTTTTTGAATTGATGTTTTTTTGGTCCTTTAACTTCAAATTATAATTACAGATCTTCAAATTTCATGGTATTTAAGCCAGAAAATGTTATAATACTTTTAGGGTTCAAATTTCAAAAATCTTAAATGTGGAAACGTCTTTTGTTTAATCATTATCTACGATTGTATTCGGGATCCTACAAACTTCGTTTCAATGTTTGAAATATTATTTTTCTTTATTAACACCTCATAATATCAACATCTATAGTTTTCTTTGTATAATTCATGAGGAAGGCAGGTCTGCTCTTTTTAATTTGTGTGTAATCTCGCTAACTCGAAATTCAAGGGACTACGATTTTTCTTTGAGTCACATGTAACTCGACTAAGATATAGTTCGAGTTACAGAGGTCTTTTTTGATTGAATTCGACTTAGAGGCAACAAAATATAGATGTATACCAAATAAAAGAGGTAAAGACTAGTGTATTGTACAGTGTGTCCTATTTTGGTTGAGACTGCAGTTTATTGCAGCTGTTTTTAAACATACAAGACTTGCGGTTTTCGCAACCCTGTGCCACTTTTTTGTGGAACTTATTACCACAAACAGAATCAATCTACTTAGGTACCTTGTTTCTGAGATACAGGGTGAAAACAAAAAGTTTGACTTTTTGAGATGTTACCATCTTACTACCTATGTAAGATAGATATAAGGTAAAAACTGCCTATAATCCAGTGGCATTTGGATCACTGTTTCTGATATTTAACCCAAAGGTGGTTCTTTTTTAAATGCAACACCCTGTATAATATTATTTTAATGTCATTTTTTGCATTCTTTTCTCTGATTACGTTGATGAATCACAACCTATATATTTTTTATGATTATATTGCTGTGTGCACCTACATTTCTGGTGCATTAAACAAAAATGAACTCTATGCCCCACATTGATCGTGCAAAATAAATGATATGACCCTTACCATGGACACAAAAAAATAAATACTACAGCACGGACTTCTACCTAGCTAGCTCATAATTGCCATAATTTTCAAACCAAACCAAACTCAGGATACAGGTGGGTCCCGGCTCAAAGAAAAATCCTGGCGTTGACTTTATACACTCGGAATAAAATAAAATACCGCAATCAAAAAATGCTATCATCCCTATTCCTTTTCCTAAACTTTCCCATTCTTGTTTTAATTTTTCTCACCCCTTATCTAATTTCACTCAGGGTTCCTTTGGAAAAATCTCAAACATTAAATTCGCATATAATTACTAGTTTACTAATATTTGTTTACTCTTTTCATCTTTAATTAAATTACTCAAATAATCCACGTTATACTCTTAAAATGGGTAACGGTTCGCTAATCTTAATGAAGTTTATCTTGTCCCGATTCCTAAAATTCTCATCCTTTTCTAAATTACACAAATGCCCTATATTCTCAATCGCTAAATCCAAATCTAAATCTAAATTCTTTTCACAATAAAAATTCCGAAAAAAATTCTCCCCCCATCTGGTTACCTAAAATCTCACAATCTTTTCCTAACTCCTTCCCCCCCTATTCCTTCTCTTGATAAAATATCCACCATTAAATTATTTTTCCCTCTCATGTACCTAATTTCTAACAAATTCTCCTGTAAATTCCACCCCTACAATAAATCCTATCGCAAAACGCGCCACCATTAAATAATTTCAATCCCTATTATCATCTTCGATTACTAATCACACAATACAATTTTAACTTCAGTCCTTTTAAAATTCCTGCAATAATAATAAAACCCCTTTCCCTACAAACACCTCTTTATCTTCTTTCTTCTGTACCTGAACTTGATTCTGTTCATTTTTATAAATGCGAACTTATTTGTCTTGCCTATAAACTTCTTCAATCTTGTCTTCCTTCATAACTTCTTAACGCTTCTTCAAAGTCACTTAATCTGGCTACACTTGGATAATGGCTTTGTATTTCTTCAGTGATTATCTGCGTTTGATCTTCTATCTTTTATGCCATTTTCTTGTTCTTTGTTCATCAATTTTATTTCATTCTTTAGTTCTTTGCATTAAATTTTTCATCCGATTTCTCTATTTTCTTATTCATTGCAATCTTTAAATCTTCATTCTGTTCTTTAATAAAAGCCACAGGCGGAGCAAAATTTCCATGCTGTGTAGTCTAACTAAGCCCATCTCTAAACTCTACCAGTATCTACCCCGTAACTAACCCTATAAGACCTAATTAAATCGAAATAGCAAAATGACACCCTAATCATTTTTTCTTGACAAAGTCCTACGGCTAACCATCCTACAAATTTTTGTCGCCACTAACCTCCACAGCGCAAATTTCTTTTCCTTGAAAATATCATGTCTGGGTACCAAAATTAAGTTTACCCCTATGACAAAAACTTCCCTTGAATTTAAATTAGTAAATTCGCGATTCCCAGGACTGCTCTACGTTTGGCGCCAAAAATAATTACTGTGTGCACCTACATTTCCGGTGCTTTAAAAAAAAATGGCATGCTCCACGTTGGGCGTGCAAAATAAATGGTATGACCCTTACCACGGAAACAACAAAAATGATTAAAAAGAAACTCGCATGGACTCCTACCTAGCTAGCTCACAATTACCATATTCTTAATTGAATTAACTTTCAACACCAAACGGTGCTGGCTACCGGGGCACATAGAGCAATCTTCCGAAACAAATAAAAAGGTTTATTACGCACTCATTCGAAAATCGCCCTAACCCCTGCAACGTCAAGTTCTCCACTTATTTAAGCAATCTTCCCTTCACTCTCTTTTCCGCCTCGTTATTGACGTTTATCCGTTCCTTGAATTTCAGACGCTCGTTAAGTACAATAACAACTCTTATATTACTGATACAAATGCACAATTTACAATACTAAGAAAAAACTAACCATTACAGTAACCATTAAATAAAATCCTAAAATTCTGTGTTCATTTGACAAAGTTTCCCTCAGGTTCTAAACAAATAAATGACAACGTTGTATAGGATGTCCCACATGAAACTTCTAATGCAGGGGCGGACTGGCCCGGGGGGGCGGGTGGCGATTGCCACCTGGCCTGTACGTCATAATGGCCCGTTTGAAATTTATAAGTATGTGCTGTTTCTGCACTATTAATAAATTATTAACACTTTTCTCTAATTGGGGTTGATGTTAGGTTGTTAAAAAATTCTGTTTTAATTGAAGTGTTTTACAATGAATTTATCATTTTTTGGCGTCGCATGAAAGTGCTGAAATACAATGATAGGCGACGCGCCTCGTTTGTATATTTTGTTACTTTTAATTATCAGCTGCAATTTTAAAAAAAACTGTATTGTAATTGATTTCCGAAAAAGGAGTACCTTAAAATGAAGCAAAAAATGTTTTTGTGGTGCACCGCAGAGCTACCCCCCGCCACCTTCAATACTACACTAACACTTTAATGGCCCGTAACCTATGCAATTCCACCTGGCCCGCCCCTGACTAGAAACCAATTTCGAAAGAAAATTCAAAGGGCTGTAACTTTTGAACTAGAAGCCCAATCTTGGAACTGTTTGAAATTATGGATTCTACAGGCCACATTCTATAAGAAAATTTTTTTCCGGGTCGGTCTGAGACAATTTTTTTTTCGGGGCTCAAAAAAAGGCAGTGTATAACCTTCCTTTTTTACCAAAAATTGACTGCACCAAAATTTCTCGGGAAAACACTTTTTCTTATTAATTTTGGTGCGTAGAATCCAAAACAATTCGTACTTTTTCGATCGGACGTCTCAATCAAAAGTTATGGACTAGAAACAGGGGCGGACTGGCCCGCGGAGGCGGGTGGCGATTGCCACCTGGCCTGTACGTCATAATGGCCCGTTGGAAATTTATAAGTATGTGCTGTATTTAGTTTCTTGCACTATTAATAAATTATTAACACGTTTCTCTAATTGGAGTTGATGTTAGGTTGTTAAAAAATTCTGTTTTAATTGAAGTGTTTTACAATGAATTTACCATTTTTTGTCGTAGTATGAAAGCGCTGAAATACAATGATAGGCGACGCGCCTCGTTTGGATTGTATATTTTGTTACTTTTAATTCTCAGCTGCAATTTAAAAAAAAATGTATTGTAATTCATTTCCGAAAAAGGAGTACTAAAATGAAGCAAAAAAATGTTTTTGTGGTGCACCGCAGAGCCCCCCCCCGCCACCTTCATTACTACACTAATACTTTAATGGCCCGTAACGTATGCAATTCCACCTGGCCCGTAAGTACCCAGTCCGCTCCTGTTCTAATGGATACAATACACCAAACAAATCCTCCATGAATCCATGGTCTATACTATTTAAAAGCAGTAAAACAAGTTTTTCATGGCGAAAATTAAAACAAAAATAAGTTGTGATACATCAAGTGACCAGGAAATGAATAACAATTGATGTTAAGATATACAGGGTGTTGCATTTCAAAAATACCAACATTTGGTCAAAGATTTCTACGTAAAATGCTGAAAAATATACTTACACATTATTTATATGTTACTTGGAGTACATTTTAATTTTATTTCAGGTATAATCCGTGAACTAGTCCTGACAACAGGCGGTGATGATGACATGGCCCAGCTATTAGCAACACTTCATTCTGCACCAAATTCCTCATTACAATTAAAAATTGACATTTTAAAAGCCTTACTATTATGCCTGAGAGATTCTCATCGGACCCGTACTGTATTTAGAAAGGTAAGACAGGTACATTTTTGGACCTAATCTAATCACACAAACTGGCAGGTTAACGGATTTGTCTACGTTACAAGCGTTTTACTATCATTGGAAGGAAAACTTGTCAGCCGCGAAATTAACGCAGATATACTCAATCTTTTGTACATAGTATTTCACACGATAAATACGGCAATGCGTTTTGAACCGGCGAATGCGAAATTTTTTTATCACGAAATTTGCATGACCAGTTTATGTGACACCTTACGGTTACTGGGTTGTTTTTCGAATGAGAAAGTTGAATACATTTCCGAGTGCAGTTTGGAATTGGCCAGTGTGAAGTTGCAGGATTTTTTTTACACAGTTTTCGCGAATGGAGTCTCCAATATTGTGTAAGCGTGACACTTTGTAATTGGCTTTATTTATCGGCACCCTTTCAGATTTCCAGATGAGCTGTCGCCTACTGTATGCTATGTAGTGATAATTTATAGGCTTCTCTATGATATAACACTCGATTTGTTTGATAAAGCCAATCTGTCAACGGGTGCTTTGAATATAAAATTGTCAACGAGCAACAAGCCTACCAACCAGGAGGTACACTAATACGAGATTTCGCATACTATTCAATTTATGTTCCTCATGATTGTAGACGAGTAATGGTAACTGCAATAGTGGTAAAAGATCAGCGGTAAATACATTAAATTTGAACCCTCCTACACCGGATTTAATCATCGTTCATCCAGGAATTGTGATGGCAATGTTAAAACTTTTACCGTGTATTCAGGTAACTTGGAAGAATTTTAGTAAATTTGTTTAAATATGCCCCTCTAGGACAAAAGTAGAGAGATTGCGTTAGGCTTACAACAGTACGTCGCCGAAATAATAAAGTCACTAGTTCGCAGCGAAAGAAATCAGCAAGTGATGTGCGAAAGTGGGTTTGTTGGCCACCTTTTGTCAATAGGTTCAGTACCATTACAAAATGAAAACCATCCTTTACATTCTCCACTTCAGTACATGTTGGAGCGATTAGCGGCGCAGGCGTTGGAATCGATGGATTTACGTAACTTTCTGCGATTGGGAAACCCTCTATCCTGTCTGTCATTGGGGAGCAGTGATCAAGGGGGCGGTCCCGTACCGCTGACTCGAATTAAAACTCTGGTCTCCATGACGACACCGAAAGATTTTCGCTCGCAATCCTCCTACACTCTGCCGCCTTTTGTCGAATTTGACATGTCGGCCGAAGGATTCGGCTGCCTGTATTTACCGAGTGTCGCTCCGCAATCGCCGACGGGCCCTAGTGTCGTTGCCGGCCTAGATAGCACAGTTTTAGGCGGAATTGGAGCAGGTGAATAAAATTCTTGAAATCTGCTTTTATTTATTTAATTACGTTGAAGGCGATCGAATGTTTCCACCTCAAACCGGTCTGAGTTATTCCACGTGGATTTGTGTCGATAAATTTTCGGATCCCAGAAGCGACCCCCACTGTGTAAGACTACTTACGTTAGTCCGAAATTTGAACACTACACGCGAAGATCATCTAGTGTGTTTGTCAATTGTTTTATCCGCCCGGGATAAGGCTATTATAGTGTCAACTCAAGAAACTCACATTCCACATCGTAAGTATTTAATCTTTTTTTTATGCTACAAACAAGATGGGACAAAAGCGTGATACATTTTTATGTACCTACTTGCAATCACATTTTATTAATTTTATTAAACATCAGGTCTTGTTATCTGCATTATTATCTTTAATTGATTATGGCCTAGCAAAATGTACTATAATTGCTGGAATGGGCAAAACTAGGCGCTTCTATATGGAAACTTGTGTTTCTGTCAAAGAAATGTACACCAACCAGCTTCCCAGGCTAAATACTCACTTAAAATTCAAATTTACATTCATTTTTGACATCGGAAATAGTTGCAATTTGATAAACGCAGGTTTTTGACAGCTAATTTTGAAAAATTGCAGCAGTCCTGGAAACTTTTTAAAACTTTCATCGATCACTTAAAAAATTCGTTAGACTTTATGGATTCGATTATAAAAACAGAGCACTCACTTTTTAAAACCAAGATGGCGCCTACTTCCAGTATTTACTAAAGTCACTAAATATAGAAAGTACCGCAATCCATTGGGCTCGTGGGTTAGAGAGAGAACGCATGATTTTTCCCCAAATATGGCAGAAGTTACTAGAATCTAGTAACTTTAATGTTAGGGATTGTTCCACCTGTTTGGAGATATCTGGATATGTTTTTATAAAACATGACAGTACTATGAAGTTAGGTTATAAAAAAATTACAGCTATTCAGATTTTATTTGTCAATTTTTTTAAGTTAGCAGCAAATTTGTCCAAAAATGGCGGATGATTGCGGTACTTTCTATATCTAGTGACTTTAGTATTTACGGAAGCGGCGCCATCTTGAAATTATGTTGTTTCAATTCGCAATGGTCGATTATGACTGAACCAAATTTCTATTTCAACTGCAAGTTGAACGCACACGCTACCTACCCTGTATAGTACACGTTGGACTCCTCCTCCTCCTCCTCCAATGTGCTTTCCTCCAAGGATTAGACATGAACGGAATTTTTATAGCTCACTGGTCTAAGTAGGTATTACGACACTTAACCATGGGAAAATTTCGGAACTATGGGGAAATATTTCGACAGTTGGCCCGGAGTGCGAGGTCATATGTCAGCAACTGGGATGCAAGACTGGAATTTTTTTGTAGTTGTTTTTTTTTTAAATACCTACGCAATAAAATGGATAAACAAAAATTAGGTAACTGGAATTCGCACACAAAGCAGTGATGTTGCGATAAGAACACCATTGAATAAGTAATTAAGGGGAAGTATTATTCTGTAGTAAATAGAAATCGTACCTATACAGATATTTGAGTCCGCGGCTAAGCGTTTTCGAATCTGGCCATCTGGCGTTCGACGTTTGAAACAAATTCTGAGTTTTGAAGGAACAGAGGAACAACATGCGTATAATACCGTGGAGTAATAATTACTTATTCCATGGTACTGTTTAATGTTGTACAATAGTTATTTGTTTTTAAAATCATTTAAAACGATTAATACAAACATTAAAAAAATGTACACATACACCAAAAGAATATTTACTCAAAAATCATTACAAGTAAACAGGCCTGTACGGGTCCTTAATTACCCATTAGTAAATTATGGGTTATTGTAATAGGTATATTCGTAATTGAAAATTGTTTTGCTACAAGTTTCATCGGAACTTTCTCTTATTCAAATGTGAAAAAAAAGGTATCCATGTCCTTACGGATATAAAAAAGCTCGTTAGTGTTTTTCAGCTACGTAGACTATTTGGTCAAAAAGTTACAGCCCAAAAACAGATCTCGATGATCGTTTGGTATTCAGTTGTATCAGATTTTTAGCGCATTTTTGCATTTTATTTGTAAAAAGGTAGCTTTTAATCTCACTTTGGCTGGCTGGCTGACAGCGAATACGGGAATGTTTGTAGAAAGACGAGGAGTGTACATGTATCTACCTACAACTTTAGGGACGGGGCTGCATGATGTGGGGTCAGCGACGTCTGGGCGCCATCCCCGAGCATGTTATGATTTTTCAGTTTTTTCCTTCTACAGTTTTGGTTCGATTGTTTTCAAATTGGTGCCGCCTTCTCGAGGGATAGTCTGCTTTGGGTGCCCAAAAGTTACCTTCCGCCGATTTTGTCATACAGTGTAAAGTTTCTTAAAGCTTGAATAGCGGTCTCTCTTTCTCGTGTCGTCAATAGATGCTCGAGCTATAAGAAGTGCCCCAAAAATTGAGTACTATTTTGTGAAGGGTTTTTAGCGAAATCCACCAAATGCGAATTGGGGGTGAACGGGATGTCGGAAGCGGGTAACGACAAAGGGAATGTGGTGGCCCCTGACAATATGTTATTGATGGCGATTATTCAGGGAATGCGATAAATTTAGAGTGCATTTTCGTTAAAAACCTAGGGGAAGGGAAACTACTGTCCTTTATAAGACTGAGAAGATATTGAATTTTTAAAAAATCATTCTGGAGCGGGGAGGTTGTTTAAAAAAATTTCCTTCCAATAGCAGTGAAACCAGTTTATTAACTAAACCAGACGAGTTCCGGTAGACAAATTGGCAACAGGGGCTGCACCATTGACAGCTTAGAGAAGGAAAGAGCATAGTCCAATATTGAAAGCAAGAAATGCGACTTTGAAATCTGCGCATGCGTCAAGTTCAAGCTCATTCGCCCTGTTGTTGCTAATAGGATATTGACCTCTCTGCGAGATCTCTAACCTGAAAACAAATTTAACGGAAATAGGTCAGTTTAACAGAAACTGATCAGTTAGATAAACAGATCTACATATCTATCAAACACAGGTCCGTTCATCAGAAACAGGTCTGTTCATCGAAAACAGGTTTGTGCATCAGAAACAGGTCTGTTTATCTCATCAGAATCAATCCATTTGGTTGCCTATTTAAACAAAAACAATTAGAAAGTAGAAAATTATTATTTGCATCCAGTCTTGTACCTCAGGCCAACTGCTGAAAATATGAGACCTCCAATGCAGCACTACCAAAATAACCCTGACCAACTGCCAAAACGCACAGACTAACTGACAAACGGGCCAATGCAATAGATCCTCATACTAACGCCTCACTTTTGGGGGATATGTTGCGATCTTTCACAATGTACAACAGGTTCGAAAATGTTATCTTCACGTTGGTACGCCACTGGTTTTGGTATTTTCAGGATGTATAGAATTGGCAATGTTACCTTCACGTTTGTTACAGCACTGGTTTTAATGTTTCTTATTGTTGATTTGTTGTATCGTAGTTGTTACTTTTTTTTACTTTGCGTATATAAATATCTGTTACGGGGTAAATAAATAATGTATTTGTGAAGTTGTAAAGTGACCTGTCTTGTTTGTAGTATAACTTAAATGTTTTACCACTAAAAAATGGACACTATTATGTAGATGTAGGTGAATGGGAACCCGAAGGTTCAGGTGAATACGGTGCCCGAGTTTGGTGTCCGGATATCCTTCAAGAAGGACAATGGCATCACTTGGTTGTCGTTTTAAACAGAGCAGTATTGAAAAATTCTTCGTTTTCTTTATATCTCGACGGTCAACACATGCACTCACAAAAGTTACATTATATCTCTCAAAATCCTGGCGGCGGATCGGCGAATTTAACAATTGCGTCATCTGTTTACGCTTACATAGGTACACCGCCAGCTTGGCGACGATACTCAAGGCTGTGTTGGAAGCAGGGACCCTGTCACTTAATCGAAGAGGTGAGTACCTCCTATTTTTTGATCCTTCCTTTAATTATGCTTTAGGTTTTGCAACCTGTTACCGTTACACAAATCTACCAGTTGGGCGCCCACTACATGGGGTCACTCCAAGCACCGCCCTTGCAAGGTCCCGAGCTGATGCAACCGCTAGTTCTGGAAGAGAAAGTCATATTTGGCCTTAACGCCAAGGCTGTTTCTCAGTTGACTTTAAGCCGGATTCGCAAAGTGTACAGTCGCACGGATAATAAGTCAATCGCGAAACAGTTGGGAATGTCGAGCCACGAAAACGCGACCCCTATTAAAATTTTGCACAACTCCGCTGGCCACCTTAGCGGTCCGTCCAGAACATTGGGAGGCGTTATTATTGGTTATTTGGGCGTCAGAGTGTTTTGTGCTCGTCCCGTTGCTAATGTTGTAAGTTTTACATGTAAAATTTAAGTGGGGTACACCCGATTGTTTTAGGTCGATACTGTCGGCGGATGTTCGGTGCTGTTGGGACTAATTGCTATGGCTCAAGATGTTGAGAGTTTGTACGCAGGTGTGAAGGCTTTGGTGTGCGTTGTACGAGGCAATAAGGTGGCACAAGCCGAAATGGATCGCAAACGCGGCTATCAGACTTTAGCAATGCTTTTACGACGAAAACGCCTTCTGCTCAACTCGCACATCTTGCATTTGTGCTTTAGTTTGGTGGGAACTGTGGATAGTGGTCGTGAGACTTCTGCTATACCGAACTTGACCGCATTTCAAGTACTATCCGAGCGTGAGTCTGCAGACACTAGTAAAAAAAGCTTCTTGTAGGATTTGCTGTGCGATTTAGAAGTTTGGCATGAAGCGCCAGGAGAATTGCTGCGCTCACACCTTGAGCACCTCTTTGAATTGACGTCAGAATCGAGTGAAAAAAGAAATAATATTTGGATCATGCGAGATTTGCAGTTGGTCACAAAACTGTTGCACATAACATCGGATCTAAAACACCACGCGACGCGTCAGGTGTTGTACTCATTGTTATCCGTCTTACTCGGGGGACAACCGAGGCAGTCGGATTTGCTTTGGTTCGGACAATTTATTGCAGCTACTTTACCCGTATCTTCCATTCCAAGTGAGAAAACCATCACTTTGCTCGAAGGAGACGGAGAGAAGGAAGGCGAAGGCGAACATATCATTTTAAGAAACCGTTGCCTCAGTCTTCTCCATTCGATGTTGTTTACTTCAAGAAATACTGTTAGCGTTATGGTTTGCGATGAGGTCGTTCGTACATTGGGCTACGATTGGGTATTACTATTTATACAACCACACTTACATTCCACTACTGTGATTTGGGCTTTGCGAGTGCTCGTCGTCTTATGTTCGATATCCGCTTTAATGAATAGGTTTGATTTGATATCAGTGTCAAGTAAATACACAATAAAGGTACGTTGCAGATTTCGCGAAGGTACCAGTAACGGCGGATGGCTACATCACACCGAAATTGTAACTCATAACAAGATGGCGGTGGTACTGGGCTATCATGCCAATAACTTGCATGGGATTGATGCGAAATCCGAACTGTTACACATTCCCGGATTTCAAGTTCTCGGTTGGCTGTTGCCGACACATTTGGAAATTGCGGAAGTGTATTTCTTATTGACCGCATTAATGATGGGACAGCCCGTGAAATTGCTACCGGTAAATTGTACTAAATTTGATTTGGACTCGGTGTGGGCTTACCTTTGGGGGTCGTCCTTAAATAACCAACCGGTTAGCAGTGTAGCACCTAGAATAAATTTATGTTCCGAAGCTGTTGTTGTTCTTCTGTCCATGGCAAGGTCAATGTTACATAGCGAACATGCTGGGCTTCCTGATTGGTTAATGGATCATCCTATTTCGATAGTTCAGGTAAGTTTCATTCAGGGTTGGCGATAAACCCTGAGTCAATAGTTCACGTTTCAAATTGGTTAAACATGTGTAAATTTGTTGTTTGTTTTGCTATGCATTAAAAGGGATGATTGCTTAAAATTCCGGGAAATTCTGCACATAAAGTTTATTGATAGTAAGAGTTTGAACGATGCTACAGACTGTGATTTGAACTTTGACAGTTTTTAAGTGGTATTGTGTTTCTTTTGTTTCAAAGCCAACTTGATTAGCTTCAATATTGCATTAAAAATTGTGAATGTTCCTAATTTACGCAATAATCAGATTTCAAAATGCAGTTTTCACTGATATTTCTCACTTTTTCATTTATTTAAAAAAAAACTGCAAAGTTTATGTTAATGTCACATCGCGCCCTCTACCACTCATCACATTTACTAAAAAGATTCTATTCTTGTAAAATATGATTCAACAAAGAGAGCTCTTTCCAACCAGACCTATTATGTGAAAATCTGTTAACCTAAACCAAAGTTACATTCAATTCCTTAAAGAGATGTTCCCCTTCCCCCACCCCTCATATTTTAAGAGCTAGAGCAATTTGTGCTGCAGCAAAATGATGCAAAATTGATACAAGATTGCTATGCATGTATTTTTTATGCATGTTTGTTGGGAGAAAAAAAGTCATATTTCTACTTAACCTAAAGTCACTAAATATAGAAAGTACCGCAATCCATTGGGCTCGTGTGTTGAGAGAACGCATGATTTTGCCCAAAAATGGCGGAAGTTACCAGATTCTAGTAACTTTAATGTTAGGGATTGTTCCACCTGTTTGGAGATATCTGTATATATTTTTATAAAACATGACAGTACTACGAAGTTAGGTTATAAAAAATTACAGCTATTCAGATTTTATTTGTCAATTTTTTTAAGTTGGCAGCAAATTTGCTCAAAAATGGCGGATGATTGCGGTACTTTCTATATCTAGTGACTTTAACTTTACCATGAATCGTACGCCCTCTAGCGGCTAAGCTAGAAACTTGAAAATAATTTCCAGCGATTTTTCTTGAGCCCTTTTGTTAACAAAATTTGGTTCCCGAAGCTGTGCAATTAACGGTTCCATTGATATAGCCTATTACCATTATTAATGGGACACCCTGTACAGTGTTTCTAAATATGATGTTAATACGGAAGGGGCTAATTCTTTGACTTATTATTACTAAAAGTTCATATAAACATAGGTCCGTAAGCGATTCGTTACCAATCTATAGGGTGTTAAAATGTCAAGATTTTTAGGTTTTTTCTTTATCTCTTGCAGCTTTGCGATATTTAGCTGAAATAAATAAATAAAATTTGGAATATAAGTTATGCTGAAGGGCTTACATCATGCCAATTATTATAGTGAGAATCTACAGGGCGTTGTTTTTTCAGGGCTCATTGTCCATAATCTCCCTCTTAACTCTTTTTCCTGTGCCACTGGTAGATTGTGAAACAAGAATTTGATTTTCTGGTTTGTTTAGAAACTCTTTGGTAATTTTTTCGTATCTGTGACCGTTATCTCAATTTTCCGTAGTTAGCTAATAAAAGTATAATTTTTAAAATCGTCCAGATGGCTTTATTTGGATAATATCTTGTGTTTGCTGATTTAAATTATAAATTGTACGGTAGGGATGTAACACCCTGTATATCGTTAACGAAGCGTTTCCGGGCCTATGTTTATGTGAACTTGTTAATAAAATTAGCGAATGGATTAGCCCATTCCATATTTAAATTATATTTAGGACTTTATTATTTGGAAAGTTGCGCAAAAACCCACACACCACCATATTTTTGTCATGGAGGGGGTCACCCCTTAAGCTCCCCCTAGCTCAACTCACTTTGTCATCCCTTAAATTAAAGGTCTCATTGAGTAGTATTCATTTGCATGAGACATACGTCCAACCCTTTCCCAAAGTTTCATCGCAATCTGATAAACATTCACTTTTATTAATATAGATTCGACATTTGTTACATACAGGGTGTTTCATATAACCATGTAAAAAGAAATTTGGGTGGTAGAGGGGATCAAAACAAGTACTTTTTCCAAATAAACCAAGGCTAACGTGTTTCGTTTGGGAGCCACCCTCAAAAGAAGTGGTAAAATTTGCAGTTCATTTCATTTCATCATTACTTACAGTTTTTTTAGCAGTTTTATTACGTGTACTACTACTATTTCTTTTATTTGTTGCCGTAGCACTAACTTGTTCTCTCTTCTGCTTCATAGCATGCTGTTTTATTGTTTATTGGCTCTTTGAAAATGTTCTCCCCATATTTCAATCACGTTTTCTTCTTCAAATATAATTATTTCCACTTTTCTCTTTCCCGAGCGTTTTTAATACTCTCTAAAACCACTTATGGGTGCCTGAACCCATCTTTTCTCTGAATTTCATGGGTGTTCTGGGTTCCACCATCTAGTTTGTTTTTTATTATTGTTTATCCCTATTACTCCACAGGTTTCTTTTCCATCTGCTAAGATTGTATTTTGGATGGTTCAGCCATACTTCTTCTATGTTTTTCTTTATATTTGAGTGCCACTTCTTTTTCATATAATATGTAGGTTTTAATTTTCTTTTTTTTGTTTCGCTTTTGTTTTCTTCGCCTTTTGCGATTCTTTGCGGCCATAATACATTTCTGTTGATTGAAATAAGCTTTTCTCTGGTATATTTCTGTATTTATTTATGTGCAAAGAAGCTGTTTGTTGTTACCATATTATGTTTGTCATGAAAAACTCAATAAGTATTGTTTTGTTGTTTCATCATCTTTTCTCCCTACTTTATTGAGAACTCCTATTACTATTCTTCCCTCTACATCTTGTGTTTCGTCATCCATTTTTTTTCAAAAAATTGTCTTTCAATTTTAACGTTTAGTATTGTTTTATTTACTGCCATCTATTTTCTTACATGTTTTATAATATCGGGATATACAATACAGCCTACAGCCACCTTTACCCTCTGCTTACTTTTTACTCTGTTGTATATCATGTGGCCTTTTTCTAATTCTGTTTCGCCTTTCTCTTTTTCCCTAATTTCCTTTGTGCTTAATTACTCAGTTTCTTTGTATATTCTTCAACTAATTAATTTTCTTGCATGAGTATGCTCCTAATGTCATCTTGAATTATACAGGGTGAACATTTTGTCTGGAACACTGGATACATATTCAAAACACCTTTTTATGGCATCTAAAACTATAAAAAGTTTGCTATCAATCTACATACTTTGTGGTTAGTGGCGTACTTCTGCGTGGTCGAGGGGGGGCATATTTTCTTTAATGGCAACCACTAGTTTTCATTATATATTATCAAAGAGCACACTTTTTGGTATATAGCACTTTTTATATTATAATCAAATTAAAGACGAAAAACTCAAAATAAAGAAGTGTTAATTAATTTTATAATTGGTACTAGTTTTACCATGTTTTTTACGTTGTCATATTAAAAAAAGATTAATTGTTTAATGTACCTCACGAAAAATAGTGATTTTCATGAAAAGAATAAGAATATGTAACGGAAACCAGTAGTTTCCATTAAAAAAATATATGCTCCTCTTCACCATGCAGAAGTACGCCACTGATCACAAATTTAAATAATGTAAATTGAGTTCCTTTTAAAAAAATCTTGTGTTGCAGATGTATCCAATGTTTCAGACAAAATGCTCACTCTGTATATACTATTGATTGTTGCGTTTTAAATCTCGATGTTTCAATCAGTTTCTCTGTACTCCTTTTCTCAGTGGTCAGTATGTAATTTTATGTTTCTATGGGTTGTAGTTTTTTTTATTATTCATTTTTGTACCATTGTTTTATTTTTAAATTAGTAACAGACATTACAGTTTTCATCATCAGAGGTAGTAGTTCTTTGTTTTTCACTAAATAAGAACTGCTACATAGTGGATCGGTTGCTATTAATGAATGTTTTTTCCAACAATAACATTATTCTTTGCAAAAACATCCCTTAACAACATTGTTAGTCTGACAAATATAATACCGGCCGTTAGTCCAAGTACTTTTGCTATTATGTAGCTCTAAAATAAGCACTGACCTGAAGAACCTAAAAACACATTGTGAAATGAAAGAGCCTGCTATCAACCACATTCTGCTGTAAAATGCACGCGCTATATGAAAGCATATACAGTAATATTCATGTAGGAGTAGACATAAGGATTTCCTATGTCTACTTTCAAATGATAAAAAGTCTTCTGAAGGACGCCTAATTTTATGCAACCAAAATAACTTCTTAAAACAAATAAAGATATTTGAATATTGTTGCTTTGACTTCACAGAAAATAAATCTCTTAAGTTCCTTTAGCTGTTATCGGTACTATACCGATTGGAAATATCAACTTTTTCTTTAGTTAATTATACAAACGAAAATTAGAATACCGAAGTCAAAGCCGTATTCAAATTAATTAATTAAGGTGACAGGCAGATCTTCATTTGTTGTAGGTAGCTATTTTGGTTGCATAAAGTTAGGCGTCCTTCAGAAGACTTTTAATCATTTAAAAGTAGACATAGGAAATTCCTATGGGAAATCCCTATGTCTACTTCAACATGAATATCACTGTATGTTGGTTGCTATTTGACAAATGTATATTTATAGGTCCTCTTCTCGTTGTACCACAATCTGCCAGATTTTATGCCCATATTTATGTCGGCCGAAGTTCTGGGTGCTCTCGCCAGTGTACTGTTTCCTATGGCTAACTCGAATAACGACAGTGGTGAAAGCAGTAACGGTTCAACGCCTCTAGTAGATGACGTGGATTCCGTAATCATAGTGGCAAATACTACCGGAGACGAGTGCGCCTTGACTTCTCACTCTGCACGACAATTCATAATCGACTTTATAAGAGTCATAGTGGTGGATTCACTTAGTTTGTCGGTTACCGGGAAAACATCTCCGGTCATTGATTTGGTGTTGGATGCGTATCCAGAAAGTGCGAGTGTCTCACAGCAGACTTGCTATCAGACGGAAATTTTGGATACACTTATGGATCACCTGCTTGCGGCCGACATGCTGGTAGGCGATCAAGCCGCAATACCGATAGTTCCTTTAGCGAATGCACACGTTCACCATGTTGCTCCAAACGTCTTTTATTTAACCGCCAGAATTGTTGATAAGTTGTGGCAAGGCGCCCTTACCAAAGATCCACACGAAGTTTTCGATTTTATCGTGAAATTAATCGGTCAAGCTAAACGACGGTCTGGAAATTTTTCTCTCGAATGTTTATATCACTGTCTGAATCGTTGTATCTTGTTCTTATTGTCGCGACCAACTAACTCAATCGCCGATCAAATGTCAGTGTTGGAGGCACTACACAAACTTACAACAAACAGGTGAGGTGAATTGTAAGATATTTGCCGTAGTAATTGTTGATTGTTCTTAGGTTAATAGTGTTCGGAGCTGGAAATCACGAATTGGATTTTATAGGGTGCCTTACGTATTGCCTATTACAGCTAACTGCCGATATGAAAATAATGTTAGATTGTAATATGCGTACTATGTGGCATGTAAATCCAACAAGCGATCTTGAGTGCAGAGACGAACATTTGAATCATCATCAAGCGCGGAATTTAATGGCAGGCGCCGCATTGCGTGTTTGGGAGGAGTTGTACGTGTGCAAAAAGCCTGCCATTGAAGAGGTTTTCAAAGTAACGTTGATAGTTTCGAGTCAAAACGCTAAGGCGCCCGATTTAACTGTAATGCGAGAACAAGTGTGCGAGGCAGCTACAAAGTTATGGTTGAATTACGTCGACGCAGAACGCAAAGCCGTTTACCGGGTGCCCTGGGAGCTACACAATCAGTTGCAATCGAAGATTCATAAAGTAACGGGTGGTTTAACGAGGTTAGCTAGTAGAACAAAAGTCAAAAGAGATGAGGTTACAAGAGTGAAAGTTCATATGGGAAAACGGCAAGCTTTACAGTGGATGTTAAATCACGTTAATATTGTTAAGTAAGTGTATTCGCATGTAAATCGCGCAATTCTAAACAAATTTGCAGAACCTTGGCAGAAATGCGCAGAAATCAACATCAAAACACCGCCCAACACACGCAGCGCTACGTTTACCAAGAGTGGATCCAAACCGAAAACGAACTAACTCGCGAACGCGGCTTATGGGGTCCACCAGAACCTTCCCATTTGGACAAGTGGATGTTAGACATGACCGAAGGACCTCACCGAATGCGAAAGAAAACAATGAAAAACGATATTTTCTATCTTCACTACCCTTACAGGCCCGAACACGAGAAAGGTATACTGAAATACAAAGTTGCCACAAGTCACCACAGCAAGGAATACTATAACGCCGTACAATTACGTCAGCTGAACGGCGTTTGCGGTATGGTCGAACCAGAAAAACGAGAAGAAGCTCTGTCAGAGGAACCCAATCCTATGCCGTTAACAGTCCCACCTTTGGCCCGATTGAAATCCGAACCAGACGATACACAAGAGGAGAATGAGACCGAAGAGGAGCCCACTCCACCGCCTGATAATCAAACACTTCTTAGACTTTTGGAGGAACACGAAAAGGTAAAGTAGGCAGAAGGTTTGTGTTTTCACGGTATCTTGGTTATGATTTTTAAGGCTAAATGAAAGTTTGCATAATATCAAATTTTGCTTCTACAAAAAAAGTCGTCACTCCTACCAGCTGATGGTAGAATCGGTTCTAACCTTTGCTTTGATTCCCCTGAAATGCTCCTTCAGTTGCCATCTTAATTCATAGTCTTATTGAAAAGCGGATAGGTGGGATTTCCCTTCATTCACTTTGATTTGTTTATTTAAATTGATTTTATTTTTTCTCATAGCATCAATAGTGTCAGTTAACGTTTTATTATTTTAAAATTGCACAAGCAAAAAAAAACAATTGAGTATATACAACAGGAAATAACAGTAACCATTTCTCGTAATAATTATAACAAAGATTTAAGAAATAAAAAAAAACTAAAGGTTTTGCAAACCCACTTTTTAAGAAATGATGATTTCTTAACCTGTCAAAGGATTGACCGTAGTCGGCTCACCTAAGCTACTGAACAGAACAAAAATTCCTCACTTATTTTATTTTTCAGCGTAACACTGACTTGTGTTTTAGCCAATCACAGTGAAGGTCAAAGACCTGCGACTCACGCGGCTCTTTTGATATAAAGTCGCGGCTCTCCGTATTTTTCTAAAGAAATTAGTTTATTTGTTCGAAATTCGCCTTTATAATTAATCTTATTTGTTTACGAAATCAAAACACACTTGCAGCAAATAATTAGATAATTTGTGATACTTGTTTACTTTCTGGTATTCTTTTGTTTTTTTATTATAGCAGCCTACTTTGATATATAAACACGTAATTAATTAATGAGTAGGTACTTTTGTGAAAAATATTGAATAACACAAAAACTGTGGGGTTTAAGCACAGGGCACCCCGTATAAACATTGAAGAGAACACCAAAGAGAATCGAATAGCGAAATAAAATAGTGGTAGTTCCATTTGAAAAAGAATAGTTATAGCACTATGGCATTGAAACAAGTAAAAATATGCTGAATGTTCTATTTAAAAAGATCAGTTATTTATTGACATCTTAAAAATGGGACACCCTGTACTAAAGTCACTAAATATAGAAAGTACCGCAATCCATTGGGCTCGTGTGTTAGAGAGAGAACGCATGATTTTTGCCCAAAAATGGCGGAAGTTACGATTATTATTTAAAAATTTTAAAATTGCACAAGCAAAAAAAACCAATTGGGCATATACAGGAAACAGAATTTCTTGTAATAATTATAACAAGATTTAAGAACTAGAGATTCTGCAAACCCACTTTTTAAGAAATGTTTTTAAAAACCCTTGAAAAGCAAAAAAAATCGCCAAAAACTTATGAATATTCATTTATTCACGTCCTAATAGAAATTGTTTGTAGAAATTTTCTTTAATTTCTTCGAAAGTTTCAAATAAATGTGGCGGTACAACTTGTACTAGGAATATTTTGTATAATTTTTAGAAACCATTTTCGAAACTGCAACTGGAATTATGCTAAAATCATGAAAAAATCCTTTACTTCAAAATCATCCTATATAAGTTCTTCCTGCAGCTTTCGTCAATCTTATCAAATTTTCCTATACAGGGTGTTCCTAAATGTGATGTAAATACGGAAGGGCTTATTCTTTAGTATAGTATAATATCGTAGGTCTCAATGCATATATAGTTCTTATTGTACCATGCGCGGCCCTCCCGTCTTCCCCGGTTATCCTGGTTATATGAAAAGTCGGCTGTACACCTTTGCCACAAATGAAAAATTTTTACCTCAGGCTAGGTTCAAACACCCGACCTCCGGCTATGTAGCCCAACGCTCTCCCACTGAGACACATAGTTGGGTTGTTACTTGACGCGACTGTGAATCGACCCTCCTGGAAAGCAAATTAGTTCTCCGAAAGGTGTCCCCCTTTCTCTGCATAAAATGTTAATCGGTTAGCACACCATTTGTCTAGGACTTCGCCTAGGATGGGGAGAAGGCTAATTGGCATCATACCCTGTCCTGCCGGTTAGGGAGCCATACTATTTTTTTGACTTTTCATGCCATGGGAAAGTGACCCAACCTTATGCATGAATTAGAGATGTTACGGAGGTTATGAAAGTAGGAAAGTTATATCGGAGGTTGAGGGGGTGAAAGGGGTGGCTGTGGACTATTGACCACAAGCGCCAGACGTGGGCGGGATTGCCGTCTAAGCATTCGTTCGCCTGGAGTACTAGGACCTCTGGCACTTGTACCATCAAGTGTTTGGGAGGCACCCGGGTTATTTCAACCTCTGACTCGCTTTCTCTCCAAGCGCTTTTATTGCTATTTGTGCCAGTATTGTTTCCCGTGTCTTGTGTATCTGAAACTAAATTCCATTAATTACCCTTTTTTCCTGCGCCTGTGGAGTGCTGTAGGTGAAGACATGTTTGTACTCCGACTAGGGCCGATAATGACGGGGGCTTTAGAGAGCTGGGCATGTTTCTCTTTTCCTCTACCCGATCTTTGGAGGAGCGGCGCCCGTCCTGTCAATGCGTTTCTAAGAAAGACTGATTCGTCATTGTCTCCCATATTCATAATCTACAACAGAAATATTTTAAAGCAGCACAATTCGCAGGGAAATTCCCTGTTGTCCACCTCCGGTTTAGTGCCGGCTACCTTTTCTGTAGGGGCGAGCCTGTCGACACCGTGCGGACTGAGGAATAAAGGTGGGCGGAGCGCGTCCTCTTCGGCTGAAGGACCGAGGAGGCTGTCATGCTAACTCCACCCTAAGCGCTTAGCGTGGTTTCTTCGCCTTTCAAAGGATTGATCGAAGTCGGCTCACCTAAACTACTGAACAGAACAAAAATGCCTCACTTGTTTTATTTTTGAGCTTAATACTGACTCGTGTTTTAACCAATCACAGTAAGGTCAAAGCTTCCCTCTGTTTTCTACAACTACCTTCTTAAAATGAATATAATTTAGCATTCTACAGACAATTTTGCACCTTATATGTTATGTCCGTCGCTCCGTCCGTCCGTCCGAGTTAAACTTTTGTAATTGGGGGGAGGGGGAACACACGTTTCACTACCATTCATGGTATTATAATGAAAGGTCTCATCGAAATAAACTGGTTTGTACAAACTATAACTTTCCCGGGCGACTCTTTTTCGAGATAAGTGGGCGACGGGGCTTGGGGGGGGGGTGGAACTGGTTTTATCCTTCATGGTACTCTAATGAAAGATCTCAACGAACGGAATTAATTTCTGCTAACCATAGTCCTCCTCCTCGCCTCCTTATCAGGATCGGATATATTCCCTTATATCTCCAGAACGGATTGTCGGAAGAGGGTACTCACAAAGCGCGATTGGGACGTCTGGAAGTGATCAAAGTGTCAAAACTTTAAGAGCGAATATCTCAAAAAGAGTTTGTTGGAGGAAAGTACTCTCAAAGGCAAAATCTGCAGAATGGATTGTCGGAGGACTTTGAATGTATTCCAGGCGGTCTTTAAATGTTTGTGTGTAAAGGGCTTCTTCCCCTTATAACCCCACCATTTCCTAAGCAATTTCGGTGTAAAAAATGTGCTTGCACAATTCATACTTGTTGATAATTTGAGGTTGGTCATAGAAATAATAATTAATAAATTTGTTAACATAAGAAAGAAATATAAAATAATCAACTGTAGATTAGCAAATGATTGTAATAATTTAAAAAATACATAGAGGACGCGTCAAAATACGAGGCCTATTTGAAAAAAATTTGACTTCATAGAATAAAAATAATTGTCATAAATGAAAAAAATTAACTTTAATTAATTTTTAATAGTGCATTAAACATTATTGTAATGTATTTTGGGCAAAATCCAATTTGTAGTCAAATAAAAATAAATTGCCGAAATCAAAGTACCTACCGCAAAGAATCAAAATAGGTATACAGAGTGTACTTAATTTAAATTTCCGAAATTTAGGGACACTTTTGGAAATATCAGAAGAACAATAATTTTAAACACAGAAGTCTTTTATAATGTCAACCACCAACTATTTATCACTGGAAACCTTTTGAAAGAACACTTCTGGAATCTGCTTAGAAATATTCCTTGACTATGAGAAACTTTTTTGTGAATATCCTCAGGAGCTTCCTTAGAAATATTTGTAGAAAAACCATCTTGGAAAACATTTTTAAGAAACTTCATTTAAATTATCAAATTCATACGAACCACGCCCAATTTTACTTAAAAATGTAAGGGGTTTTCTTAAGGTATTAAAAAAAACATTTGTGTGTGTGTGTGTGTGATTATTGTCTCAAAACGTGAATTATACAATGAAAAAAAGTGGCCCTACTTTACTACCTTGGGCAACACCGGTCAAAATAGATTCTGGTTGAATTTGCCAATTTCTCGTACAATACTGTCGGTATGACAAAAGCAAACTATTACATGGGCCATGTTAAGGTTTTAAAAATCATAACAAAGATTGTAATTAATGTGCAAAAAAGTGAAGGGGAAAAATTAAGACAATTTTTTTAGATAACAAACATGTTTCGTTGCGCCAGAATACAGGGACTGGATACAACTGAAGGTTTGCTCCTGTTTGGACAGGAGCATTGCTACGTCGTCGACGGTTTCACTCTATTAAAAAACAGAGAAATACGAGACATCGATAGCGTCTCATCGGAAGGATACGAACCAATATTACCGAATCCGGGTTCTCCGAGGTGTTCCAGATCGATGCGTCAGTGTTCGAAGTTTTCCTACGAGGACATCAGGTACAATATAACGATAGTTTATTGTTCTACTGATCGCGTTAATTTAGGGAGGTTCATAAACGAAGATATCTGTTACAACCGATGGCTCTTGAAGTGTTTTCCGGTGACGGTCGAAATTATCTATTGGCATTCCCTAGGAAGGTACGCAATAAGGTGTATCAGCGTTTTATGGCGACCGCTACCGGTATCGCTGATAGCGCGCAGCAGTCTGTTGCCGGTCAGAAACGTACAGCGAACGTAGAACAAGCTACTAGTTTATTATCGAACTTGATTGGTGAGACGAGTGTGACACAACGATGGGTGGTACGTCGATTTACAAGCTTGTAATTGATTTTGAGACTACCACTTTGTAGAGAGGCGAAATTTCAAATTTTCAATATTTAATGCATTTAAACACGTTGGCCGGACGTTCCTATAATGATCTCATGCAGTATCCTGTATTTCCATGGATTCTAGCCGACTACGATTGCGAAGAGTTGGACTTGACTGATAGTTGTACATTTAGAGATTTTACTAGACCCATGGGCGCGCAAAGTCCCGACCGATTAGACCAGTTTAAGAAGAGGTTTAAGGTAACGATTTTTAAAGGTAAACGCCCGCGTTAAAAATAATTGATTAGGAATGGGACGATCCACACGGCGAAACGCCCCCCTACCACTTTGGTACACATTATTCGAGTGCTATGATCGTTTGCTCTTACCTTGTCAGACTGGAGCCGTTCACTCAACATTTCCTAAGACTGCAAGGTGGCCATTTCGATTTGGCAGATAGAATGTTTCATTCGGTTAAGGAAGCATGGCTGTCTGCGTCTAAACATAATATGGCCGATGTTAAGGAACTCATACCCGAATTTTTCTATTTACCGGAATTCCTGTGTAACTCCAATCAGTTTGATTTGGGTACGTGAAACACAATAGGACGAATTTGCTAGTTTTAATTTTAGGTTGTAAGCAAAGCGGGGTGGCCTTAGGAGATGTCGTTTTGCCACCTTGGGCGAAACAAGATCCAAGGGAGTTTATTCGGGTACACAGGTTGGCCCTCGAATGCGATTATGTGTCTCAAAATCTGCACCATTGGATTGACTTGATTTTTGGATACAAACAGCAGGGTCAGGCGGCTATTGACTCGATCAATGTCTTCCATCACTTGTTTTATGAGGGAAATGTGGATATTTACAAGTAAGATTTGGTAGAAAATGATAATTCAAATGAAATTGCTTTAGTTAATTTGATTTCTTAAAAATGTTTCATTTACTTTCTGTTAAACGCAAGGGGGAGTACCAGGCTGACAGATAGATTTGAGTTCAGGATAGGGGTATGTTATCACAACTGTTTTTGCAATAGCCCACGCAATCCCGCCACAATGTGCAGTGTGTCTTATTTGGTTGAGACTCCAGTATATCTCAGGTTGCGGTTTTTGCGACTCTGTGCCACTTTTTGTTAAACTCTTAATACTACAAACAGAATCAATGTAGGTATGTTTGTTGCTGAGATACAGGGAGGAAACGAAAAGTTTGACTTTTGGGATGTTATCGTATCTTACCATCCATAAAACTACGTTTTTTGTGATATTTTTACGTAGAAACCAGAGACATTGCCAAACAATTTTTGGACTACAGTTTTTGAGATATGACCCAATGTTGGTGTTTTTTCAGTGCAACACCCTGTATATTTTAACGACAATTGTTTCTGATTCTTTTTCCTGATTACATTGATTGAATTTAGAATTTTTAGGTGAACAAGTTAATTAATTGACCGGATTGAAATTCCAAAATTTGGTAGTCCAGTTAACATCCATTGTTGATTGCAATTTTTGGGTCAAGCGAGAGGTCCCTTATCTACCATCTACGTAAACTGCACAAACAAAATCAGCTAACAACTAATTAACGGAGTTGAAATCATACAATATTCATTTTCCCTTATCTTCCCAACGACGGGAGCCGTAGGAATAATTCTCTATGGGAACAATAAAAAACGGAACAATTACATATGAGGCGCTTTCTTTCGGCTACTTCGCGATCATGATTTCAAAATCGTGATTCGTAGGATCACGTTTTACGAAAGAACGCGCGAATTTAAATCAAAGTATGGTTAAGTACATATTTGCACTCGAATTACGTATTTTTGATTGGATTATGAAAATAACTTAAATATAAGTGGAAGTACTTGCACGATTATGCTCCTCTTCAGTTATAAATATTGACTAACCTAACAAATTGATCAAAAATATCCTTGCATTTATAGGTTAGGAATTCGGGATCATAAAACTTTTATGTTCAGTTTGTTCACGATTTTAGCAATCATGATTATAAGATCACACTTCGAAAGAACGTGATTTGACAATCCAAACGCGTTTGGATCAACGAAAGAAAGCGCCTATGGGATCTTGGTTTCCTTATCGGTGGCTAAAACGGCGTCACAAATTAAAGCAATTGCTGTTAGGTTCTATTTTCAACTCGTACAATATAAGTAAACCCATACTGATATTTATGAATTTAACAAAAGATCACAATATTAACATATTGCAAATAAAATTGTTTAAAAACAAAAACAAAAAAAATTTTTACCGTATTTTGAGTTTTTTCAAATTTTTTTTTACAAATTTCTGAAGCAATTTTTTTTGCTAAATAAAGAGCGTCTAAAGAAGCGGCAGAGTACCTCGGTGCGACCGCACGGAGCCATTGGATTTGAGCCATTTTCAATAGGCTTGTTACATGTGGATCCGCGCTAATAAAAAGTTTTGGAAATCTGTCTTCTCTCTCCTCTTTAATGTTGCTAAAATATTTTCTTTTGTTTCCCAGTGCCCAACTGCCTTAATTAAAACATCTTTATTATTACTTTTTTCTGCGCAATAAAAGCAATTCGAAGTAAAATCGAATTCTTTTGCTTCGTGAACAATATGTTTTTGTTCACTTTCTCTCTTCCTGCCTGTTTTACAGCTGATGGGATTAAGCTGGGCCTGTTGATCGTTAATTTACAGGAATTATGAATATAATCCTCATAAAGTTTATTCCTGCAGGTTTGACATCTCAAATCTGCTTTTGGCAGGTAAAACCAACGTTCTTATTGCAGATTTTGCAAGTTTATCAACAGGCCCAACGCAATTGCATCAGCTATAAAACAAGCAGGAAGAAGAATCAGTGAACAAAAATAAATTGTTCAAGAATCAGGAAGCAATATACATAATTCGATTTTATTTCGAATTGCTTTTTATTGCATTAAAAATGCAGAAAAAAGAAATAATAAAGATGTTTTAACTAAAACAGTTGAGCATAAGATAACAAAAGAGAATATTTAGACAAACATTAAAGAGAAGGAAGAAGACAAATTTCGAAAAAATCTTTATTAACATCCAACATGTTGATTTATCATGTCAAAAACCGTATATATGAGTATCTTAAAACTGTTTTTCCGGTTTTTGGCGATTTTCTCGAATTTTTGCTATAGGAATAATATTTTTTTTATTTTTGTTTATTAAAATATAAGTCTTCCCGAAAATTTTGCTACCCCGCGCACCTCTGTACGATGAAAAAAAATAGATTTTTCATCCCCTTGAAAAAGAGGTGATTTTTTACAGAAATCGTGAGATCTTGGAAACGGTTCAACTTTATGGGCCCAAACAGTTATCTTCTGTTTTATCATAAAACAGGCTATGTTACCTCCAAATTTCAAACCCCTACGATATTTTTTCGCAAACATAAGAATAAAAAACGAAAAAAAAACAGTTTTTCCGGTCTTTCTAGGAAAATTGGAGGTTATGTGAAAATAGTGAAGATACAAAAGTTTTTTTAATCTCTATAACTTTTACATTTAACATTTTCGTCTAAAATGAATAGTTTTACCACAATTTGCAAAATACCACTTTCCACCCCTTTCAACCTCCGTGATATCACCCGCGGAAAAATTCAGCTGTTTTAATTATTTTTTTCCAAATTCTATTCATTCCACCTGCCTGAAAAACCAGGTTTCGCCCGGTAACTAATTTTTTTCATACAAAAATATTATATAGCCTGGACTATTTGTATTGAATCTAGGTAACAGAGGGTGATGAGTGTGACAATCAAACAAAACAAAATCATAGGATTGTTAAAAAAAATTTGGTAAAAATTGACTAAACCCCATGCTGAAATCAATCTGTCTGTTATTCTCTCCCATTAGTGTTTTTCAATATTATATAAATTGGCCATTCATGTGATGACACGACTTCACCTGATGTTTTTCTACAGTATTGATGATCCTTTAAAGAAGAACGCCACCATCGGTTTTATTAATAACTTTGGACAAATCCCGAAACAACTGTTCAAAAAACCGCACCCGTGTAAAAAAATGGGCGGCAACAACTCGCGAACGGTCATCGACACCGGATCATTAGTTCAGGCTTTCTCACTTCCACCACCGGAACGGTTATTTTTTCATCACTTAGACAATTTAAGGCCTTCACTGCAAGCGATTAAAGGTATGTAGTGACGCGAAGCGCATTATTACTCAATTAACTTTTTTAGAAGTCAAAAGTCCAGTTGGTCAAATACTCCACTTGGATAAAGCCGTTTTGGCGGTCGAACAGAATAAGGTTCTCATGCCGCCCTCGTACAATAAATACGTGGCGTGGGGATTCGCCGATCACTCCTTGCGGATCGGAAACTACGAAAGTGATAAGGCTGTATTCGTTTGCGAAACTGTCGTGCAAAGTAGTGGGGAGATTGTGGCGTGCGTGTGTCCTTCGGCTAAGCTTATCGTCACTGCTGGGACCAGCACAGTATGCTACATTTATACTCAGTAAATCCATTTTTAAAAAAACTTGTTATTAGGTTGTAACTGTCTGGGAATATGAGGCTAGAAAGAAACAATTAAGTATCAAACACAATCTGTATGCGCACACGGACGCCGTCACCTGTTTGGCAGCGAGTCCTGCATACAATGTAATTGTGTCGGGCTCGCGCGATGGAACTGCAGTTATTTGGGACTTGTCACGAGGGTTGTTTGTGCGGCAACTTCGTGGTCATACCAGCCCTGTGGCGGCGGTCGCAGTAAATGATCTTACGGTAAGCTTTGTATTTCGTATGTACTTTTCATGCTTGAATGAATGATAGGGCGACATTGCAACTTGTGCCGCAACCTGGTTGCACATATGGAGTATTAATGGAGATGAGCTTGCAAGCGTAAACACGTGTGTCGGAAGAGCGGATCGAATGCAACAAATTTTGTGTATATCCTTTTCACAAACGCACGAATGGGATTCTCTTAATGTCATCATGACAGGTTCTACAGATGGTGTTGCCAGAGTAAGTTGTGTTTTCCAAGTGATTCTTTCTATTTTTCCATTTTCAGATGTGGTCAATTGACTATGTGCAAGTGCCAGACGAAAATGACAAAGAAAAACCAAATAAAGACAATGTAAAAGTAGTACAAATAGCAGAGCAACCAAAGACAAATGAAATAGTAAAACCTCTACCGATTCATAGTCGGTTAGTGAAGCAAGTTAATGTCTCTAACGATAGCGTCGGCAGTAATTTAGTTAAGTCTGGTTCCGAAAGTAGCCTTTCGGAGGATAGCACTATACGAAGAAGTTCAGTTGATCGCCAGAGATCGGGTGAAATTAGTTGTAAAGAATGGAGAAGTAAGCAACAGGATGAGAAAGATACCTGCAGCGACACCGAAGATACGCCCCCTGTACCACCTGCTCGGAGAAGATCACGTATGCAGGGAATTCCTCGAAAGAGTGAAGGTGATCTTAAAATAGCATTGATGAAGTTGGTCGTTGTCATTTTTAATTTAGGTAATAGCGCAGATAGCGTAAGCTTGGAAGTCGACGAGGGGTCCGGAATGCGCACGAGCAAGTCTGATACTAATCTCACAGATTCGTTCATCATCGTTCCAGAACCTCGAAAACGTCCCGTTAATCCTCATAGCTCGTTACGACCAGGTAAATTAATACAGAAAATTACTGGCGGAAACCCGGTGCCCAATGAGAGCACAAATCAATCTGACCTAGCGCCATAGTTTTTACAAAGTAATAATACATCAATTATAGTGTCTCCAAGATTTTCCAAGACACGTATGGTATGTAAAGAGCGATTTAAAAAATTCAGCGTCATGGTTGTTGGTGATAAGGTGTTTATGGTGAATGAACACTTGTCAGACGGAGCTGTCAATTTATTTCGAGTTAAATTAAATTAAAAATTCAAACGTGTAATTAAGCAAATTGTCAGTGATACAGTATACTTTGATTTTCTTAGTTTACACGCACGTCACTGGTGTATTATTTTATTATTATAGTATTATTACGTAATCAAGAAGTATGTTTACATAGCATCTTGTAACCAATAGAGAGAATACGTATTGCATGTAGGCAGCCATAATGACAGTGCTGCATTGTGGGTAGGATATCCATTACATCCAACTACCTCTACTGAGCCATTACTAAAAGAATGTTTCAGTATTTGTGCGCACACTAAAGAAAATCCTACTATAGCAAAACGCGATAAAATAATTAAAACGGTAGCATCCAATTGTCAAATTTGACGTGTCGCAATGTAAACAGGAACTACCACACTTTCGATTATACAGGCTGTTTCAAGCAAACCGTTCCCATTACTAATTTATTTAAATCTGAAAATTTGCATACCAACTTAGTTTTTTATGATCTATCAAAGGAAAATATGTATCATGATCATTTCACTTCTGGTTTCACAGAATGTGGATAGCAACTTTCTCATTTTAAATAGAAAACCCTATCTTTTATTGCATTTTCGCAATCTTCATTAAAATCTCCGCCGTTTGATATCACATTTCCCTATACCTAGCATCAAAGGTTTTCAAGTTATTCAAGATTTTTCAAAATTTTTGACGTTTAACTGCTTTTCTTTAGCGTCCTTTCGCGAATTTCAAAAAGTCTTCCATATTCAACAATACTGACGTGATGCTACATGCCAATGATTTAAATTTTGATCGCCCTTCCACAGGGTGTTTTAAAACTAATGGTCAACTTTGATAAATCCTATTTACCTCGATGAATATAAAATTAAATAAAGATGAAATCAAAAACAGAAACAGATCGTGGTACCAAACGACAAAATAAAAAACAAACAGTAATTGAGATTTTGTTCTACGTAGCCACTGTATTTTTGAATAGATAATGGCTTCTCGAATTCCTACTGCATTTTATCAAAAGCTCTTATCACTCCGACTTTCAGTTCTTCACGAGAAGCAACTGTCTTTTATAAGACCCCACACATAAAAAAGTCCAGTGGCGTTATACCTGGAGCTCTAGAAGACCAATAGCGCGGATCTGTAGGCCTAATCCACCTGTTTTCACCAATGTTTAAAGACATATAAGCATCATGGGTAGAATGAGCCGGCGCTCCGTCAAGTTGAAACCAGTAGCAATGGCATCTACTAACGCGTTTATTTCAAGGTCTCCTAAGAAAATTATGCATATAATTTTAGAAAATTTTAAATAAAACGAAAACCATAACAGATAGGTATAGGAAATGTAATAATTGATCGATGTATTTTCAGATTTAAATTATTAATGGAAGTCTAAATACTTTTAGGTAACGGTTTGCGTGAAACAGCCGGTATATCAGTGTCCAATCGACAATATCACCTAGTTATATTATACACCCTATAGTACACCCATGTAGTACTGTCCGTTGGCCCTCTATACTCATTTACCTTTTAGTGCTCGTTAACGTGCATATCGTGCTAGTGTCTCGTTTTATTTGTTTTCTTTTCTTCATCTGTAAGTTTCAACTTCTAAATCTTTTTGTACTCCTTAGCATTTAGGTTTTTAGTCCTCCAGAGGACATTTGTAATGTATTGTAATGATTCTGGATTACTATAGGAGGGTGCACACAGTACCTATGCCTGAAATTCGAGCCCTTTGTACTACCTCCCTGCTAGAGTCATTCGACTCCGGGCAGGATACCCCCAACATGTGTTCGACAGAAAAAAACTAGAGGAAAACAACCTTGAATTTTTGGTGTACACTCCGCTGAATTAATTTGAATTAACGTGAATTAATTTGAATAACGGGAATTAATTTGAATTAACGGGAATTAATTTGAATTAACGGGAATTAATTTGAATTAACGTGAATTAATTTGAATTATCGGGAATTAACTTGAATTTTTGGTGTACACCAAGAATGATATTTGTTTCCACCTAGGAAAAAAATGACCACTATGGTAGCATGAATTCCCTTAGCTCCGTGTAGGCGCTTATTCACTTGCAACAACTTGCTGACAAATGATGCGCGGCTTTCGCACTTTATGAAAGGCACTAGACCTTCTAAACCTAGTTATAATAGCACATGAGACCCTTACGTTGTGCTCGAGTACCTTTAGAACCTCAGACCTAATTCTACCTTGCTGAAAATGAGGCCACAAAATCTCCACCAATTCGAATCAGAACTACTAGTTCATTACTTATAAAAAGCCTTATAAAACCGCCGCCAAACACTGCGTTTGCTAAGGTCATACTCCAATCAAGTGATATTGAGGATTGGACACTGATATACAGGGTCCTGCTCCAGTGCGTTGGTTTTTCTACCTGATACCTGTTAAAAAACATAAAAAAACCTTTTGTGCAAATGTCAACCATTGCACATCTACAGAAATTATTTTTGAATGTACAGGGTGTCTCATTTCTACGATATCAATAGAAAACTGATTTTTTAATGGAACACCCTGTATATTGGTAGTTGTTTCGATGTCATTTTTTAACTTCTGCATGGAAACTTATTCACTTTTTTGTCAATGTTACCAAATTATTAATTTTTTCTGAATAATTGCCCATAAGCAAGCTCCACTTTGATAAATCGTAGCGATCTTGATTTTAAAGTTAAGAACTACATTTAATCAATTATGTTAATGAATAAAAGGAAACACTTTGGTAATGAGAAAGTTGGATTTAGCGATACAGAGTGTTCACAAAAAATAGTACTTTCCAAATTTCAAAGTGCCATATTTTTTTTCAAACGGAATTACCACTATTGTATGTCTCTATTCGATAGTCTTTTGTATGCTCTTCAATTTTTATAAGGGGTGTCCCGTCGTTTTTAGGTGATTCAATATTTTTCACAATTAATCAATTACATGTTATAACCCGATGGAGACCATGATAATAAAAAAACAAAAGAATGACACAAAGTAAGCAAGTGTCACAAATAAATTATCTGTTGCAAGTGTACTCCCTATTTTGTATTACAATTAATATGGCTTAATTGGTAGCTATCCATCTTATAATATGGCTATTGTGCCCATCAATAGCTATGTTGGTAAGTATGAATTACATACTATCCCTAGATTTCCAATGTGAGTGTGTGAATACCATATTCAATTGGGATGTACAAGGTCAGATAGACTGAAGACAGTTCTCTGTTCTTCCCCCTGTAACCACAATAAAATCGAGGCAGAAAATAAAATTGCAATGACAATCATATACAGGGTGGTGACTTGCGTAACGCATCATAGGGATTTCAATGTAAAATTCATAACATGCGATTATTGGCTCCCCAAATTATTTTAGAGCAAAAATGTATTAAGGTTTTTTACGTCAATCAACCGCATTAGTTTTCAATTTTTTGCATAATAAAGACGGAAAATTGGAAAAATAAAACCCCCATCTTTTTCAATAATCTCTGATGCCATGGAATTTAATAATACAAAAACTACGCCAATATCCGTCATGCCATGGAATGTCTGCTATAAAACAAATCAAAATCTATCAAAAAGTATTATATTTATACATAAAGAAAGACCAAATTACTAAAAGCGGTTTCTTAATATAACAATTTACAATAAATGTTCGAATAAGTCACCATTAACTGCAAGACAGTAACCAAGTCGATCATAAAATCCATTTCAAACTGCTGCTAATTGATAACTGGATATCTTTTTGTTTTAGAAAATTCCATGGCATCGCAGATTATTGAAAAAGATGCGGGTTTTATTTTTCCAATTTTCCCTCTTTATATAAAAAAAAAGAAAACTAATACGGTTGATTGGCGTAAAAATTTTTTTTCTACAAAAAACTAATACATTTTTGCTTTAAAATAATTTGGGGAGCCAATAATCGCATGTTATGAATTTTACATTGAAATCCCTATGATGCGTTACGCAAGTCACCACCCTGTATACATAAACAACCTAAACATATACTATCCTATGCTCGTAACTAAATATCTACATAGCTTAAAACTTATAGGTATTACACCATGGCAGGTAACTCAAGATTATGTAATTAAAATGGCGAATTTATAAAAAGATGAACTAGTTTTTTTAAATAATTTTGTTTTACTACTAAAGAAGGAGTACACTTGCAGAAAATCATAAATTTATGGCACTTGTTTACTGCCTGGCATTCTTTATAAACCTGTCATTAATTAATGTGTAACAATTTTTGTGAAAAATATTGAATAACCTTAAAAATACGGGGTTTTGGCACAGGGCCAGTGGCGGCTCGTGGACTTTGAGTATGGGAGGGCGCGAAGATATATCTTTATATATTATAAAATGCGCCGCAGGCAAATTTTTTTAAAATTTCCAAGGTCACGCGTTTTCCTGCCACTTCTGAATTTCAATTAAAAATTATTTTATACAAAAATATAGACGTTCATAGTACGAATTTTTTCGATATAACGGCAATCTCAATCTCGTTCGTGTGAAAACTCGATACAAATCAACGTAACACCGGACACTGCCGAGTTCCAGCCGCTAAAGATGTGCGGCCAAAGGCTAATCTAAATAAACAGACTGAAAGTAGTGCAGTGCGCATGCTACTGTCTGTTGTCATGGCAACGCCGGCCGCGAAATTGGAAATTTTACTATTTTTTTGTGAACACCCTGTATCACTAAATTCAATTTTCTCATTACCAAAGTGTTGCCTTTTATTCAGATTCACATTATTGACGTATTTCTTGCAACCATTTATCAAAGTGAGGGTGGCTTATGTCGAATTACTCGGAAAAAAATGAATTATATGGCAGCATTGACAAAAAACCAAATAGTGAATAGGTTTCCATTCAGAGGTTAAAAAATGACATCGAATCAACTAAAAATATGCAGAGCGTTCCATTAAAAAAAATTCGCTGTGTATTGACACCGTACAAATGGTACACCCTGTACATTCAAAAATAATTCCTTAACTATCACTCCCCACCCTCTTTGTACCAACTGCCTACATTTCAGCCTACTCCATTACGTCTTTAAAGAATGAGTAAAGAGGGACGGACGAGTAAGATAGACGGGGGTAGTGGGAAATGAAAATCTAATTCTTTAAACAGGGTGTATAATCTAAGTGGTATTTTCGGATTGGGCACTTCATATAATTATGATCGAACTTCACTTAAAGTAACTTCGCTTCATCACTGATTGACATGTAACCTGTAAACAAAAAAATCCTTTTTCATCTAAGGTTTTTGGTTTTAGATGAAGCACCTACATTTTGCAAAGTACATTGATCAGTAATTTCAACGTTTATTGTGGTTTAAAATGATTTTTTTATTTTGTTAATACGTTGGCAGTACAATTTCCCCCAAAAACAATTGATGATGTGCGTGCAAACTAAGGAAAATCTAAGATACTAAATTTTTTGAATCGCTTCATATATAAAAAACAAGATTGGATCGAAACAAACATTTTTTTCAAATAAAACAAAGCCTGTATGTTAATCTCTAAATCTCTGAAGCAACAGTTAGCAACAAACTTTAATTCTAATAAAATGATGCTGCATTTTTCACTTATTTGGGTGTATTACTGTAATTAAATGCAAGAAGACCATTAGATATGGTAGCATTTAAATTCTAGGGCTTTAATACAAAATTTATAGAAACACTAATGGTGCTAGGTACAGAGAATTACCCTCTCTATAACCGAAAATGTAACATAACAAAATTAAAGGACTGCTTATATATAAATTGCTTACAATGCGAACTGGTAAAATGTTCTTTTCTTATAGGATTTAAGTGGCAAAGGCAACTAGTATTTAGGAGTAAATTAACCATGCATACTGCGTATGATAGAAAAGATAATGCAGAGCCCGCTTCCATTACTGCTCTGGCTGTATCGAGGTAAGATGTTTTAGCAATACGCACAGAACTTCTGCATTGTTTTTAACCATGCTAGTATTGATAAATTCATTGTTGCGATATTTTTTTTGAAGAACAATTTATTTTATTTCATTAATTTCAATCAACCTTACCTTAGGGATCATCGAATTGTCTATGTGGGCGACGCTCGAGGACGCGTCTTCTCTTGGAGCGTGTGCGAGATACCTGGCCGTGCCGCAGATCATTGGTTGAAAGACGAAGGCGCAGACTATTGCGCGGCGTGCACTATACGATTCACAATATACGAACGGAAACATCACTGTCGCAACTGCGGGCAAGTGTTTTGCTCGAAGTGTAGCAAGTTCGAGAGCGAAATTTCCCGATTAAGGATTTTTAAACCTGTACGAGTATGTCAAAATTGTTACGCTACATTGAAAGTAGAACGTTAAATGGAAACCCTCAAGGAGAAATTAGAACCCTTAAAAGTTTATAACTGGAGTTGTATAAATGTATAGATATATTTTGTATAAGTAGAACCAGATCTACAAAACCTTACCCTAGACGATACAACATTTAATCGATGTAGAAATACATATAATAATTGTAAGGGATCATTTATAAATGGAATAATTTTAAGATACTATGTGCGTTTTTTATGCAGCATTTACCAATACGCTTTTTCATAATTTTAGGAAACGCTTTAACCTACCATGGTGAAGTTTGTTTTTATATTTTTTGTTATATTTTTGTGACTGAAGAACTTTACAATGTTATATGGAAAAGCCAATCATATTTCTACTATTAATTGTTTAATTAATTATTACTTTGAGTAAATATTGTTAATTTTGTGTTAAAAACGAGTCATATTGTTATCGTATTAGTGTTATATATGTAGCCCCAAAGTCGATCCTATTTAACTTTTATTTGTATAATAGATATTGATGGACTTTTACCAGTATTATATTTGTTGTAATGCACTTCACGCAGGCTTAGAATGGAAACACCAATCTGTCATAAAGAAAAAAATTATTGTTATATAATTGTAGTGCCGTAATTTTGTTCCAAGCTTAATGTTTTCATGCCGCAAAGCAATATGTGAAACAATAATTTTGTGCGGTTTTAATTTTGCTGGGGCTTAATTTATTGAATAATCTATTTTTACATAGCCAGTAGTTTGAGTATTTTTTAGAGAGTTGTGATAGAACGGTAATACTCTAATACATTTTCGGTATTATTTTTCTATTGTAATGGAACGAATTTGTTTAATACATGAAGAATTGCACTGGCGTACTGTAGACAATATAAACTTTTGCACTATTGTGCATTCCAAAGTATATTTACGTATAATTTTATAAATGTATGTGATACTGTAGAAATCTAGTTTAGTAAATTGTAAATAACCTCCCGATTTAATATCCTTCATTAAAATCTGAGTCATAACTAACGTTTCATTTTGTTTGCCCATTTGTATTTTTTGTTTGTGCTGTTTTTTCACTTCGCTTCCTTCGTTCTATCCAGAGGAGGAGTCTATAATACGCACTAATTAAACATTTCTAGCTTCATTATTTATCTAAGCTGCTTGGTAATACAATCGTTTGTTTGATTTTGTCAAATAATTTTGTAATCATTTCAACTGATTTCTTTGAATAAATCCACGGAATTAAATATCCTTCCTTCATCAGACGTTCCTTATAATGTCATTTCATGTTTTTGCAATGAAACCTAATATTGAATTTTCATGATCCGGTAAACAAAACTTGGAATAATTTTTATGTTGGGTTGTGGGTCCGTGAACTTGAAATTTTGATCTAGTAGCCCAATCTTCAAACTGTTTGAAATTATGGATTCTACAGGTCAAATTCTATACGAAATTGTTTTTACCCGGTCGATCTCGGACAATTTTTTGTTCGAGCCTCAAAAAAAGGCAGTGTATAACCTTCCTTTTTTACCAAAAATCGACTGCACCAAAATTTCTCGGGAAAAAACTTTCTTATTAATTTTGGTGCGTAGAATCCAAAACGTTTCATACTTTTTCGATGTAACTTGGTTTTGTAAATAATTGTTATTTATTATGTAAGTTCTCTTATATATGTCGTAGTCTTTTAGTGAAATCAGTCATTTCACGAAACGCCTAGTCCGAAGCCTAGTCATTTAGTGAAACGCTGAAAATTTGTACGTGTGGGGTATTTTTCCTTCCGCTTCTAGATCGATAAGGGATACCATTTATCGATCTCGAATGGGAAGGGAATCCAATCGCTTGGTCCTGGAAAGTACACTGTGCACAGTTTCATATAAATGGCTAGGCGTTTCGTGAAATGACTGATTTCATTAAAAGACTACGACATATATATGTGTAAGACGATAAAGGGACATTTTAACTATCGTGAGATACTTAAATTTCGTCCTGACATCTGGCGCTAATTAAGTCAGACTCGGATGTTACCAATTAATGTAGGGTACCTCTTAATTACCATTGTTTTAGTTCTTGAAGCTTAGGGACAGATGTCACCACTGGCACGAAACAGATTTCTTTTAACACACGAGCTTCGAGTTCATTAAACTAACGTTAGATGTCGGAAAGTTATGTTTCCATATGTAACTCTTTTATGCAAAAAGGGGCTCGTTTTGATCACTATTTTGTAACATTTCTGCAATGGGTAGCAATAGCACTTATCTCATTACGGTGTCCTTCATGTACTTAAAGCTCCTCTGTAGTCAATCCGCCATATTGGAAAAATAGCTAAACTTTCTTATGAAATGCTGCTTTTGTAGTTGAAGTCTAACAAATTCTCGATAGTGGATATTCTTTGCAATGATGAAAAGAACGGAGGTACTTAAAAAAAGTTGAAATATCGGTCTTAGTTTTTTAGGAAGATCGTTGAATAGAAAATTCGTTTTTCGTAAATAACAGCCGTTGTAATGGGAGTAGAAAAACCTACAGCACCAATTTGGAAATCCGACAGTATTTTTTACGGCGGTACTTAAAGATATTATTTCCATCTATTATGATAAGGCATATATTTTAAAAAATAAGTTCCGCGATTTTCAGAAAAGAGCGCAACGTTAACATAAAGGTAGGCAACTCAAATTGCACTTAAACCCCTAAGGCGATATCTCATTACTTGCAAGGAAAAACAAAAGAAACTACCTGGCATTATCCTGGCACATTGTTACCTCGTTCCTAATGACATGGATTAGATAAACTACTATATAATTAGCTAATGTTTATTTTTATTTTTATAGAAATACTTTTTTATTTCTAAAACATTTTTCATTCTATCTAGATTCTTCAAGAAATTTGTTTAGGAAGATATCAAATAGTAGCCCCATTTTTTAGCTCAACCCAAGCGGAATACGACCACTTATGTGTTTTAGATACATAGTGAGACGATTATACCAATAATTTGGTGGCTTCTTGTCGCAATTCAGGTGTGGTGTAAAAATGTGACTCCTTTTTGTTTTTTTTAACATTTTGTACCATGAAACTGCTTATCTACGTGCATAAAAACATTTAAAAAAATGTGGTAGGGCAGGACAAACGCATGACCTCGACATAAGGAGAAAGCACAATACCACAATTCCACAAAATACATCAGAAGTTTCAATTAGCATCAATTCAAAAGTAAAGTTTGTCAAGTTAGCGAGACACCACCAAAATGAATATCCGTATCAAAAAAAGCGGCATAATTCGTTGGTTTTCCCGGTTATTGGTGGCAGATATAAAAAATTCTCGCACTTTTAACAAATTTCGGACTATTTACTTTTTCCGTTTGAGTACCTACCTATGCCTTTTGATAGAGTCCCGCAATCTTCACATCAACTTTGCTGCGATTTTTTTAAATTTCCATTACTATGTGGCAACAGAAAACGGTATGTTCTATACTGTGTACTTATTTTTAGCGGATTTTTTTAAGAAATAAATGAAGAAAATATGCAAAACTGAAAAAGATAGAAATATACCGTTTTCGCACTCAACGAATATACGTAGAAATGTGTATTGTTGGTGGTCTAACCAATTGCAATAACATTGAAATGCAAATTGACTACAGAGGAGCCTTAATTGGGGAGCTTCAAGCAAATCAATCCCTAATTTGAATATGAGCACTCCATATTTGTGTAGCCTGGTTTGTAGGCAACACATCATGCTCAATGAACAGAAAACATTAATTTTTGCAATTCGTAACTTCTTATGCATAGGAGTTTATTTAAAGCCCTTGAAAGAACAATTTCAATGTAAACTGACCCGTTTTACAACAACTTTCACACGAAGATCGCACAAACAACATATTTTTTCGTGATTGCTAACTGCGTAACACTTTTGCCTTATTTCGCTGCCAATTTCACTACCGTTCCTATAACCGTAGTTCTATCAAATAAACTCGAGGCTCAATTCTTTAAAGAATAGCTTCGCACCATCGGCAGCTGCTACAATCATGTAATCGTTCCGATTTTAATATTGAGAAGTTTGAATTGCATTAGAATGGGGTTTCTGCGAGTTCTCCTCAATGTTGTCCCCCTGTTTTGGTTACAAAGCATTTCCCTTTTCAATTTGTGTTGTCTGAATTCAATGCTAACGTTTATCATCCATCGAGAACTACATGTCTTCAATTGCACGCCCCAGAGAGAACAGTATCATATTCCGCAAAGCTCGAGTCTGCCGCTTTCCTGTCACTCCCAGTAGCCAGTTACCTAATTTAAACCTGTAAGCGAGAAAGGAATGATAACAAGGTTTAATTTTTGACTATAAAATAAACATTTATTTATGCATTTGAGGTTAAAACTTCATATATCTATGGTTTCTAAAAAGAGCGCTCTGACATCTAACGTTAGTTTCATAAAGTATATTAAAAAATTAATGTGGCGACGTCTTTGATGTGTAAGTTGCAACTAAAATAATGATGGTAATAAAGTGTCCTGCATTTAGCGATAAAATGTTAGTCCCCAATAATAAAGACAGATGTCAGCACAATGTCTTCTGCTTTGATTATTTTAATATTAATTATTAACCAAAAACTCAGGCAAGTTGTGCCTTTCGCTGTGGAAGGAGTAAACCACGAAACTCGAAAATTAAACATTTCGCTCCTGTATTATAGCCTATTCCTTTGCGTCATAGCGTTTTTGGATTGCCAAAGGACAGGGCGGGTAAACGGCCGTCCGTATACCTCGTTGGTATACCTAGATTTTTGACGATTTTAATAAAGTATCTGTTCGCAATACACGATTTAAATCGCCATAAGAGTACGCTGCAATAAATAAGAATTTTAAATCGGTGATCATTTTAAAGACTTGAGAGTTAAGTTTCATGTGAGTTAGGTTAGATACAAGATTTGTAAAAATTTAAAACGCCCAAACTAATCTGACCTAACCTAACTACCACTCTAACCTAACCTTCAATCAACTTCTTGAACATTATTATGTTACAAGATTTCTGAGCTAACCTAACTAGCACGCTAACCTAACCTCACTTAAATTTTATTTTAACCTTCGATTTCCTCGCACATTATATTCTCCTGATACCAGATTTCTGAGCTAACCTAACTAGCACGCTAACCTAACCTCACTTAAAATTTATTTTAACCTTCGATCTCCTCGCACATTATATTCTCCTGATACCAGATTTCTGAGCTAACCTAACTAGCACGCTAACCTAACCTCCACTTAAATTTTATTTTTAACCTTCGATCTCCTCGCACATTATATTCTCCTGATACCAGATTTCTGAGCTAACCTAACTAGCACGCTAACCTAACCTCACTTAAATTTTATTTTAACCTTCGATCTCCTCGCACATTATATTCTCCTGATACCAGATTTCTGAGCTAACCTAACTAGCACGCTAACCTAACCTCACTTAAATTTTATTTTAACCTTCGATCTCCTCGCACATTATATTCTCCTGATACCAGATTTCTGAGCTAACCTAACTAGCACGCTAACCTAACCTCACTTAAATTTTATTTTAACCTTCGATCTCCTCGCACATTATATTCTCCTGATACCAGATTTCTGAGCTAACCTAACTAGCACGCTAACCTAACCTCACTTAAATTTTATTTTAACCTTCGATCTCCTCGCACATTATATTCTCCTGATACCAGATTTCTGAGCTAACCTAACTAGCACGCTAACCTAACCTCACTTAAATTTTATTTTAACCTTCGATCTCCTCGCACATTATATTCTCCTGATACCAGATTTCTGAGCTAACCTAACTAGCACGCTAACCTAACCTCACTTAAATTTTATTTTAACCTTCGATCTCCTCGCACATTATATTCTCCTGATACCAGATTTCTGAGCTAACCTAACTAGCACGCTAACCTAACCTCACTTAAATTTTATTTTAACCTTCGATCTCCTCGCACATTATATTCTCCTGATACCAGATTTCTGAGCTAACCTAACTAGCACGCTAACCTAACCTCACTAAAATTTTATTTTAACCTTCGCACATTATATTCTCCTGATACCAGATTTCTGAGCTAACCTAACTAGCACGCTAACCTAACCTCACTTAAATTTTATATTAACCTTCGATCTCCTCGCACATTATATTCTCCTGATACCAGATTTCTGAGCTAACCTAACTAGCACGCTAACCTAACCTCACTTAAATTTTATTTTAACCTTCGATCTCCTCGCACATTATATTCTCCTGATACCAGATTTCTGAGCTAACCTAACTAGCACGCTAACCTAACCTCACTTAAATTTTATTTTAACCTTCGATCTCCTCGCACATTATATTCTCCTGATACCAGATTTCTGAGGTAACCTAACTAGCACGCTAACCTAACCTCACTTAAATTTTATTTTAACCTTCGATCTCCTCGCACATTATATTCTCCTGATACCAGATTTCTGAGCTAACCATGGGCTGCATTTACTCTCAAGATTCACTCGGAACAGAATATGCGTTTATTTTGTTTGTACAGTTTTCAATATAAAAATTATTTACAGAAGTTGTACTTTATTTTCCTCCTCAATAACAAAACTGATAGGAAGATTACAGTACAATAAGCACTTGGTCCTTCGCACTTTGCCGAAAACACTTACAAATTTGGTAGGTATCAGGAAGATATAACGTGAAAGGAGGGCTTTCAGTCCCAAATACACCTGTTCTTTGTCGACAAACTTAAGTAAAAGGTTTCTTGCTACTAGGAGAACAGAATTCAAGAAGAGGTCTTTTTCTATCACTATGAGCGTTATTTCAAAGCTTAATTTCGTTTTAAAAATTTGCCATTCTGTATCAGGATCATATGATGTGAGAGGAGGTGTTTCTTTTCCTAATACTACACCTGTTACTTGTCGACACACTTACGTAAATGGTGTCCGGCTACTAGGAGAACATAATATACGAAGAGGTCTTTTTCTAGCTCTGTCAGAATTATTTCAAAGCTTTCATTCGATTTAAAAATTTGCCAATTCTGTATCAGGATCATATGAGGGCGAGGAGGTTTCTTTTCCTAATACTACACCTGTACTTGACGACAAACTTATGCAAAAGGTTACAAACAGTTGTACAGCCCTTTGAATTTTCTTTCGAAATTGATTTCTGGTCTGTAACTTTTGATTGAGAAGTCTGATGGAAAAAGTACGAATTGTTTTGGATTCTACGCACCAAAATTAATAAGAGAAAGTGTTTTCCCGAGAAATTTTGTTGCAGTCGGTTTTTGGTAAAAATGGAAGGTTATACACTGTCTTTTTTTCGGGCCTCAAAAAAAAATTGGCTCAGATCGACCCGGAATCTTTCTCGATCTCTGAGCGCCGGAAGTTCGAGGTCGATACTATGGGGTTGAGCGCCCTTCGTCGCAACGGCACTGGGTCCCGCTGATCCGGCGAAGCTCTCTCCCTTACCTGGCTCAGTGGAAGCTGCACTGAAAGTTATGTGCCGCTGTAGTGCCTGATAGGATGCCTCATCGACAACAAATGCGAGGAGAACCCTCCCTGCGGTAGAACGTACTTCATAGACTCGTCCTGAAACCAGGATTTTGCCTATGGAAACGCTTCGAGATGATGGCCGTGTTCTCCGGGGGCCCGTACAACACAGCCATCACCTTGGTTACTCTAGGGACGTGCCTCTGAACTTTCAGAGACGCCCCATCTCAGGGCTTAATAAGAAGGACAGTCCTCTTCAACCAGTCCAAGGTCCTCTGGTCTTCGCATTCGGCCACTATGGCACTCTGCGGAGTCCAGCGGACACCTGCCAGCCGAGGAAAGGGCCCTCCATCCTGTCGACTACTGCATTCAATGCAGCCATAATACACTTCGACTGAGGCTCAGTGATGTCCATCTCAGGGTGTGATACTGGAGTGGTCACCCTGAGCCCCGCCGCAGAGGCTTGGGTGCACCAGAACCTCTACGCTTCTTCTCAAGCTGCCCGGAGCGGGTCTTCATGATGTGGGATCGCCGAGCGCCCAAAAGATTCTTAGGATCTTTGGTAATCCCTATACTTTTTCAAAATAATTTCTTGTAATAGTTGAACCAGTTCCAATGAGATGTCGCCACGTACGTATCTACCTTCCCAAGAACATTTTAATTTATGCATTTAATAGCCACGTCCGTCTCAATTTTCTTATAGAACGTGGCCTGTAGAATCCATATAATTTCAAACAGTTCCAAGATTGGGCTATTAATTCAAAAGTTACAGCCCCTTGAATTTTCTTTCGAAATTGGTTTCTAGTCTATAACCTTTGATTGAGAAGTCTAATCGAAAAAGTACGAATTGTTTTGGATTCTACGCACCAAAATTAATAAGAAAAAGTGTTTTCCCGAGAAATTTTGGTGCAGTCGATTTTTGGTAAAAAAGGAAATATGTAGCCCTCAACTATGGTAGCCCTGCTTCACAAATTACAAGAGTCTTTGCACCGTTGATACTTTGCAGAGCACTTTAAAGTCTGGATCACTTGAAGCACTATGCACATGAAATTCAAAATGCTTGCGTAATGCCCTAAAGTGCTCGCGGCAAAACATTGCAAAGCTAAATTTGCACTACAGTTAGTCGATTCTATAATTTAATGGATCATTTTAAATTCAACAAACATTTTACATTTCATTTTAATGATTTCACTAGCCTTTGTCGCCGATACTTTTTAAATGTTCGTTTTTCCCGCAAACTTTTGAAAATGGTACCAACTTTAACCGCAATGCGCAATTGTAGTACATGAAACTTGAAAGAGCGCACGCGCAAGCCGAATTCACCATTCACGTTGACGTCCATTATTGATTATATTTATTTGCCTTTATTGCATACCCAAATTTTGATTTAGTGTTTCTGCAAGATTTCAAAGGTAATCCACTGCATTGTTAATTCTTTTGCTACAAATTGTCCCATTAGCAATTATGCTCCTGGTGAAAACCCAGATTTTACTGATAACATTGTCTAATTTACCTTTCTTTTTTGTAGATGCCCAACATCAAATTGCAATCCTCCGATGGCGAGACGTTCGAAATCGACGTCGAGATAGCGAAATGCTCCGTTACAATTAAAACCATGTTGGAAGATTTAGGAATGGACGATGACGAAGAAGAAATCGTTCCGCTACCTAACGTCAACTCGGCGATTCTAAAGAAAGTCATCCAATGGGCCACGTACCACAAAGACGACCCTCCGCCACCGGAAGACGATGAGAATAAAGAAAAACGCACCGACGATATCTCTTCGTGGGACGCCGACTTTCTGAAAGTCGACCAGGGTACTCTCTTCGAATTGATCCTAGCCGCCAATTACCTCGACATCAAGGGACTGTTAGATGTAACGTGTAAGACTGTCGCCAATATGATTAAGGGGAAGACGCCAGAGGAGATTCGCAAAACGTTCAATATCAAAAATGACTTTACCGCCTCCGAAGAGGAGCAGGTGCGTAAAGAAAATGAATGGTGCGAGGAGAAATAAATTGATTATTATTATCTCATTAAATTGTATTTGTATCCTAAATTTGAGAATTGTACTCGATAGCTGAATACTACTTGTTGAATTAGAATTTTCCCATTTTCTTAATATTTTATGTGTGAATTACATTAAAACATTTATAACACTTTCGGTTGTTTGATTTCTTGTATTGGACCACCAAGGATTTGTAGTAAAATGCTGTTCGAATCGATGCTCTCCCTATGAAGGGACTACCTAGCCATAAAAACGATGAAACGAAATGATTTTAACAACTACACGCCGCCACTGGGGGTAGTGAATTTTATCGTTCCTTTAGGAGCCACAACACATTAAAAAAAGGTTAAATCAGTTCTTTAGAAAAGTTGGAAAAAATGGGCGTTCTTTGATCGCTTGTAAAAATTTTTCTATTGGACCGATTTTGTTTGTTTTTTTTTGATCGACGCAGAATTTTGTTTTCTTTAATTTACTAAAGAAGTGTTATTCATCAAATATGGACCGTTTTCGAGTTTTAAACTGAACTGAAAAAAGTTCGAACGTTTTGAGGTTTTTTGGCTGCCAAAAGTTGTGCCGGGAAAAAATTGGTGTGCACTCTTCAAATACATGTTATTTAGACCCAAATGGACCATTTAAAACGTTAAAATCGTTTACACCACATTTTGCAGGAATCGGCCCTTCTGACTGCTCCGCATACTGGACTATCTGAGGAAACTGATAATTTTAGATGGGAAATATACACAAACGTGTAATTTAGTCATATTTGATTTGATCTATATATGCCTTGTCATAATAGATGGAAATAATAACTTTAAGTACCGCCGTAAGAAATACTGTCGGATTTCCAAATTGGTGCTATACGTTTTTCTACTCCCATTACAACGGCGGTTATTTACGAGAAACGATTTTTCTATTCATCGATCTTCCTAACAAACTAAGACCGATATTTCAATTTTTTTAAGTACCGCCGTTCTTTTCATCATTGCAAAGAATATCCACTATCGAGAATTTGTTAGACTTCAACTACAAAAGCAGAATTTCATAAGAAAGTTTAGCTATTTTTCCAATATGGCGGATTGACTACAAACATTGTTTAAATTAAACAATGCCACAGAGGAGCCTTAACAAGTGGGTGTGACCCGGTACCTCAAAGGCCCATTGCGCCTACCCCCTTTCCTTCGCAACTAGGTTCAGAGCTCGTTTCTCTCAATAAAGAATAGAACCCTGTTGAGCTCAAGTTGCTTCAATCTCCCCGGTTCCAGATAGCCGCCGCCAAGGAGCTGATGCCTGTCTCTGACCAAGGCATCACAGTTGCAGACCACATGCTCTGTAGTCTCATCCACCAAGCCATAGAATCTGCACCTGGGCTCCTGTAGACACCCAATCCTGGTGCAGGTGGTAGTTGACCATGTATAGTGCCCGGTAAGGACTGCTCTCTATTCTGATAAGAAGGCCCTGGACTGTCGGGAGTCCAGAAGCGCGTTACTCACTGAGCCTGAAATTGAGTAGTCTTTAATCCTGACCATGAAAATGAAGGGAGCAAGTCCTAGAGTAAGGCTTGAGTCTCAAGAAAACTCCTCTCTTCACTGCCTTCGCAAGCCAACTCCTGCGGCCTTCCGTTGCCCTCTATTCCGCAATGCCTGGCATCCAGAACAAGCTTTAACTATTAGCAAAGAATACCCACAGTGTACTCTAATTGCTATTAGACTAAACTATCCAAGTTCGCCTACAATAAAGCGCCGTGGCTATAGGCAACCAACTCTGCACATAAGAACATTTTTCCCGAAGGCCTGCAAAGTCACTTGAGCGTATTTTCTTCAAAGTGCAAAATGGCTATTGGCTGCACTCGTCCGTCCGTCCGCCCGTCACACGTACTACTTCTACACAACTGAACCGGATTGGGCGATATGGGGCTCATTTGAAAGGGCTTGAAGCAAGGATTCCGTGCGTACAGACATTTTTGGTTTTGCGCATGCGCAGTGTCAAAAAATTTGGTTTAACGCATGTGCAATACTAACTTTTTTATTTATTAAGATATTTAGATGAAACTTTATATGTACACACTACGAATATAAGTAAAACTAACGACCTTTTCAAATTATTGTTTTGCGCATACGCAGTGCCAATTTCATTATTATTAGTTCACTATCATAGATAATTAAGAAATAACCAATAGGAACCAAGGTACTTGCTAACCAATGAAACCATCCTGAGCTTAGTGAAATAATGATAATGATTGTATAAACCCACCATTCATAGGAGAAAAATACGCTCTCGTCATTTATGTTTACATAATAAAAAGAGAAAAAAATCATCAAATGAGCCTAATGAAAAGGTGCACTGCTATTAAAAAAAATTCAATTGTTTTTCGTTACTCATTTGTTTTCTGAAATAAAAACAACTGAATGCTGCTTTATTATGGGAAAATGTTAAACAACTTTCATATCGAAAAATGATGTATATATTCGATATTTACCGAGATATATATACTATATTCCATACATAATGGGCACCCTGTATACCCATCCACAACTGAAAGTGTAAAGGCTCTAGTCTAGTCCAAGAAGTGCCTCCATGGTCAAAGTTGGAGTTGTTTTTTTATTGGCCTATTTCTCCATAGTGTGTTGTCTTTTACTTTGCATGCTGTTATGTTCTTCGAGATACTTGGTCCACTGCATGCACATAATATCATTGTCCTTTTGAAGCCATACTTGTATTTTCTGGCTGCACATTGCTTTCCCCCGAAAGTTTTCCATGCGGTTGGTTTTAGCCATGCTACTGATGTGATCATAGAATTGATCCAGGCTTCTGTTTCTTCAGTACCTTTTATTACTAGTACTGCTGCACCCATTTCCAATTTTGGTAACGTCGATTTGGTAGGTAGGTACTTGCTGGTGGACTTGTCTTCTGCATTGAACCCCCTTAGCCACTGTTGCTTCTTCCATTTCCCTGTATTTAGATAGTTGGTTTTTTTCTTCCATTGTTGATACCATGCCCAATGTTTGACTGCTTTGGTAGGTACCACCATAGTATGTACCACGTACGCTTTGTTTGCCCGCACATTATCCAACCAATTCGGTTTGTTGACCCAACAATTCGTCTTCGCTTTCATGACTTCAGGTAGCATGATCTAGGGGTATTCCTCTGTCTCCAGAGAACGAATGCCATTTACCAATGCAAGAACTCCGATCTAAAATATGATAAAGAGTACACTTGCATCTGTCATTGTAATCGGTCCATCCGTTTTCAAGAAATCGTGGTAACGGACTGACACCGCAAAATTATGAACTCGCTAGTAGCTCGATAATAATAATTGTTTTTAGATGAATTGGGGTTGTGAGTGTGCAAATTTGGAACTAAATTTGTGAATGTTCGATTGCAGTCCTGAATTAATAGGTATAGGTACTTACTTGAAATAAGGGTTTGTATCAAATTAAAAGTACCTAGGAGCGAAAGCGATTTCATACAGCTAGAGCAAATTATTTGGATGTAGAAGTTAATATACAAAGCTATTTATTAAGAAGTAGACATATTGATTTATTAATATTGCTTTTCCCTATGTCTACTTTCAAAAGACAAAATCCTTCGCCTAATTTTATGCAACCAAAATCACTTCTTAAAATCAAATTATTTTGTGTTTTTATATTCGTTCGTGTGCGATGTATTCAACTGATGAAGAAGTTGATATAGTCAATTGGTATAGTGCTGGTAACAGTTTAAAGAACGGTAGAGATTCATTTTCTCTTGAGCCAAAGCAACAATATTCAAATATAATTAATATGGTACAGTCAGGATGTTTGTTTTAAAAAGTTATTTTGGATGCATAAAATTAGGCGCCCTTCAGATGATGTCTTTTGAAGGTAGACATAGGGAAAAACAGTATACATCAATCCCTAGCTATGTCTACTTCTTAATAAATAGCACTGTATTATGGTCTGCAGTTTTTAATAAAACAAAAGGTGTCTCACAAATCAATCAGATCATGGTTCAATAGGTAGGTGCGATTACGTCAAGGGCACAAAATTTAATTCAAGAAATTGTGATCAACAAAACGTGTATAATCATACTAATAAGGTGTTATGCAAATTAGGCCCATGCATTGTGCATCGCAATATCCAATCCGTGCGTGAAAACCACTTATTTTTCGGCGAGGAGATTGATTACGCAATTGAGAAATTGCGTTTGTAAATGAAAATAGTAAATAATAACATTCAGCGAAAATGTTGACCTAATTGATACCCAAAGCACACGTGTTAGGCAATATGAAAACTGATACATCAGTCAATGCATCTTTACTTTTTGCAACAATAAATTAGTGTATAATAAATATAATACAAATTTAATACTGATGGTTTCCTCAGAAGTTGTTTTTGTTTAATAGTTGGCTTCTACGTACTCGTAGTCAGAATTTCCAGGGTTCAGCTTTTTTAAGAGCAATTGTAGTGGGGGAGTATCATATCCCTGAAAATAAATAAACATTAGATAGACCATTACAAATATATTATGTTGTTGCAAAACTTTTTGACTTATGACCCCAGAGTACATTGTCCGTCACCTAGCCACGAATAAACCCTGTGCCCGAGAAATTCCTTCCAATGACGAAGTCTAAATAAAGATTTTTTCCACCCCGCGATTTACATATTTTGCACTTGCGATAAACTAATGAATCTGTTTTGCAAGTGATGAATTTCATTAGCATACATAAAAGTTTTTGATACCTACGTGTGCCCTGTCCTTATCTTTCCAGTGCATGATGGTGTCGAGCTCTGAAGTGATGGGTTGGCCTCTGGGTTCTCTAATTGAAATACTATTTTAAATATTTTAAAAAACCCGACAGAAAAATACCTTTCATTGTCCAGCGCTGGCAGTGCCCGTTTTGCCTGAACTCCTCGACAAACTGGTGCGTACACATACTTTCTGAAAGATCAAGTTCGAAAAAGCAAATTTCGACATTTGAGCTCACCTGCAGTTGACTTTCTTCGTTTGAAAACTGTTCGAAATGAGGCCGAAAATGATCAAAAGCAAAAATATGGCAGTCGCCTTTTGTGTATACTCCATAAAACTGCAAGAATAGACTATCTTATTAAAGTTTACACTGAGATTGCATCAGATTTTGACGTAGATTTGCGTGGAAGTGCATACCTTTTTCCTTTGAAATCGCTCAAAATGTTACTTAATTAGTTCCAAACTACACACACATCAGACACTTAACTTGCCGATACTAAAATTGTAAACTGAATCTCGCGCTTATATTGGAAGTGCCGCGTCCTGCGCAATCGGACGGACGGACACCGCCGCGACGGTAGCAATAATTTAAAACTAAACTACTTTATGGGGTGTTTAATGTACACTGATAGTGTAACAAATAGGTAGTCGCTATTAGTATATAAATTAAGGTCGATGAGTTATTGTAGACTGCAATTTTAAAGAATGTGACATAAGATTTGAACGTAACAGGTTTGTGGGTATTTTGCAATCGTGTAGGTGAACGAAAAAAGTTGTAAGAGAATTTTAATTTCGGAAATTTTGTCAGACTGATCCTCGTGTTATTTCGAGGTTTCTTTGGGGTTTGGGAGCCTAGGAACAGTCGGCCATTTCTGTTACTTTTGCATTGTATTGTGCGTGGGAGGGTAAAGCACTGTAGCATCCTCAAAAGATTTTTCTGCCGCCCTTATTACTATTATCAGGGCAGCGAACCCACGTTCGTAATTACCCGAATCCAGACTGTGATTGATCTCAGTCTGGCATCATCTTTCTGAGACCACATTAAGAACCCACAGAAGCGACTATGTCAGATCATAGAATAATTTCATTTCATATTAACTGTAAGGGAGCCGTCCAAAAGGTTTATCGCAACCCTAAGGTAACGGATATTCCCTTTTAAAAACATCTCCTTGGAGAAAAACTTAGAGAGCACCCTTTACGGGGACACCTCCCGGGTTCTGCCGACTTACAGAATAAAGTAGATCTTACACCAACTCCATTGTGGAGTCATTTGAACAGGAATGTCGTCTCAGGACTGCCAAGGCGCCCTGTTAACCATCCTTGGTGCTGCAGGACGCTCGAGAAGCAGAAAAATCAGTTGGGCAAGCTGTTCAATTAGGCAAAGTAGGGCAAAGCTATAGCCGACGAGGAGGCTATAACGTAAACCTAAAGCCGTATAAGAAGGATTATTAGGAGGCGTCAGAGACTAGATAGGTATTAAAGAGTTTTTGCAGTTCACCTCCTCTGCATCCCGCCTAAATAAAATTCTAAAAAAGGTTCAGACTATATCCCAGCTATAGCCTCAGACGAGAGAATGTTCCATACCATACCCCAACTGTCCGGAGAAGGAGTGGGCGGTTGGATGGACTGACGGTGGATGTTGCGAAAAACACTTTTTTTTATTAATTTAGCTTCGTAGATTCCAAAACGCTTCGTATTTTGTCGATTGGACCTCTGAATCAAAAGTTGCAGCCAAAAAACCTACTTCGAAAAAAATCAAAGGGCTGTAACTTTTGATCTAGTAGCCCAATCTTGGAACTGTTTGAAATTATGGATTCTACAGGCCACGTTCTATAAGAAATTTTTTTCCGGGTCGATCTGAGACAATTTTTTTTGAGGCCCGAAAAAAAAGGCAGTGTACACAACCTTCCTTTTTTACCACAAATCGACTGCACCAAAAATTCTCGGGAAAACACTTTTTCTTATTAATTTTGGTGCGTAGAATCCAAAACAATTCGTACTTTTTCGATCAGACTTCTCAATCAAAAGTTATAGACTAGAAACCATGCAATTTCGAAAGAAAATTCAAAGGGCTGTAACTTTTGAACTAGTAGCCCAAAATATACAAGAAAATGTTTTTTCCCGTTCGATTTCAGACAATACATTTTTCCGACTCAAAATATACCTAGGTAGGCATTTTCACCGAAAATCGACTACCCCAAAAATGTTCGGGAGCAGACCACCAGGTACCTGTTCCGTCCTCTGCCATCTTTCAGCTGAAGTTTCAGAACTACGAGATCCCCGAAACAGAAATCAGATAACACTAATTCGTCTATCGACATAAATGCAATATTGGCTGTCCCTCTTATAATAAAGATAGTCCTCCACCTGGCCCAGACCTCTTATACTCTTTTCCTGTAAAACCAACGTTCTTGTAAGCCTGCTTTGCAGCAAGGTGGCGGGCTATTAAACAGGTCGCCCCCTTACTGTGCTGCAAATTGCTCTATAAGGTTTCCTCGCTTCACCTAGTGATGCCGACGGCCTCGGCCCCTGGTCGGAGTCAAGAACCGCCAAACGAGCCAAAACCTCGTCGACATCTTTCTCGATCTCTGAGCGCCGGAAGTTCGAGGTCGATACTACGGGGTTGAGCCCCCTTCGTCGCAACGGCAACGGGTCCCGCTGCTCCGGTGAAGCTCTCTCCCTTACCTGGCTCAGCGGAAGCTGCACGGAAAGTTATGTGCCGCTGTAGTGCCTGATAGGATGCCTCATCGACATCAAAAGCGAGGAGAACCCTCCTTGCGGTAGAACGTCCTCCATAGACTCGTCCTGAAACCAGGATTTTGCCTATGGAAGCGCTTCGAGATGATGACTGAGCCCCGCCGCAGAGGCTTGGGTGTACCAGAATCTCTAGGCTTCTTCTCAGGCTGCCCGGAGCGGGTCTACATGATGGCGGATCGCCGAGCGCCCAAAGATTCTTAGAGCTCGAATCGCGGTCTCTCTTTCTGGTGTTGCCAATAGAACCTCGAGTTGTGAGAAGCGCCCCTATTTTGTGGAAGTTTTTTTTAGCGAAATCCACCAAGATGCAAATTGCGGGTGAACGTGACGTCGGAAGTACGGTCATTGACAAAAGTAATGATCGCCTAATAGGTAAACTTTGCAGCATAAGCAACCAACATGCTTCGTCGGTTTCGTCAACGAGAAGGCCTACCTTAATTTGTAGGTTCGCGTTGTCAAGTTGCATAATATATTTAAATGCTGGTTGCGTCTGGATTTACCTGTTCACGATCATTACATTTGTCAATGACCGTACCTAGGTATCGACGAGGGGAATGTGGTAACCTTCGACAAGATCTTATTGTTGGTGGAGTCAAAATTGGCTAATAGAAAGAATACCTACTGATCTGCCACAAAAAAGTCCCTTCGAGCTCACACGAGCACAATTTTTTGATAATAGCTCAGAAGCTATATGCGTTAACAGACCCACCTTCCTTAAAATAGAATTGTAGAATAAATCTGCGATATTTTAAGTGCAGATGTGAATCGACCTAATTCTGTTAGCCTATGGTCAATCAAAAGCTAAGATGAAGTATGAGTGAGGTTAGGTTAGAGTGCTAGTTAGATTAGGTCAAAAATCTTGTATCAGGAGAATATGATGTGCGAGGAGATTGAAGGTTAGGTTAAAAAATTAGTGAGGTTAGGTTAGGGTGATAGTTAGGTTAGCTCAAAAATCTTGTATCAGGAGAATATGATGTGCGAGGAGATTGAAGGTTAGGATAAAAAGTTAGTGAGGTTAGGTTAGGGTGATAGTTAGGTTAGCTCAAAAATCTTGTATCAGGAGAATATGATGTGCGAGGAGATTGAAGGTTAGGATAAAAAATTAGTGAGGTTAGGTTAGGGTGATAGTTAGGTTAGGTAAAAAATCTTGTATCAGGAGAATATGATGTGCGAGGAGATTGAAGGTTAGGAAAAAATGTTAGTGAGGTTAGGTTATAGTGATAGTTAGGTTAGGTCCAATTGGTTTATGCGTCTAAAGTTTTGTCCTAACCTAACTAGCACTCCAATCTAACCTCACTAACATTTTTTCCTAACCTTCAATCTCCTCGCACATTATATTCTCCTGATACAAGATTTCTGACCTAACCTAACTACCTCTCTAATCTAACCTCACTAAAACTTTAACCTAACTTTCAATCACCTCCTCGGACATTATATTCTCCTGGTACAAGATTTCTAGTGTCGCCTACTTTATAGCTTAAAATATGCTCTGTGTCTCCGAAAGGATGCAACAAGTCACATAGATGAAGATACACGTATTTATTGATTACCTAAAAGGGACTTTTGGATTTATGGAATGTCATTAAGCCGGGAATTTTAAATATATCTGAATCTACACTATAGCAGATATTACATTTGCCCGGTGCACCCGAACATATTTCGGCTCCTTTAAATGCACCGTAAATAAATGTAATCGCAGTTGAAATCAGCAACAAAACGAATGCTAGTATTTGAGCAGGATGAGTGGCGGAAGTCGTGCTCGTATGTTCTCCAGAGGTTTCTTGCACGTTAGGTCTATAACAAGAAATGTAGGTATATTTTAAAAAACTGGGCATACAAATATTGACCTGGTCGTGTCGGTATCCAAGGGTGGAAGTTCGTAATCTCCAACTGATCTAATCTGCTGCCTTACTAATTCAATAAGTGGACATTTGTAGTGTAAGATCCACCAAACAGGCGTTTGTTGAGCTTGAGATTTACCGAATGACGTCGTCACTTGTGTTTCCTCTTCATTAAACGTCTCCGTGTCTTCCGCTTCACTAGACATGAAAGCAGTTTTGGCTTCTCGAACATTAACTCAACGACAATAAACCCATTTAAGTGTGTAATATCAAATGTAGTTCTTACTCATTTGCTGTTTCTGATTTAATAAAACTTGAATTTTGATGTGACATAATGCCGCAAAATGACTGTCACAATATAAGGGATGACATAATTATACTGCAAGATTTTATAGCGCGTATAAGCTACGGTCGTAAACCTAGACCAATGATCTAGATAATACCATTGTTTAAATACTTTATTTAAACAATGCCTCTACCTACTTTCCAGGGGACTCGGGGCCGATACGGCGTACGTAACTACCTTCATAAGTACATTTTAATTTATGCACTTAATAGCCACGTCCGACTCAATTTTCCTTAAAGGGCAGTTGAAAATGTGCAATTTCATGTAGGATTTGTAGAGCAATTGTACTTCAATGATCCAGTATCTGAAATTGTCCTTTGTGTATGCAATTGGTACATTTGCGCCATCTCTTTGGTAATCCCTATACTTTTCAAAAATTATTTCTTGTAATAGTTGAACCAGTTCAATTGAGATGTCGCCACGTACGTATCATAATCAAAAAATCAAAAGTTATTAGACAACAAACCAATTTCGAAAGAAAATTCAAAGGGCTGTAACTTTTGCACTAGTCGATCTGAGACAATTTTTTTTGAGGCCCGAAAAAAAAGGCAGGCTATAACCTTCCTTTTTTACCAAAAATCGACTATGCATATGCAGCTGATTATGCTTGTTTTATAGCCAGTATGCGGCCACAGACATTAGTACTCTTTGATAATGATCTCTGTTACAGGGTGTCCAAAAAGTATGGAATATCAAAAAATGTTTCCAGTAAAACTTATTTTGTATTGTATTCCATCACATGGAATTTTTTTATTTTTTTAAAACAAAAGCGTAACAGAAATAAACATTTTTTAAGGACAAATTAAAGTATTTCTTTCCCTTTTCAACCATGTAAAATATTAATACCCTTGCATCGGAATAATCTTGAGAAAATCGCGAAAAACTGCGCGCTTGTGTAGGTATTTCAACAATCCTCTTTAATTACCGTTTTATGCTCATCTAGATATAAAAACAATTGATTGCGCCTTAGCGTGAACTTGAAATAAAAAGTAAATATGCTGGAATATGCAGAAATGTGGAGGTACCCTCACTTGTTTCAATACCTAGACAAACATAAAATGGTCATGGGTGACTAGATTAATGAGCAGTCTTGAACATTGTGGAAATTCACTCATGAGCAGTTATCTCAAAATTATTCCAAAGCAAATAATTTTTTAAATGGGAATTAAACACGGCAAGTCATTTAAGTTTCTTTCTGTTGCTTTAGTTAAAAAAAAATTAAAAATCCCATATGATGAAAAATTATACTCACCAAGTAATTTTTATTTGAAACATTTTTCGATAAAACAGATATTTACAAAGATATATACGATATTCCATACTTTTCGGACACCCTGTACATGTTCTAGTAGATCTCTAAAAGCTATTTTTTCTTAAAATCAATAATTTATTTAGTTTGCTACAATACAATATGTAAAAATTTCTTAGTGTACTCATATGTAACGAATAATGTGGCAGTTGCTGGAATGGTTCTCAGTAAGGTCGGGGAAAGTCCGCTATAAAGAGCCCCCACTCCCTCTTTCCTTGCAATTTGCATTAACATTAAACCTAACGATTCGTTTGAACTATTCACTTGTATTCGAGATTTCACAACATCAATGGGATACGTAATAGTCCAAAAGACCATACCGCCCACCCCTCCCGCTACCATAGTTTTCCAAAGTCCGATCTCGTCCTTTGTTTGATTAGGCCTTCGTAATAGCTCACGAGTACCTAAAGATTAAAATCTAAAGTGTGTGACCTACTTATCGGGTACATTACCTTCGTATCCGCCAAAGAAAAAGAAGTAGCCGGGCATCTCGCGAACTAAAGTAGGAACGAAACCTCTAAAAAAACCGGGGACTCCTTCGTGCTTAAAAATTCGCCTGACGAGTTTTGCAGGGCCGACTCTTTCCACTTTCTTTCCCAATGCAAGATCTTGCTTGTTACGTTCGTACATCGCTTGTAACTTACACTTCACCAGTTCCGTAGGGCAAATGGCGACAGACGAGAAGAAAGCGGCTAGAAACCCGGCAGATGCATTGCTCAGCGTGCTTAAATCTTCAATTCGTTTCGTATGTGTGACGTTCTGCATAAATTTCTGGCACAAACCGTAACACATAAACAGTACCGAGTTTTCGGTCACGTTGGAAACCAAGGCGGGCGCAGTACCAGCGTATAAGCCCCTCGCAATGCCGTCGGTAACTAAGGTTTCTCTAAAGCAATTCACCATACCCGTGTACAACGTCGGAAACGTTTGCATTTTCACTTTGATTGTATCTAACGGCTGCCCAACGTAAACTAGCGCTACTCCCCCTGCAGTGATATTGGTAAACACGGCATTCACAAATAATCATACTAAACCTAGAGATCCCGCAACGAAGTCGATAATTCCATCTTTTACGTGGGCCGCACCTGCAGTTGCAGACGAATGAGCCATTGTACACTTTTTTTCAAATATGCTACAACATTTAACTCTTTATATGCAAATGCATACTAGGCAATAGGGTTCAGATAAGGTTAATCGATTTTGATAAGAAACTTGGGAAAGATACTTTGATAAAGCGTTGAGGTTATGTTCGGGAATGTTGTAAAGCTGACGACACTTTTCAATAAAACTGTGTATTTCGTCATAAAAGATAGATAATTAATCTTTTTAGCCATCGAATTCAAGTAAATTATTAATTAATATCACAGATTATGATTATTAGACGGGTTAAAGGTTAGGTTAGGTTTGTGACACATTTAATACACAGCGTTGTCACGTTTATTAAAATATCTCTAACTAACTGATAAATGATTCTCGTTGCCTTTTATCAACTAACAGTACAATAGTGCATAGTCAATTTCAATCTGTATCACTGTAATATGGAGGGCTCTGGAAGAATCTAGACCTAGAGCGCTATGGTAGAGATCTAAAGGGCCCTTTGGGAGAAGATAAGAGTGCTAAGAAAGCTGTAGAATTGGCCATGACCACCCCGGAAAAGACTAAAACTTAGTCATGGTTATAAAAAGGGCCCAAAAGCATCTTAGATTGCACTTTGGAGAGCTGCAAGGCCTTTTCTAGAGCTTTTCAGGCCATAAAAAGCTTTGCGAACAATAGAATGCAACGGGTACCTTTCTATACCCTACACTATAATACCTTCTCGAGACTACAAAACCGCGATGAGGGCCCAAGTTGCTTAGTGCAGATGCTGACAACGTTGAGAGGACTCCAAGGACCAAAAATCGACTACACCAAAATTTCTCGGGAGAACGCTTTTTCTTATTAATTTTGGTGCGTAGAATCCAACACAATTCGTACTTTTTCAATCAGACTTCTCAATGAAAAGTTAGAGACTAGAAACCAATTTAGAAAGAAAATTCAAAGGGCCGTAACTTTTGAACTAGTAGTCCAATCTTGGAACTGTGTGAAATTATAGATTCTACAGGCCACATTGCATAAGAAATTTTTTTTTCCGGGTCGATCGGAGACAATTTTTTTTTCGGCCCAAAAAAGAAGGCGTAGTAGGTATAACCTTCCTTTTTTTACCAAAAATCGACTACACCAAAAATTCTCGGGAAAACACTTTTTCTTATTAATATTGGTGCGTAGAATCCAACACAATTCGTACTTTTTCGATCAGACTTCTCAATCAAAAGTTATAGACTAGAAACCAATTTCGAAAGAAAATTCAAAGGGCTGTAACTTTTGAACTAGTAGCCCAATCTTGGAACTGTTTGAAATTATGAAACTTAACTCTCAAGTCTTTAATATAGATATATAAATATATAAATAAGGCAAAACTGTTAAGCAGTTTGCAATCACGAAAAAATGTGTTGTTTGTGCGATCTTCGTGTGAAAGTTGTTGTAAAATGGTTCAGTTTAATGTACCTGTTATTGAAATTGTTCTTCCAAGGGCTTTAAATAAACTCCTATGCATAAGAAGTTACGAATTGCAAAAATAAATGTTTTCTGTTCATTGAGCATGATGTGTTGCCTACAAACCAGGCTACACAAATATCGAGTGCCCATATTCAAATTAGGGATTTGTTTGAATCTCCCCAATCTGCCGTTTTTATTGAGGGTAAGGAGGACCTCCACGAACGAATGGCCCAGGGCCCTGAAAACCTTAAAAACGGCACTGCATTAAGGAATAATAAGTGCGACGTTGCTATTAATAGCATAAATTCAAATGAAATTTTAAAAGGTGCGTAAGTGGCGACATCTCACCTAGACTTCTAAAACTATATTTCATAGAAAGTGTATGGATTGCCATGGGGAATTGTTCATAAAACTCTCTTGAGCTTTCCATCGTTTCTCAAATGCTCTCTAGATACCAACCAAGCCATTTCCGGTTCAACCCACAAGATTCCTAGGATCCTCCCGGCTTCAAAGACTCTGACAACCTACAAAATTCTCTAGGAAGGGAAAACATTACAACAATCAATATAAAGCGACAAAAACGTCCGAGAATGCCTTCACAGGCTCTTAAGATTTTTACAGAGCTTTCTAAACCTTTTGCACGGTTCTCTATGTCATTTCCAAGGCTTCTTTGCCATCTTAAAGACCTTAGTAAGCCTTTTCCGAAACTGTTTAGTGCATTCTAAATCGGGAACCTATAAAAATCTAAAAAAACCTTGAAAACCTCCACTCTTCTGGTAAGCATTAGAGGTAGGTATATGTCAGATAAGTTCCTATTATATACGCCACCATCTCCATACTAGTTATGCAAAAGAAACTGGCCCTAAGTAAACTACATGTTTCGCTGCAGATGATTCCACCCCATACAATTATTTTCTTTTGTTGGTAAATGCAACCAACGACTAGGTACCGGTGGCAAGATTGTCTTGATACAACAGATGTATACATAAATTCACCTTACTAACATCACTTGTTTTACAATTATGATTACAATTACAATTATTGTTTTGATCATAAGATTATTGAAAGTATTAATTTTACATTTTTATTGTAAGGATGGATAATATTTTTACAACAGGGACGGTATACATCATTACCTACAAAATATATTACAACACATTATATTAATCAAATTAAACTTTTAATAAAATAGACGAAGGCACTTGAAATTACACTATTACTTATAAACTAAATTTAAATAAATAAAATCTTACAATAATTACTGATTAAAATTGGTCAGTGAAACTTTTTAGGGGAATAAAATCCTAACAGTAAAGCGCTAAGGCAAAGGTTAAAATTCTTTCGTTAAACAATAAAATAACATTTAGGAACTGTATTATGAAAGCTTATCATTATTAAAGCTACGTTGAAATATCAAATTTCTATTACGCTAAAGAACAATAAACTGGTAAAGCCTCACATCAATCACAAAATTACCTTTATATGGTCCATACAATTTGGTCAAGAATTTTGGTTTCGTTTCTCCTACCGTAGTAGATCTAACTACTGTAACTCTACACACCGCTAAAATCTAAACTAGGCGTCACATAAAGATAATTACAACGTTTTATATCATCTACGTAAAACCGTTGAAAAGAATTACACCTTTACCTTACAATGTCTAGCTGCACAATTTTAAATAAAAATAACAAAATAATAACAGTTTTAGTATGACTAGCATAACCCATATCCTTTTTTAAATGATCTCTTAGTACGTAATTAAAAGATTATACACTACTCAATTCGTTAATCACTAAATCACTGAGCATTCACTCTATAAAGATTGGTAAGCGTACACCAAATAGATAAATATACACAAATAGAAGCGTTTCATTTGTACTCTAAATTGGGCAAGATCTCTGGCAATGCACTAGTTTCATAAGAACGACAGTATATTTCAAAAAGATCGTATCGCGGGAAAACCCTCCGAGTCGATAGGCCTATTGCGCCAACACTAACTAGCCCGTAACATACTAAGGCGATTCGTCACAATGTAGTGGAGAGGCTAAAGCGTTTGCGTCACTTTCGACCTCCACACTAATAGGACAAACGTTTTGGAGCTCTCGACTTCAGTTAAATTCTCACAGTAATAATGGAATGTATAAAATTGACAGAGGCACGTTCGTACCGGTGCTGCCGATATTGACTCTTCAACGTTCACACTTTTGAGAATAAATTTCCCTTAATTCCACCAGTTCCATCAAAGAAATTGTGTAGGTACCTATTGTTCTATTTACAAATTGTTTGAAGCTAGTAGAGTGAGGCGGATTTTGGCACAAATATCACAATTAGCTTTTCTGCTGTGAAATTGTACTAATTTGAAAGTGAATTGAGGTAATTAAACGCAATTAACTTAATTTTCTAATTACAATTAAAGATCACAATGTATCATTCCGTTTCGAGCGCACTCGTACAAATGCACACAACCCGCCGATATTCCCTTACGTCGATTATGCTTTAAAACAGCCTTACTATTCGTGAAATATTGTTGTATGTTAATAGGTGACGCTTTAAGCGAAAGCTATTAATTGCACTCTAATTACACTCATAGCGATAGTGATAGACAGTTAGGTATTCATAGAATGATGTGTCCTACTTTTTCCAATGTAATTGCACTGTTCACAATTAAAAACTTTGAAAACATTATGCGTTAGGCGATAATTTCTTAAATTATTCTTAATGTTGGTTGCATAATTTGGGACGATCCTGGAAAGTAACATGATAAAATGTGACGGTTTACTATCCTTGATCCCGAAGGGGTAATTATACATTGATTGTAAATGAAATTTCTGCAACTCTATTTACTTTTACACTACAATATTGATTACTTTTGGTTATTGAGAAAAAAAATGGCGGTCTTCTCCCACCTGTATTAATTACAATGTACTGCCACCAGAGGTCTCACTGTTAATCTGAATCGCGAATTAAAGTTTATTACACTTCATTAGGGGACGAACTATTGATGCGCTGTTAAGAATTCTACCGAAAGATCCTACTCTGCACAAGGAAATTTATTTGTACTTCAAGCTCTCCACAGTTTTCATATCTAAGTCTCAGAAATCTTGAGGGGCCATTTTTAGGTGAATTTTCCAGAATTCTTAGATATACTTCAGAAAGTTTTGTGAATAAGCTAATAATTTTCTTAAAAGTTGTCAAACTTTTGCCAACAAGAATCCAAAAAATTCTGCAATAGAGTTTAATACACTATGTCCAACATAAGATCATAGGGATATTGGAAACCATAGAAGATTTATGAAGATGGCCAAATTAAGGAAAAAGTTGCGCAGTTAAAGAGCAATTATCATGCTGTAAAGAAAATCAGAAAATACCTATTACTTCCGAAAATGTGACAGAAGAACCAAAATTGGCCGATTTTGTTTGTATCTTTTTCTGATGCTATTTGAAAGATGTGCAAATACAAAAAAAAACAAGTTGGAAACTGTAGGTGTCAACAGAATGGTGCATCCGCGCCCTAACTTCCTGGAAAATCTAAAATTTCTCAAATAGGTATTCTCGGTACGATTAGGGCGTTGTGCGCGAGTGCACCTTCCTGTTGAAACCACAGTTTCCAACTTTTGTTTCTTCCTTGTGCCATACATTGTTGTATTCGTAATAAAAAAATGCTCAATACAGTATGTACTTTTTTATGCGCCATATAAAACATGAATACATTCAGTCGGGCGTATTTTGTATTTCAATTAGATTTTGTAATGCACAATGCAAATATATTTTCGAGGTGTTTTGCCCAGCCCAGAGTACAGTTAATTTTGTTTGAGCTGGGCCGCCATCTTGGAAAACGGCGGCCATTTAGAATTGTTTAAATTTTTAGTTTTCATGTGTGAAACAAAAAAGTCAAACGAATTGGTACCAGAAAATCTTGTGCTGTTTTAATATGTGACACTGGAAAAAGCGACTTATGAGTTCTTTTATGAATACACAAGCAATATCTTTTACACAAAATCGTCATGAAACCTTCATTTTCAAGCCTACTTTATGTCAGGGATGTTAGTTTCCATGACGGAGGCAGACCAGTCTACTTTTCCTGCCGCCTGTCACTTTACCGGCCTCATCTGTCACTTTACCAGCCATCTGTCACATTGCTAAATGTCTATAATGACTCCTGTCATCATTAACAGATTGGTATTAATCAAAAGTTCTATATAAAAATTGAAATTTTATGTTAAAATACGATTTCGGGTAAAATTTAATACAAAACTCGTCAGTAAAACTTGACTCGGAAATTAAAGTATGGGGACCTCATACTTCCTCGCCAGTAATGTGCCATTTTCCTGACTTTTATGTAAATAACTATTCCCCACGGAAGTCTTGATGGTCTCAAGAATATTTCACATAATTGTATCGGTCATTTTCTTCTTGATCAGCCTCTCGTGCCAAACATTTGTAGAAGAATGATCAACATTTTGAGGTGGGGGGAGGGGGGGAATGCTTTCAATCAACTGTAATACAGATCAGTAATAATTTCTCATTTAGGTTTTCAACCTAACCTAATTTTTTTAAGTAAAACGCCCTGTATACCTTTTGATTTTTTGAATATTTCTTTAATTTTTTGAATCTTTTTTTAATATCATCCCTGATGTGTTAAATTTTTGAAAAGAGAATATAATATGCTATTCTTAGAGGGATGTTTATTACAAAAGTTTCTTTATAATGATTGTTGAATAAGCTTCCGTTTTCAAAATAAGAATAGGGAGGCAGGTACAAATTTTTTTAAATAGATCACTCTGTATATTGTAATCTAAAACGATGACATGCTAAATTCTCTTGTAAGATAAAATAATGTGAAAATATTCCCTCGTTTTAAAAGATATGGAGGAAAAATAAAAAATTGTCGATTCCACAATGACCATATATTTTCTTAGTTTAAAGAGACCCATTACAAAATTTCTCTATAATGATTGTTGAATAGTCTGCCATTTTCAAAATAAGTATACGGAATCAGGTAAAAAGGTGATCGGGTATAACTTAATTTTTTGAAGTAGAACATCCTATATACGTTACTTTAAAAATTAAATTCTCTGTTCTCTGTTTAACAATATAACACTAGACTAGAGCAATTCAGAATCAAAATTTGAAAATATTCGCTCGCTTAAGAGATACGAGGAAAAATAAAAAAATTATCAATTCCAGAATCCTAACCTAATTTTTTTAAATAGAACACCCCAAATACTTTTATTTAAAAGAAGAGCATATTAAATTCTTTTTTTAACGCTAAAGAAATACAATAATCTTTCAAAAAAATTCAAGAAAAGTTTTGTTTTTGATTTTGTTAATCACTTTAACTTATTTCAAATTTTAAAAACAACTCTTGTAATAAACAACACTCCTATAAAAATACCATATTATATTTTCATTTGAAAAATTTAACACACCAGGAATGATATTCAAAAGATTCAAGTGATTAAAAAAGATTCAAAAATTAAAAAAGATTTAAAGACATTAAAAAAAGGTCAAATAATTAAATGTGACACTGGAAAAAGCGACTTATGAGTTCTTTTATGAATACACAAGCAATATATTTGACATAAAATAGTCATGAAACCTTTATTTTCATGCCGTCTGTCACTTTACCGGCCTCATCTGTCACTTTACCAGCCATCTGTCACATTGCTAAATGTCTATAATGACTCCTGTCATCATTAACAGATTGGTATTAATCAAAAGTTCTATATAAAAATTGAAATTTTAGGTTAAAATACGATTTCGGGTAAAATTTAATACAAAACACGTCAGTAAAATGACATTATTTGACTCGGAAATTAAAGCAATATTTCCTCGCCAGTAAGGTGTCATTTTCTTGACTTTTATGTAAATAACTATTCCTCACGGAAGTCTTGATGCTATAGTCTCAAGAATATTGCACATAATTGTATCGGTAATTTTCTTCTTGAAATCACCCTCCATCAATCTCTTGTGCCAAACATTTTTCTAAAATTATGACGTTATGACCCCTTAATAAAAGCAACTAATATGAATATCTCTGTATGTCCGTCCGTCCCACTTTTGCGGTTTTACTTTTAGGGGGATTGTTCTAGAATGTGGAATTCTGTTGCACAGATACCGTATAGATTGAAGGTTCGCTACACAGCTATATTAAAATTTTTCATTTGTAGAAGAATGATCACCATTTTGAGGTTGGGGGGGGGGGGGAATGCTTTCAATCAACGATAATACAGATCAGTAATAATTTCTCGTTCAGGTTTTCAACTCAACCTAATTTTTGTAAGTATAACGCCCTGTATATTTTTTGATTTTTTGAATATTTCTTTAATTTTTTGAATCTTTTTTTTAATATCATCCCTGGTGTATTAAATTTTTGAAAAGAAAATTTAATATGTTATTTTTAGAGGGATGTTTATTATAAAAGTTTCTTTATAATGATTATTGAATAATCTTCCGTTTTCAAAATAAGAATAGCGAGGCAGTACACATTTTTTTAAATAGATCACTGTATATTTTAATCTAAAAAGATGACATGCTAAATTTTCTTGTAAAATTAAAGCATTTCAAACTCAAAAATAAAAAAATGTGAAAATATTCGCTTGTTTAAGAGATATGGGAAAAAAATAAAAAATTGTCGATTCCACAATGACCCTATATTTTCTTAGTTTAAAGCGACGCATGTTTATTACAAAATATCTCTATGATTGTAATTTTTATTAACAGGTGGTAAAATCAATTTTATTTAAACAAATGAAAAATGAAAAATTTCTAAAGATCAAACAGTTATAATAAGTAATAAATTTCTTCCATGAGGATCGTTGCTGAATAGTCTGCCATTTTCAAAATAAGTATACGGAATCAGGTAAAAAGGTTATCAGACCTAACTTAATTTTTTGAAGTAGAACACCCTGTATACTTTAATTTAAAAAAATAGCATATTAAATTCCCTTTTTGACAATATGACACTAAAGCAATTCAGAATCAAAATTTGAAAATATTCGCTCGCTTAAGAGAAACGAGGAAAAATTATCAATTCCAGAATGACCCTATATTTTATTAGGTATCGGCAGGGCCGCCGATAAGGGGGTCCAGTCGGGGTATTTGCCCCGGGGCCCGGTCATATTCTGGGGGCCCGGCCAAAAGAGATTTTGAAACCTGATTTTTAATTGTATTTATAACAGAAATCTGCATGATGCATATCTCTATATGAGAGAGTAGAATATAAAAAAATGCACAGCAGATTTAAAAAACCATAGGTACAGTTGAGCAAAATTTCCTAATTACGGCACAGTGGTAGAAGGTTCGCTAGGCAAAAAACCGTTTGAGATCGACTATGGGTCAAGATCGTTAGATCAATCTCGGTACATTGGCTCTTGAAGCTCAACTTGCTAGAGAAATTAATTTTGAGCGAGTGATATTCACTTTTGCTAATAAGAAAATCCGCAGAGTTACATTGTAATTTGGTTATTTGAATTCTAACAATTCATAATAAATTATGAAAATTACTGTGTCTGTATGAAAATATTATTCAAATGTTCTCCTTTCAAATCTAAGTAGTCAAGATTGAAAATGTCTGGTTTAAGATAAGGGTGATGGACAACCAAAATTCCAATTATAGGGGCCCGGTAAAAAAATATTCCCGGGGCCCGTCGAAGCTAACGGCGGCCCTGGTTATCGGTCCTAATTTTTTTTAATAGAACACCCTGAATACTTTAATTTAAAAGGACAGCATATTGAATTCCCTTTTTACGCTAAAGAAAACAATATTCATTCAAAAAGATTCAAAAACAGTTTTGCTTTTGATTTTTTTGATCATTTGAACTTTTTTAAATTTTAAAGAAACTTTTGTAATAAACACCCCTTTAAAAATATCATTATATTCTCTTTTCAAAAATTTAACACACCAGGGATGATATTCAAAAGATTCAAATGATAAAAAAATTAAAAAAAGACAAAAGACATTTAAAAAAAGGTCAAATAATTTTAAAAAAATTATGTAATCTTTCCTGTAGAGCTGAGGGGCGGAATCTACGGGCGTCCCTTAGCTATGCCGAGCTCGCTTTCGGCTTGCTCGACACTGTAAATCAGAAAAATACTCCAACCCTACAAATAACCTCAAATACAAAACTGCTTGATGTCATACTCCGTTTGGAATTTTGGCTGAATTTGCACAGGAAAACAAATTTTAAGAAATGACGATGTTCTGCGTAATACAAAACTTTGCTGGGGGACGCTCAAAACTGTGGACAATGGAAAAATAGCTTACTAAAGCTAACCACAACCAAAAACAAAAGAATTACAACCAAAATATTGCTTTCAATCAAAGCAAAACCATGGTTGTAATTCTTTTGTTATTTTTTTATTTGGTCTGAATTTTTTTTGTAAACAATAAAGTGGCGACCTGTTAATTTAAATTGGACGTTTAATGCTCTATAGATTTGTTATTAAGAATTGATAGTACATTTTCCACACTTAGCAAGAGAACAAGAGGGACCGAGACGGAAAGGTCTTAAGTAAAAGCACTCTGCACAGTGTGGCCTATCCTCCTTACTTGACAGCAAAATCTCAACCAAACAATGAAGACATAAGAATTTACTTTATCGAAGTCCAAAACCACTCATGCAGAAAACTGTAACCTTAATAGATGTGTTCAGCAATTCATTCTCAAATCAAAAGTTTGAATTGCGTCATAAACGGAAGCTCAAACACTTCATGTGAACATTGAAGAGAACTTGATCCGACAGCACCGGTTCCCCCAGGTTTATTTCGCTATCTCATTTTCATTTCTCCTATCTACTAACAAAAATAAATTCATATCACCTTTACCCTTGACGTACATTGACCCTCTCGGTTCAAAGATGTACCTCTTTTCCAAAACACTTAAGCATTGTTCGCCGACTTGTATTCTACCGCTAACGCCCGTGGAATCCATACGAGAGGCTATATTAACGGCGTCGCCCCATATGTCGTAGTACATTTTCGTATTACCTATAACGGCGGCGGTAACGTCGCCGAAATTGTATCCGGTACGTAAAATCAAATTAAACTCTATCAGATCTCGATTAAAATTATCAATCACTTTTTGCATCGCGAGCGAGAATTCCATTAACGCGAATAGATGGGCGTGCGGATCGGACTGTTCCAAACGCATTTTCGAATTCAAACCGCTCGCCGCCATGAACGTACTGCCGATCGTTTTGATCTTTTCGACGCTCTGAAATTCGGGCAACGTCAAAAGTTCGTCAAAGTCGCCGATTAGTTCGTTAAGCACCCTTAGAAATTCCTTCCCGCCCAAGTAACTCTCGTCGTACATTTCGTTAAAATTGACAATACTCGCGAATATAACGGCGACGTCTTTGAAATTCTCGGAATATTTGGCATTTTTTTTCAATTGCACGGCGACATGTTCCGGTACGATGTTATAAATTAACCAGTCGGCTTGAGTTTTCAATCGCTGCACTTGCAATTTGTCCCTGTTGGCTACGAAGCTCGCGTGAAAACTTAGCCGGTAGCCGATTTCAAATTCGCGATTCAAAAGCCAAATCAGCACCAGAAGCAGTAGCACATCTATGAGAATCTCCCAATTGTACAGATATAGGCCTGTTACCGGAACCACGGTGGTGTTATCCGCATAACTGAGGTTTTCAAAAGTTAAATTTACACTGGAATTCTCCATCTTCAAATTGGGGACATCGCACGGGCATATTCCGCTTAAAATTAAACAAATAAATAGAATACCGAAACACGTCGCCAAACAATTTTTCATCCAACAGTTCAACTGGGTAAAATTACAAAAATGAACGATACCGACGCACAACAAATAACTGTATAAATAATCGGACACGTTCGCCGTAAAAAACAAACGCGAACAGACGAAATTGCATAGAACCGCGATGATGGGTACACTGACTAACGTTCCCCCGAAAGCATTCCATCCGTACCATCGCGAACAGAACGAGAACAAACTCTCGGAAAACTCGACAAACCGCCGAAAGCACAACGCGATCCCACAGACCTGTATTAAACACAAAATAACAAAGACAACTAACCATAAAATTGTTAATTCATACGATATAAACAACGAAATTGAAATAACAACAAAAACAACAGTCGAAACAAACACATCGAAGTACGTATTGAACCGGGAGTTCGCCAGAGTGGCGATGGTGTCCTGTTCAGTTAGCGAGTGCACGTTTTCGCGATATTCCTGCTCCATTTTTTTGTCTTCGAAAAATAGCGTCAACCTCGAAAGTTGCGGCTCTATAAAGTACGACCGATCGGATTCGGAATTTTTTTGCACGCACCTTATCAACTGGAGATCGGACTGTTTGCGTAAATTCTGTATACTCCTACCGAATTTCTCCAAGAACGCTCCTCCGCCGGTGGCGGTCTGCGATGCCGTGATGGAAGACTGACTAGAGGTGAAGTAATCCGACATTCGTTGCTGCCCGTTGTCTGTGAGAGGAATATGATTTTCCATCTGCAAACAAAAGGCCCCCTTAAGATGACTCTCCTCATGTTAGTCATGTTGGTTGAATTCGAGGACAATGTTGATTAAGTCTAAATTTTGTTTAAATAATCACTTTGTTTATTTTATTGTAAAGTTTGATGTGTTAGAAGATAAAGTGTATTGTTATTGTAAAAGTTATCTTCGGTCGTATCCTAATTAGTTTCAAGATAAGCACATGAACAAGATGGAATCTGCGAGAATTTTGGGTATGAGTGTAAGAAGCTTCAACAGGAAGAGCAAAGGCAACAGTGGATCCCGCCTCGGGAGTACTCCCAAATAGTGTGTGCTACGGGTGTGGTGCACCACGCGTGATCCGCTGCAAATGTCCAAAATGCATCAGGCACAGCGGAACAGGATTTCCGCCAGTTTTCCTCCATAACGATCGTTGACTTCTCGTCCGCTGTAAAACGCTAGTTACCAATTTCGAATGATGGACGTGATGGAGATAGCATCGCTGCAACATTTGTGGATATGAGTTTCAGGAAAAGACCCTCATGTTTGCTGATGTGCTTCAAGAGTGCAAGATTCTGGAGTTCAGTTAAAAGGAAGGTCCTTACAAACCACATTCCTCGTTTTAGATCAAGAAACTTGTCGAACACTGTTGGGTGTTTATCAGAGAGAAAACGTCAACGAACTTCTTGGTACTATCTGATTATTTAATTGTTTTATGTCGAATAAATTTGTTCATCTGTAAATGGTTGATTTTGTGATTAATCGAGCCCAGATAAAAGTTCTCATGTTGAAAAATCAGATCAGGAAATAATTAAAAATTTGCTTATTAGTTCTTTGGAATTTTGAGGTGGTTGAGGCTGCTGAATTTCCCAAATTAATAAAATTTACGTCAATATCGCGATTTTCGTCTTGACGGAGGCAGAACGTGCCCTAGAAAAATTATTTCTTGTAAAGGTTTTGTTAGCACCTGTTTTATTTGAGCTAGCTGGACAGGTGATTGTGGGTGGTTAAGTGACAGTTTGCCAATGCAAATGATATTTTTATTTGGCGCCCAACGTGGGGCACATAGCAATATACTTCTAGGGAACTTTATCAAAATCGCTTAGAATTGAAAAACAATAATCTCTCACACTAAAATAAATGACCACAGAAAGACAAAGCTGTTCAAAAAGTGACAAAGAGGAAGAACGCCCTGTATTTGCTATGTGCAATGGCAAACCTGTCCACTTGATCATTTCCCCACAAATCCAAAGAATTATTACACACATTTTTAATTGACATCTAATATAATCCTGGGTACTAATAGACAAATTTATCTTGACAACTCTTATATCCGGAGTCGTAATTTGGACTCGATTAAACACACAGCTGATCATTTACCCATGTCAAATTTATTCAATTAAAAAAATCAATCAATAATTGTGTAAGAAAGAAAGGCACTCAGAGCCTTCAAACAAAGTACCACACCCACGCGATCGATTGAAAAAATTAAATTTGAAAAAATTGTAATTACCTACCTTAAAGAGTTAAAAATCCGGTGATAATTGCAATTTTCTGTAACAGACCCACACAAACACAAACACCAACTGATGTTGCTTCGGAATCCTAATTTCTTTACTTTCATTTAACAAACCGACTTTGGTGTAATTTCAACATTGTAAAAGTGACTGTTTGGTGGTGGATAACTGCGCTGTATTGGGTACTTAAAAAAACCTTAAAGATTACGAGATCACTGCTAAATAGACACAACACTCTGTATATGTGACACAACGGTTGAGCTTAACTCGAACTATCTCTTAGAAAACTATCTAAATTTTCTTCTACAAAACTTTACAACCACCAAGACTGACTGTCTTTCACCAAAAAGCTCAGTTTTCCATCTGTTACAACTATTTAAAACATTCTTCTCTTCTATTCCTCCCGATCCTCCCCAAACAAAATTTCGAAAGACCGCCGGCGCGTCTTCGATACTGTGTTTACTTACGGCGAACGTCTCTTTATCCTCAAATTAATTAAATTTTACGGGGAGATTACGAATCCCTTATCGCAAGACCGGATTCAAGTGACAAACTTTTAAAAACACATCGCAATTATTTCCAGATGTCCCTAATCTTTCTTAATGTAATCTGACTACACAATAAATCGCACAAAATATTTACGGGGGGTCCATTTAAAGAGATACTCATGATAATTTGATGTGCAATTGTTTTTCTAAATAACTCTGAATAAGGCCAAAACTGTCTGGGAGACTCAACATTTACAAAAACCTTACAATACACGTTTTACAAGAAAAAAAGCAAGTAAATAGGTTATCTACCTGTATGCTACTCCGCCGACTGTTGCTCCTAATTCCCGAATCCTTCCGACTATTAACTGAATAAGTCGTACTAAGTTGATCGTCTAAAAAAATGGAAGATAAACGATGCGGTACGTCTAAAGATCTCTTTGGCCTATCGAGCGCGGGAATCGCGACCGTTGCGCTCCTGCTCCGCTCCACCGGTACTATATCGAAGTTGGGGGAGCGTCCCCTTCTCGATCGATTACTTTCGGCTCGCGTCAACACGGAATATTCTTGCGACGACGAGCGACTGCCGGACCGAATGAAATTGCTCAACTCGTTCGCTGCAAAATCGTACTGTCCTATATCGCTGCGAGATTGGCTAATGTACGATTTAACGTCGATGTCCTCTTTGAGATCGTCGTCTTTGGAGTTCGGCTGATGATGCGTCTCGATAATCCTCGGCACCTGCTTGTAATTGGTCGAATTGTTGAGTAACGGTTCGATGCAGCTGATGGTGTTTTGAGATGGGTCCTCGTTTGTCGTCTTTGGCGCCGCGTCCGTTTTGCGCAGGAAGCTGGGAATTTTCCAGTTTTTTAATTTGACCGAATATCGACCCGAGCTCGCCGTCGACGTTGGCGTTTTAATGGCGTCGCTGCCCTCGCCGGAATCTTTGTCGACGTCCAATTCTTGCTCGTCCAAGATGCTCGGTAAACTGCTCGCCTTTATTTTACAAACGTCGGGCGAAAGCATGTTCGGATTGTGCGAGATTTTGAATTGAGTCGCGGAATTGTCGCAAGATAAAACTCTTGGGCGTATCTGTGGGGATGTTATGGGCGGCGTTGTCGGAGGCGATATTATTAATTGAAGCGAAGGCGTTTGTGATTTCTGAGTATCTTCTTGTTCCTTTTCTGGTTGCGATGGTGGCGGCGGTGGTGTTAATGGTGGCAGTTGTGATTGTTGCTGAATTAGTTGTGGGTGTGCCTGAATAAGTTGTGGTTTTTTCCTTACACTGTTACTAGCCGAAAGCGGTGCTTCATGTCTGCGGCGGATAATAAAATATGTTTTCAAACCTGCAAGATCACAAATATAAGTTTTCTATCCTCCAGGCCCTCAGTTTGTAACTGGATTAGTTACATTTAGAAGGGTTGAAGACTCCACATCATTTATTTAGATTCGATTCTTATTCATAAATGTGATACAAATATCTTCATGCAAATGGTTCTCATAGGTCGATCCCTTTAGGAATATTAAAAAAATTCCTTATGCAAATTCCTAAAAATAACTGACCACTACATTATACAAATCAAAAAATTTATAATAACTTACAGTTATTGACGTGGGTAGCAATCTTTCCTTGGAAAATACCGCTTCCTTTAGAAATATAACGTATTGCGAATCTAAGCATACCGGTTTGAATTTGGCGAAAGTAAAACTCGAGATTGTGATTATGCAAAGAAATAAAATGTCAAGGTTCCGCTGTGTTGATATTAATTTTGCTCCGTTTATTACCTAGGTTTTGTTGCGGGCAAATGAAGCGATGAATTGTCATTAAATTCCCTGCCGTATGCGGTTCTATGGAACGAGTCCCTATGCTTACTCGCGGTTGAGGTTACTCGAAAATGTTCCTTCACGTATATTTTACCACTCGTAAATAGATTTTATCAACTAATTCCGCGTTCTGGTTTTTGAAATCGATCCGTGAATCTTTACGCAAACGCGAGGATCTTTCTTGAATCCCAGCTAAAAATGCCGATCGCGACATAATTGTTTCACACACCGTTGTCGCTCCCAAGTGGGGATTGGCTCGTACTTCTATCCGAATTAAAACTCGCGTACCTAACGCAGTACGTGACCGCTCGCAAAAAACAACTTAGAATTTTTAACGCACCCCAATCGACTGGCGTCATCAAGCAAGTATTTCTCGCTCTCCCACAGAAAAGACGAAACGGACATTCTTTTCTGAACGCAACGACCTAGACCTGCTTACGTTTTTAAACGAATAGTAAACCTGCAGTTTTGTCACTTGCTGGTAACGAAACTATTAGGTTAGAAGAGATAGTGGCACCCGCCTCTCGCTTTCTCAAATACGTTTCTTGTTATCGCCAAACTTTCCTTCACGTTCGCTATGACGCAGTGTATGTATAAATTTTCCTATGTTGAATAAAACACAAATTTCAAAAAATTCTTTTTGAAACGGCAAAGCGGCCACCAAGTCACAAGTTTCTTGACACCTCAAAAGTACGCAGCAACTAAAGGAATGTGCATATTGATTTTTTAATAATAATAATATGCTTTATTTTGTTGCAAGCTGGTAAAAATTGTGCTTGAAGTAATTTAAAATTTTTCCTGAAGGAATCGACCCATGGGAATTATTTGCATGAACATATTTGTACTTCATTTACTGATCAGGATCAGATCCAAACAAAGGATTTGGATTATTTTGTTTCATCCATTGAAATTTGCATTTAATTTCCGTAGTACCATTCTTTTGGTTGTATTAAAATTTTTTCCGTATTCAAGGTGTGTGTGTATTTTTGAACATGAGAATGTACCAGATTACTATCAAATTGAGCAGAGACACGTGATCACGAAATAGGCATTGCATTTTTTTAATCTTTTTATGAGTCAAACCAATATTTTATATCCAGGAACACATACAGACAGTTGGAATTTGATCATTACCTACTTAATATCTATATTCAATCACCTGATCTTAGAAGCAGATCCAGTGGCCAAGAGGCACAATTTTATTTTGCAGACATAAGCCAATAAAAATTTAAACAGCATTTTGAGTGATAATCAGCTATTGTGGTCGTTGAAAATTTTAGGAAATAGGTAATTAAGATGGGGTTGGTTTTGGAGAAGTTACATTCGCGTTTTGGTATTCAAGGCGACCAGTACGGTCTTCAAGAATTCGCATTGTAAATTTCGAGGTGATCAGTATGGTCCTCTATCTAGAAGAAAGGGATTCGCCTTTTGAATTTGGAAGCGACCCGTGCGGTCCTCTAGAGATTCGCGTTTTTGTCAATGGTTTTTTTTTAGATTATTGACGTGACCAACATCTTACGGTCTTTTTTCAAAAAACAACCACTGTTAACATTCACTTTCATACGGAGTCCGTCAGTAAATGTAAGCACTAAGAATCTTTAACTGAAATTTTAAAATAGAAATAACGAATGCATACTACCTTTATAAATTCGTATACGAAAGTATTTGTTGACGCCCATTTATGTTAAACCCTCGTTATTACTAATATTACTATTGGAATAATTCACTACAAGGTAAATTCTTTTCAATTAACATTAATTAATTGAATTAGAGAAATCACATTTGCAAGTGGCTATAAACCTATATAAGTCTGCGCGTGGTCTGTTATGAACATTTCAGTAACGCAACTGCTGCTGCTACTTTTTACAACACATGCAACTGTCAGCAACAGATGCGTGCTAACCTAAAAAGTACATTACCGTAATCCGATTGGCCGTCCTCGGTGATGTACATGTCTTCCAAAAATTCATACGTCTTCTCGGATATATGGACCATGCCAGGTTTCCCAGTAGACTCCATCTTATTGGCGAGCGTAACATCATTGCTCCACACGTCAAATTTAAAACGTTTCGTACCGACGATGCCGCAAAGAACGGTTCCCGTATGTACCCCCACCCTCATATTGACGCCCTGATTGTGCTCCTGGTCGAACTGCTTAATAACCTGTATCATCCCGAGTCCCATTTCGACGCAGCATTTCGCGTGATCCGGTCTGGGTTGAGGGCACCCGGACACGCAGTAGTAGCAATCGCCCAAGGTGGAAATTTTCTCACACTGACTTTGCTTGCATAAAATATCGAATTTTTGGAAAAGCTGATTCAAAATATCCACCAGCTCCTCCGCAGTCTTTGTACTTGAGATTTTCGTAAAGCCGACAATATCGGCGAATAATATACTAACGTTCTCCATGCGGTTCATGTTAAACGGACGAAATAGAGTTTTCATATCCCCCGTTTCGGTTGAGTCGCGTCCCTCCTTGCCGGTTTTCGCAAAGTGTTCGTCTTCCCCCATTAACCATTCGGCGACCTGCGGAGGCATGAGTGAGTGCAACATGCTTTCTTTCAAATTTTTCTCCGCCTTCAACTGCTGTCCAACCAATAAGCTCTGACCGACTTGCATAAACGTATCGCGCATGCGGACATTGCTCATAATGAAAATATGAAGACCAATAAAATGTATACAAAGGTGCACTAGTACTCTAACAATTATTGCGATTATTTCGTAGCTCTGCTCGTCGGTAAGCCATGTTAACAATTCAAATACGGTCGAGTATAAAACTCCAATTGTGATGCACATGTATAAGCGTAACGGCAATATCGTGTAGATTAATAGTAAAATTTCGATACAAACGGAAAAATGACCGGCCGGACTTATCGTCGTGACCGTTTTATTGACGGAAGACCCGTACACAACCGGAACAACGGACAGAAACGTTAAACTTAACACGCAGAGTATTACGGCGATACCAAACGACAGGAAGACCATGTAAGCATTGAAGAAATCTTGATAAGTTAGTACCATAATAGCGATCGATAACAGTGCGACTATGGCGAGCACACCGCACAGTATCGGCCACACTTCCGTTGAATTTAGTAGACCCATCGTCAGAAAGTAAAAAAACCATGATAGAGATATTAAGAGCACATACCATATGGCGTACCTGAAACAAACGAAACAAAATGTAATTAAACAAAAGAATATTGATAGCAGCAAAATGCTGTTACAAATATAATATAAACAATTCTTGTTTTGTTATTATATATTATTGAGGTAGAAGTATGTTCAATAAATGGCTTATTATTATTATTATTATTATTATTATTTGTGATGATGACCTGTTATGTGTGTAAGAAAGTTATGTGCTGCGCATGCGCCAGCCATTTTTTTTTGACACATCTCAATTTGATTATATATGAAGCACCTCCTCCTAAAAAACATTCGTCCATAAATGAAAAAATGTAAGTGTGCAATGTATTTCTTATGGCAATAATTCCATGGCCGATTATGATTGAAAACAAATTCATTAGTTTTTGTCTCCCATAGTAATAATCAATATGGCCATGGAATTATTTGATTTTCAGTCGTTAGTTTTAAGTGAGCGGGGTTTCAGCTCTACCAATACAACTATCCATTTACAAATATCCTTACCCGAACCCGGATTCGAACCAGGGAGCCTTTCTGTCGAAGTCGGGATTATTGCCATAAGAAATACGTTGTAAACTTCAACGCAAAAATTCAAGAGTAAAGACTAAGTATTTGGTATCGCCGATTTTCTAATTTTTTTCTTTATCTAATGACGTAAAAATCCAATATGGCATCTATAAGACAGAAGAAAGTTGATGTGATTTACTCGAAACCCACAAGTAATAAAATTTTTGAATGTTGGCACCTTCAGAAAGCTGAGAAAAAATCACTATGGGCAAATACCTTAATATACAGGAAACATGCATACGGAAAACTCGCTACTATTTACATTTGCGTAACGCGAGACATCAAAAAGAGCGCCATCTACACGACTCGGTGTAATTTGTAAGAAGCATCATCTTCAATCGTTAACGGGTTATCGAATTTTGAAAATGAACGCTGATAAATTTGAAAACGGTCGATTATCGGGGCAAATATACAAGACATAAAAAAGTGTTGTACAAAAGTCTTCTTCAATATCTACTAGGCAGTAATAATTTTAATTATACAGAGTTGGTCATAAAGGCGTGGCACAATGCATTTTTTGAAATTGAGCACCCTGTATATTATTCGATATTTCAATTCTTCTTTCAATTTTAAGCCAAATTTGCTAGAAACACAATCTACCTAAGTTCAATCTTTAACCGGCTATCGATTTTGGAAAATAAACGCTGATAATTTTGAAAACTGCTGATTATCGGGGAAAATATACAAGACATCAAGAAAACATACAACAGTTTGGAGGTTCTTCAATATCTACCAGGCAGCAATAATTTTAATTACACAGGGTGGGTCATAAAGGCGTGGTACACCAAATTTACATTTTTTGAAATGGAACACCCTGTATATTATTCGATATTTCCTCGTCTTTGTCAATGCCATTTAGATTTAGTATATTCATATGATTTTCACTGTCATCATTTTCCATTTCTATGGTTATTTCCTCGGTTATTTTTTCAGATGCTATACCCGATGATTGATTATCGGGGCAAATATACAAGACATCAAGAAAACATACAAAAGTTTGGAGGTTCTTCAATATCTACCAGGCAGCAATAATTTTAATTACACAGGGTGGGTCATAAAGGCGCGGCACACCAAATTTACATTTTTTGAAATGGAACACCCTGTATATTATTCGATATTTCCTCGTCTTTGTCAATGGCATTTAGATTTAGTATATTCATATGATTTTCACTGTCATCATTTTCCATTTCTATGGTTATTTCCTCGGTTATTTCTTCAGATGCTATACCCGATGGTTATCAAAATGGCAATCAGGTTTTCTAAGAATTTTCTATGGTTAGAATTCCTAATGTTACACAATCCTTAGTGGCATTTTTTAATGAGTAATGTACTTATGTCTTGGATTCCTCATCTGATAGTAAGATTCACGATGGCTGAAAGCTACCCCCATCAATTGTTCTGGGTTATAAGACTGTTCTGGGAAAAGTATACTTTCCAGAGGCATCTAGAATTATGTGCAATGAAAGTGTGGTATAATTTGCCTCTGTACTGTGTGTCCTATTTTGCTTAAGACTGCGGTCTATCTATCTCAGCTGCTTTTAAAGATAGAAACTTGGGGTTTTCGAGACCGTTTGTCATTTTTTTTGAAACTTAATACCACAAACACGTTTGTTTCTGAGATACAGGGTGAAAACGAAAAGTTTCTACTTTTTGGGATATATTTTAAAACCCATGCCAGCCAGGAAAATGGTAAAACTGTCTACTTTCGATATTTTTACGTAGAATCCAATGGCGTAGTAAACAAAATTTTTGGATCGCCGTTTATTTTAGTAGTATTTTTTAAATGCAACTGTTTATCTTAACGTCAATTTTTTTTACTTTCTCTTTCCTGATTACATTGGACTATGGCAAAAAATTTTGAATAGTAGGCCATGGATTCATGGAGATTTTTGTTTATTGTATCCATGGTAACTAAGGTAGCAGATACCAATGAATAAAAATGGCTGATTTGAAAAATTTGAAAATTATGATATAATACTCGATATAATATAATACATATATTATATAAAAAAAATATAGGTTGTGATACATTAATGTAATTAGGAAAAAGAATGCAAAAAAGTGACGTTAAGTTATACAGGGTATTGAATTTAACAAAATAATACCAACTTTGGCTCAAATCCTCGCTCAAAACTCAGAAACGGTGGCCCAAAAATTACTCCTCGTTTCCAGGTTATTGAGTTTTGAATATAAACACCATTTATTTATTGAAGGAAGAACGATAATTAAAGAAATCACGAATTTCTTTGATAACATTCTGTAGTGCTGAAAAGAACAGGTTGTGATGTTTGTTATTATTGCTTGTAATTGTTAATTATTGGTCTTCATTCAATCATTCAATAAATTTTAAAATAATATTGTATTTTCAAATCTCGATATTCTATAAACAATTGAATTTGGGTACATTATGCTTCTTACAACTTTTGCTTAAAATTGGAAGAAGAATTCAAATATCAAATAATAAACAGGGTGTTCCATTAAAAAAAATGCAATTTTGGTGTGCCACGCCTTTATGACCAACTCTGTATAATTAAAATTATTAGTGCCTGGTAGGCATTGAAGATCCCTAAGACTGTTGTATAAACCTTTTTTCGATACCTTGTATATTTGCCCCGACAGTTGAGTCTCCAAACTTATAGAAGTTTATTTTGAAAACTCGATAACCCGGAAACAATTGAATTTGGGTACATTATGCTTATTACAACTTTTGCTTAAAATTGGAAGCATTGAAATATCAAATAATAAACAGGGTGTTCCATTTAAAAAATGTAATTTTGGTGTGCCACGACGTTATGACCAACCCTGTACAAAAGTTATTAGTGCCTGGTAGACAATAAAGAATTTTTTAATTATATCAAGCGTCATAGTTTCCAAAAACGCAATCTTTTGTACCAGGAACAACTGTATGAGCAGACCAAAAGTACCACAAGATGTATAGTGGTGTGGCCTGTAACTTTAACACATTTTATAAGGGTGGCCCTACGAAACCTGCCACAATTGCAACCCAATTTTGCCTTCTTCCTATGTATGTGTACTACATTGTGATAGGCTGCAGAGAAGGGTACCCTAATTTCTGATATGATCACCTGGCTACCTACCTCAAATGAAAGAGGAGTTAGAACTCTGCCATTAGAAGTTCTGAGATGATCCTATGACACCAGTCCACAACAAACTCATGAGAGGGATCAAACTCACGTCAAAGCAAAACAAATGAATGGAGTCCCACGTATGAGCATAAGTAAATTTAAATTCGGAAAACAAAAAAAGTATTGTGTTATTAATACACCTCATGTTGTAATAGAATTTACATTTCGGCCGAAAAAGGTATTGACTAAAATACCTATTTTTACATTCTCGAGATGTACGGATGATTTGTATTTACATACAATTTTCTGCCGCCGAGTCTTGTTTGCATAACAGGCCTTGGAAGTTTGCAAGTCAATTTACAAAACAATTGCAATTTAAATAATCTCATCAATGACAATTGAATAGAAGCTGTCGGGTGAACACGAAAATGGTAAAGTGCAGACGGGGGGAACTCACCTGAACTTTAATCTGTTATTGGGAGCCGCACTTTTTTTGTACTGTTCCTCGAGTACTTCGGAATCAAATGTCGGATCCCACCACGATTTACTGGCGGCGCGTTCGAACGGTATCGGTAAACACTTCCCCCAACAGCCGGCGGCCTGCGACATTTGAGATAAATATGTTTGGACGTGAGGAGCTAGCGATAGCTGGAAGGTTTCATCGTCTTGCATGTCCTGCTCCGACTTTGAGAAGCTCACGGATGAAAAGCGCTTCACTGTTGACATTTTAAACCGATTATTCGATGAGTAAAAAAATGTACACTGGTTTGATGTGCTAAGTACACATCGTCTCCTTTCTTATCTTTCTATTTAAACATGCTGTAACAAAATTTTTACCTTACGATAAGGAATTGCATTTAAATTTTCAATTACCTTTCCTGGGATGAAAATAGGTGCTGTTATAAAAAAACAGCATGTTGATAGATGAATTGAAAGTTATGTATCGAAGCACTTCGAAGTAGATTCATCGATAAACACTATTCGAAACTAAGTAGCAAAACATAATACACGGAAGGCAAAAATTTGCCTATTCCGCCTTGTTTTGATTGACAAATGAGAGAGGTCTGACGATCGCTTCTTCCTTCAACCTCTACTCAAACTCAGCTGAGAAGAAAAAAAAAACACCTCGCGCACAGGAGTGGCTTCGAAATAATTACAGTAACTAAACTACCACCTTGTTTGGTAAGCAAATAGCCTCGCCACACTCCATAAAGATAAGGCTTCAAACGTGACCACGAATTCGAATTTAAAGCGCGCCTTTTCGCCCGAATCGCGAGGAAAAAAACCTAAATCCTGACCTGGGCGCGATCTTTCATCCTTTTCCTTTTCCGTATTCGCCGATTTGATTCCATTTATGTTAAAAGCAACCACTTCACTCTCCTTATCTAGATTACCAATTAAATTAAATGATCTCGATGCAAATATTTGCTAATAATCTCGAAATAGACAATTATATTAAGTGCGTTAAGTATCTCAAAACACGACGCCTGCATTCAAATTAGAAATTAATAAAACGCGCTCCCGTAATTAGATAACAATTAAATCAGTACATTATTTTTAATGCACAATAAAATCGGCACGTTTTTATGTCCGAATCATTTTTATTCCAGAGCGTATATCTATTTCAATTTTAATGAGGGTGGGCTAGCCTTCCCCAGTGATATTAATCATAATCACCAAAAATCTAATCAGTTTTCCTGCCACAACAACCTGTCAACTCCTGCTCTCAACAAACTAATTAGACCCTTTCCGCTGTGCTATTTATATTTGTGCCAAATTGAAACAAAGTTGCTCCCGACACATATGCTACATCATTGCACATTTATTTGTAAGCGGGCTAAATACTAAACAAGTTAAAAAGTAATCGTAAACGATTTACATAAAGCGCATTTCCACTTGCATTCATTTCCCATTTGTAAGATGCAACTTCTGTTAAAATCGTAAAAATCCGGCCACAAATATGAAAGATAGCGTTGCACATGGGCAATCCATTGTTGACGTGCTACTTCAATTTCAGTTTATGAGAAGAATTTCATTTCAATGCTTTTCTATATAACAAAGTTGGAACTGCGCATGCGCAAACCTAAATTTTAAAACTAATTTACTATAACTAACTAATAAACTAAGATTTTCCTTTGTACCAAGCGCCTAAGTATCAAATTTCACTTAAATAGTTCCATAGATAAAAAAGTTGGCACGGCGCATGCGCAAAATAAAATTTTGAAACTGGCGCTAGATTTTCCTTTATTCCAAGTGCCTATGTATCAAATTTCATTTAAATTCTTCCATAAATAAAAAAAGTTGGCACTGCGCATGCGCAAAACCAAATTTTGAAATTGGCGTTTGATTTTCCTTTATCCCAAGTGCCTATGTATCAAATTTTGTTTAAATTCTTCCATAAATAAAAAAGTTGGCACTGCGCATGCGCAAAACCAAATTTTGAAATTGGCGTTTGATTTTCCTTTATTTGAAGTGCCTATGTATCAAATTTCGTTTAAATTCTTCCATAAATAAAAAAGTTTGCAATTCGTTTATAAATGGTCGAGATGCGAAAAGGGCACTGTGAATTTTGAATCGATTCGATCCAACTTTTGGCATTGCGTATTATATGGCTAAATCTATGCCCATATTGAATTTCATGCAATTCAGTTCATAACTAACGGAGATGTAAAAGCGATCGAACATTTCTAAACAAAGTTATCGTTCACACGGACAGATAGATGGACAGACAGACAAAGGAACAGACGGAGAGACCAACCGGCAGGCGACAGATAGCAATGCAAAATTATAAACGATCTCTAGGATCGTTAATAAACGGCAAAAGTTTAAAATTATGGAACATGTAAAAAACGGTTTTTTGTTTTTTTTACAATAACTTTTTTTGTAAGCGGTACAGAAAAAATTCCTTCCTTGGTACAAGACTCGACACCATAACGAACCAAATAGCGAAAAAAGTAGAACAATAGCTCTTAAGATAAAAAACTAGTAGCGTCGCAAAGTTAGCGGACGGACGGACGGACAAAGTGGCCACAATAGCGCATTTTTTTTATTTTTGTGGAAATGCGCTAAAAAGACAAATTTGCGTCCTACGCCACGAATAATACAGGGTGGCCATTTGAAAACGAAACAGAGCCTATTTTGGGAACCTCAAAACATTTACGAAAAAATCCTCGGACCCGTCAATTTTTGATTCAAGGGGGAACCATTTTTTTGCTAGTTTCGCCCCCCTAAGGGCAAAGCCCTAGCGGGGGTGATAAGTGCTCCCAAACTTTTAAATCGAATGGGGGGTCGAGTGATCCTTATTTTGAAGGTATTTTTATGTGGATTATAACCCTCAAGTTTTTAAATCGCTACTAATTTGCCTAACCGATACAGGGGCTAATAAAAGTTAAAAACGTGGCAACATTTTCTTATGAAAAAAATGCTTGTAAATCAATTAGTTAAATAACAAAAATTAATACAACAGTAAATACAAAAAATGTTGTTCTCCTACATTCTGAACCGTACTTTTTGTTGTTGTTTTTTTCTTTTTAATACCTGTAGGTGGCTATGCCAATTCTGCAACAGAAATCTTGGTTATTGTTGAGAGCGTTACTATAGCAACATTTTGAAGTTTAATAGTGCTTGTCAATTGTTGTTGTCAAAATAATAGTAGTGACAAATAGACACCTGTCGCTATTGGGCTGATTCAAATCCCAGAATATTTCGTGAGGTGCATACACAACGTCCCGAAAAATTGAATGTTTGGGCTGGCATTTTTGGTAACCATATCGTAGGCCCCTTCTTTTTACCTGGCAATCTAACAGGAGAGATGTACTTGAAGTTATTAGAAAATACGATTCATCCAGCATTAGTGGAGATACTAGAAAATAACAACGAGTACTTGGAAAATCGTATAGTATTTCAACAAGATGGTGCGCCACCCCACTATGCTGCAAGGGTTCGTCAATATTTGGACCAAACGTTTCCAGAACATTGGATTGGAAGAAGAGGAGCTATTGAACGGCCTCTTCGTTCCCCGGACTTAAGTCTGTTAGGTTTTTTTATGGGGACATTTAAAAACTAAAATTTATGCTAGTCAGCCAACGTCGCTAGAGAACTTGCGACAAAGAATAATTGATGAATGTCGTCAAATCACCCCAGAAGTTTTGCAAAATGTACGGGAAAGGTTTGAACAAAACCTGTATTATTGTATGGATGTCGAAGGCCAACATTTACTTGATTGATTTTAGCTTTAAGCACTTAAAATAAAACTGATTTAAATCTTAGAGTTATAATCTACATAAAAATACTTTCAAAATAAGGTATCACTCGACCCCCCATTCGATTTAAAATTTTGGGGGCACTTGTCACCCCCGCTATGGCTTAGCCCCCAGGGGGGCGAAACTAGCAAAAAAATGGTTCCCCCTTGGATCAAAGATTGACGGGTCCGAGGATTTTTTTGTAAATGTTTTGAGGTTCCCAAAATAGGCTCTGTTTCGTTTTCAAATGGCCACCCTGTATAGACAATTTTTGAGTAGAATAGAAAAGCTTGTATAATTAATAATAAACAATCGCGCAATGCAATCGACCAGTTTCGATTTTGTGCGCCATAATGGCGCTCTTATATAAAAAGGTGGAAATTGTCATGATCTGAAATCAAAGTCAATTTAAAGAAATGTACAAAGATTTCAAGTCCATACCCGATATAGTAATTGCTGCCAACAACCTCTGGGCAATTAAGTGTTTTTATTACACTGAATTGGAATGGTTTATAAAGAAAGATATTTCACCAAACTTGAGATAGCTACATTGAATACGTCCAGAAAACACATATGGCTCCATATCATAAAGAAATATAGACAAACACGATGGAGTGAATAAACCGTAAGGAAAGCAAACCTATTTCCTGGTACTAGACGTAGACAGCTCAACCAATCACGATGCACCATTGAATCAACTTGGGCAAACATTTAGGTACAGGTACTCTCCATCCATACCTCTCACCCTACACTTGTTAGTGAGGAAACAATCAGGGTAGAAGAGAAACCCTTGGTAGACTTGCATGTAATAGCATCATCAATAATCTGCGGGATAAAAGCTATTAATATCTTTCAGCAAAAGAAGCACAGGAGAACATGAGCTCCAACACCAACCCGAACAAAAATTACACCTGTACCTGTACTAAATATAAATAAATTGTGCCCTGTTATTATTTATTTATTATCCCTCTCTTGTTCTGGGCCCTCAACAGGCTTGCGCCCAATTACTGCTTTTTAGAGGTGCCTCTGCAGAAGGTCTTAAGTTGTTCTATACTACTCCGGTATTTACCTTACGAATTAGGAAAACTGCAGGAAAACCTAATTCGGAGTAGCCAGTAGAATGCTCGGAACTGGTCTAAGTTAATTTCCATCCCTGCCACAGATGAAAAATTCTCCTCAACCCAGGTTCGAACACCCGACCTCCGGATTTATAGCCCAACGCTCACCCACTGAGCCATAAAAAAACTGAAGTTAAAAAACCATAATTTAGTGTGCAGGGCAGGTGGAAGAGGCGGGCTCTTTAATAGGGCCACGCGAACTAATAAGCTGCCTGCGGACTGGGAGGATCTTAAGATCCCTCAGCGCAATTTTCGAAGGTCTAAACGAAGATCACGGAGAACCTTCCGTGGTAACACGAGGGTCTTTCTGAAGTTCAAAAACTTCGCAAAATCTTTGAAAGACCCGGGACAAAAAGTGGCGACAGTGAGGCTTCCATGCGACAGATATATGTCTACCGCGAGTGAGACCCTCACATGTCTCCTGGAAACCCACTTTCCACGTTCTGGAGACTACGTAACTTCGTACCCACCAAAAGAAGCTACCTGCAGTCAAGGAGACATTTCTGAAAAGTGCATGTCTAATGACGTTTTGTGCTACAAACTGGCAACAGGCGGTTCTAGACTAATTCGACCCTGCTGAAAACGATGCGCCCTGTTACCAAGACCCGATTTTGGCATTTAAGCCCCCAAATCCAAGATGGCGGTCGAATTTGCCGTTTTTCGGTTTTCGGCATGTCCCTATACGTCCGCAGTTAAGCCCTTCAGGTGTGTAACATCCGGATTTGTAGTCGCAATTCGTATTATATTATTGCTCCGGGCCACCAAAATGGGGCCTGAGTGACCAGTGTAGTAAAATATGGCAAAAAGAATGACTTTGTCACGATTGTCGGACTTTCCAGACGCCATATATTGGTATTTAGGCCCCAGGCATATGGCGCTGCAGGATGTCCCCACATACTTAATATATTTGACGCCGACAACAGGTCAGAAAGAAAAAAAACGACGAAAAATGACCGAATTTTTGCATTTTTGACATTTTTAAGCGGCATTTTGTAATATCAATAGGAAAGTGTGTGTAAGTACCATAAAATTGTACTGAAGTACATATTAAGTACCAGTAAATATATAGGAAAAATATAACAAGTATTAAGTATCAGTACCAATATTTCAAGCGGTACTTAAAATCTTAAGTACATCGAACTTAGATATAACAAAATGAAGTACAGACCATTCAGTACTCCTCACGGTACTTAAATTAAGGATTGAAGTATTACGTATTCGTAATTACTGAGTACAGGATCAGTGCCGTTACAAGTACCATAAAAATGTAAGTTGTTGTAGTTATAGTCGGGGCACATTTCAAGAAAAGGCATCCCTATGAATTCAAGAAGCAAATCGGGTAACAATTGAGCATGATATCCCCTATTTCCGACTCCGCTGAATCCGAATCTGCCGTTTGCCAAACCAGATTTTGCACCGGAAGTCGTGTATTCAAGATGGCGTCTGAAACCGGATGCGCATGCATGGTTTTTTCACCTCTGTGGACCAATACGCACTTCGGGATGAGGATTTTCGATGGTGAGGTCGACCAAACACTTATAATAATAATACAACAACATATTAATGGAGAAAAAATTTTGAAAATAAGTACTTTATTTATAATTTTGTGGAAATTATGAAAATTTTCAAGAAAAAATTACATAGCGTATTGAAATACTTCTACAAGTGCTGGGGGACAGTCTATTTTATGAATTGTCGTGGTAGTGTGACTTGAAACGTATTTCAATTCGCTATGACATTTCTTCTTCAAAATTTTCATAATTTCCACTAAATCAATACATAAAGTACTTTAAAAATTTTTCCTCCATTAAAATGTTGAAGTGTTTGGGCGACCTCCTCACCATTGAAAACCCTCATCCCGACGTAAAGTGCGTTAATTGGTCGACACAGGTGAAAAAACCATGCATGCGCATCCGGTTTCGGACGCCATCTTGAATACACGACTTCCGGTGCAAAATCCGGTTTGGCAAACGGCAGATTCGGATTCAGCGGGGTCGAAATGGGGGATAACAGTCGCTTGCTCAATTGTTACCCGATTTGCTTCTTGAATTCCGATATTTTAAAATGTATCCCCGACTATTACTAAATGTCAATTATCGTAAAATGGAATATGAATGATTCTAATAAAAATAAATTTAGTGTTTTGCTCAAGTATTATTACTTTATTTCACAATTAAAACTAATACAACAAAAATAAGTAGGTAGGTACCTACCAGAGTATTTTCGATACCTACTTAAAGTAATTTTTTACTCAAGTAACTATTTTAAGTAATTTTGAATATCCAGTACTACTTTTAAGTGGGTACTAAGTAGCAATATTAATCTAAGTACTTAAAAATTCAAGTATAAAGTATCGGAAAATTAGTACTTAATACTTAAAAGTACTTTTGTGTACCTACTTTAATTTGGTAGCTATTCAGTATAACAGTCCCAGGATTTGGTAAAGGGAGGGGCCCAAACCCGAACTTTGTCCCAACACGGAAAAAAATAAAAGAAATGTGATGAAAAAAATGGACAATGGCCTCCCCCCCCCCCCCCGGGACCGCCTCTGACTGTGTGTTATTTTACCCATATAGTAAGCACGTTCAGCGGCGCACCGTTTTTCGGTTATTTCGGCCGCCATATCTTGCATTTAGAGGCTTAAATGCCAAAATCGGGTCTGGTAACAGGGCGCGCGTCAGCGGAGTCGAATTAGTCTAGAACCGCCTGTTACCAGTTTGCAGCACAAAACGCCGTTAAGACATAATTTATAGTGCCTTTTGCAGAAATACCTCCCTGACTAACACGGGTCTGTGAAAGCCCCCGGTGATCACTGAGGGGGGGGGGGGGATAGTCCGGCGAGGAGGGGGGGGATAGTCCGGCCTCTTCTGCAGAAGAGCCTGGTCCTACATTTTTTGCACCTCTTTAGAACCTCCCTCTGGCTCTCCCTGAAAGTTGAAGCAAGGTAAGAGTTGTGTACGTACCTAAGCCGGACCGTGTCCAATATGGCATGGCAGCCCATCATCGTTTCTTCTAAGAACGGTGGAGATGCTGATGGTGGATGCATACATAACTGCAGTTGGGGTATTGGTCCTTAGAGGAGTGGTATGTCCACGGAGAAAGCTAGATCGTGTGCAGGCTGGAGAAGGGAATGTCTGCCGGAGCAAAGAGCAATTTGGCCGGAGGGAGCGTTTCTATAGATATCAAGGGTGCGTTTAACAACGTACCAGGAGCGGAAAGACCTCACGAAAAACAAACGCTCATGAGCAGAAAAAAGCGCTCGAGCGAATAAACAAGTATCGAGCACCAAGCACCCGCGAATGTATCGCTCGCAAGCGCTTTTTCCGCTTGGAGCGCTTTCTGAAGCGAAAAGCTCGCGAGCAGTACCCAGGTATGAGCCTCTATGGAACACACATTACTTTCCAGTTCCCATTTTGAAAAAGTGGTCCTTTTTTGATAATTTCTCCAGTTTAGCCCTTGCATTCGTTGTCTTCTTCAGTGTCAAACGGGAATAATCCTGAATGATAACGACGGTGCTATAGCCAGCAAGTAGGAGGACTGCAACAGTACGCTTTTTTTCGAGCACGATCCCGTTCGGCAGCTTAGGGACATTGCACCAACTCGTTTTATCCTTAAATGCTCTGTGCATTACAAAATCCTTTCACAAAATCGCGACTTGATTCCATTTTGCATTTTCCAGTACCACCTTTCATATAAAACTCGATGTCCTGCTAAATTAAATTGCTTTGTACGATACATTTTCATGTGTAGACTTCGATTTTTCTCAAAATTATGGATTGATTGCATGATAAATTGAAAGGTTTTAATAGGTCGAATAAATCAAAGGTTAAAAGTGGTTAATTAAATCTCAAAAATTGCTAACGTTAATGTCAGAGTTCAATTATCAATCACTGCGATCATCAAAGGTATCGTGAAACAGTATTGAGTAGGTACACATTGTCGTGCAAAGGAAATGAACATTTACAACTAACACAAAAATCTATTTTTACATAAAATCAAATTGGGGAGGGGGTTTTCCCTGTGTCTACTTTTAAAGAACAAAATCTCTTTTGAAGGACGCCTAATTTTATGCAACCAAAACTTCTTAAAACAAATGAAGATCTAGCTGTTAGACTAATTAATTTGAATATTCTTCATGGCATCCGTATTTCTATTTTCGTTTGTGTGCGATGTATTCAACTGAAGAACGAATTGATATTGTCAATTAGGTATAGTGCCGGTACTAGTTTAAAGAGTGTAAGAGATTTTTTCTGAAACTACTTTAGAAACAACTACTTTCGTCTCTAAAATGGGCGAAGAAGGTGTCATTTTCCTCTCTAGTGAGGAAAGTAAAAAACAATTGCTGCATTAATCTTAATAATGACATTTAAAATTGAAACATACCCGTATTTGGATTGCTATGTGCCAAACTTCATTATTGCATACGATAATTTTTCAATTTTGATTGCAGTTTCAGAAAAAATTATGTGTAAAATTTTAACTATTATTTACCCCAAATCGTCCTGAAACCTTCTTTTCATGCCTACTTTTTGTCAGGAAATTTTAGTTTCCATGACAGAGGCAGAGCAGACTACGTTTCCTGCCGCTTGTCTCTTTACTGGCTGCACCTGCCACTTTACCGGCCGCATATGTGACATTTAAATGTCTATAATGACTCCTGTCATCACTGACAGATTGACATTAATCAAAAGTTCTGTGGGAATATGAGGTAGACCGAATTAACATTTATTTATGTAACAAAGTAAACTGAACACTTCAACTAAAACTTAAGAACACAATGTATGTCTGTAAGTATTAAATGTCTGTTTGTATGTAGGTATTGAATATTTGTGTGTGTGTCTGATTTTTACAAAGTTTGACAAGTGACCAGTGATCTCGCCACACAGCCGACTAATACTACAGTACAAGTTCTATATAAAAATTGAAATTTTATATTAAAATATGATTTCGGGTAAAATTTAATACAAAACTCGTCAGTAAAATGACATTACCTGATTCGGATATTAAAGTACTCAGCCACAAAGGGGCCTCGTACTTCAATATTTCCTTGCCAGTAATGTGTCATTTTCCTGACTTTTATGTAAATAACTATTTCTGTGAAGCCAAAGCAACAATATTCAAATTAATTAATATGACAGCCAGATCTTTGTTTTAAAAAGTTATTTTGGTTGCATAAAATTAGGCGCTCTTCAGAAGGATTTTGTCATTTAAAAGTATACATAGGGAAAAACAATACACATAATTCCTAAATGACTGTATACATACGGTGTTATTGCCAATTGGGATTAATGACAGTGGCACCATCATTGGCTGTGTAGAGCTTCTCGAGTAGATACCCTCTTTCTTGGTTGTCCATTTATAACATGTTGTTTCCTGTTTAGGTATAGAAGTTAACAGTCAATTAAATTCTTGTTGCAACAGCTCCTATCCGTGATTGAAACATGAGTAACAAACGAAAATTATTTTTGCAAACCTTCCGATAGTTCCGGTTGCATGTATCTAATGCAACCTTTCCTCCCACACTCTGGCAGCATGTTTACCCACACCTACTTACAATCGATTAACGTAAATTAATAATAAAATAAATATTCAATTTTTATATTTACTTCATTCATATAACCGCCGTTTTATTTATTGTACAATTTCTATATATACCTAGCCTAACCTAAAAATTGTACAAAACTTTACAAAAAACTTGCACACATGCACCTAACACGCTCGATAAAATAAAATGCAATTTACACAGACGCGTAACTATCACAACAAGAACTTATAAAGGCACCTTTAAAAATATTGTACAAAAATTAACAAAATTACCTAAATCTCATTCACTTTCGGCGTGCTTTTACCCCAGAGCCAATTCAGCAGAACTTTCGGAGGACTCTGCACATCTCGAGCTGAAAGAATAAGTTGAGATCGAGTCGCACTTACTACCACCTACATAAAGTATAGCTGGCGTCCTGCACTAATTTAGCGGCGGCTTCCGGGGGCAGTCTCGAGGCAACCTCACGATGTTGCTGCATAAGTGACAGCTGCAAAAGTTGCCTCTGCTCTTGCTCGTCTAGCAGTGTTTTATCCTTTCTGTAGCCGACCGATTTTAACTGGGACAATCTGAAGATCATAGAGTGACGCTACTTGACTACGCTCAAGTGTACTTACTTATTCGCTAAAGGAGTCGTATCATCGGCTTTGGCAAGTTCAACGAATGCGGGTATAGACTGTTTAGTGGGTGTCAAAGGCTCTTCGCTTACCGACTCCGACAGCAGCTCGGGCGTGTACTTCCGTCGAAGCTCCTCCCTCTCCCTGATCGCGTTTGACAGCTTCAACTGTAGCGTATCGCGCTCCTCTAACAACTGCATCAGCTCGACAGTGAGCTCCTCGCATCTAACATCGCGTTGATGCAGCATATACAGCGCGAGATCCAACTCGGCGCGACTTGTCGGCTCGAAAATCTCCGGGTTGTCGCTGGCGGACTCGCGCTCCGGATAAACCGGCTCCGATTGGTGCACGTTAACGCTCGGCTTCCTCAAATCCAGCTCGGCGATGAGGCTGTCGTAATCCTTACTCTTCTCGTACAGTTCGCGCTTCTGCTCTTCAATTTTGAGCACCTGATCTTCGATGATCGCCCTGAGATCGTTCAGCTGCTTGTTTTCCTCGCCGCTCAACGCCTCCTCTTCCGCTAACTTCCGCCGCAGCTCGTCGCGTTCCGCAACGAGCGCGTTCAATTGCGACTGCTGTTCGGCAAACGCTTCATTGCTTTGCGCGTGTTGGAGCAGTCGAGCGTTTGCAATTTCCAATTCCGAATCCTTGGAGCGGAGTTGATTGTCATAATGCAGTTTAAGCTCAGATTCGTTCTGCAAGTACTGTTGAGACAACGACTCAAACTCCTTCTCCTTTTCGTTAATCAAAACCTTGAGGTTGCCAAGTTGGAGGGTTAGAGCACTGTCTTTCGATTCGAGAGCTTCCTTCGCTTGTTTGTACCTGTCGACTTCCGAAAGAAGATCGGCAATTTGGCGACGATTTTCGTCCGATAACGCAGTGAGCTGAAGAAGCTGATTGGTGAGATCGGCAATTCGATGATCCTTGTCGTCGGCGTTTGCGTTATACGTTTTTATTTGAGTTGTCAAGAGATCAACGGCCCGCAGTTTGTCCTCCATTTGCGATTTTAAGGTTGTGATTTCACTCTCTAGGATGCGTTTGTCGTTCTGAATTTCAGACAGATTCGTGTCCTTTTGCTGAGTATCTAACATAAGTCGTTCGTTAGCAGCCTCCTTAGCTACTAGCTCGTTTTCTAAATTCGCTTTGAGCTCCACGTGTTCGTCCAACTGCCGCTGTACAGATTCCAATTGTTTGTTGAGCTCCTCAATTTTGTCATCGCGCTCAATTTGTAAGGACCTAAGTTCTGCAATTTCGCTATCCTTCTCTTGTATTTGGCTATAGCATTGCGCAGACTCTGTCAATTGCCGCTCCTGTTCGCTAATCTTCGCTTGACATTCTTGCAACGAATGCGTTAATTCGTTGATGTACTGTTGGAGAGCCGACATTTTATCAACCTCATTTTTGATTTCCGCATCCACATTTCGTCGCAGTTCGTTGTTTTCATTGACGAGTATGTTCACTTTTTCTTCAAGGTCACTAATCTCTTTTCGTAACTGACCCTGAACCTGCGAAAACTCCGTTTCTTGAGCTTCCAAATGTAACTTCCAGCTCTCGGCAACGTCGCTACCCCTCTGGTCGACTCTCTGCCTCCATTCCTCTGCCAATTTCTCAAGAGACGATTGATATGTGGCTCTACAGTAAAAAAACACAATTTCCCGGTTAAGATTTGTCTCGATCTTGAAAAAGAGAATGAAAGACCGCTACCCAAAATAGACAACAGAACAACATATTTCTGTAGTGGGCCTTTTCGGTATTTCAAATTAAACCGCCACTTTATTTACCCAACAAAAGAGATACAAATCTCTTCAACAAGAAGAGGAAATCACTGTGGTATTTTTAGGGTCAATTTCGATGCATTTTCTGATATTCCTAGGCATTTTCAGAGGAGTTTTTGAACATTTAGCTGTATTTTAGGGGAATTTATTGTCAAATTGGTCAAAAGGGATTTTAGTCTAAATTGTAAACGCCGCGCCGGCGCCGTACGATACACTGCGCATGCGAAAAAAACCTCATTTATGACCCTTCCCCTCACCGATTTTGAAATGCGAACTCAGTTCAGTCACTGTCATCACCGGTATGACGTCACGCGTCGATTCTATCACAGAAACGCCAATTTAACATAAAAACGTATGTTTGCGACCAGTGATTGGCGCATGCTATGTGTTAGACAAGGAAAGGTTAACCCGGTTCGTACCTGTTCTGTCATTATTCGGAAAATGTCATCAACTTGTATTTCCGTATTTTGCTTGAGCTATATTATGAGTTTGTGCCACTGCATCGTCAAGATCTTCTTGAGGTGCCAGAGCTATAAGCTACCGAATGCAAAAAGAACGAACTAAATACCTTGAAAACTGTAGTAGTCAAGGCCTCGCACGGACGGACAGACGGACCGAGAAAGTGGCTGCAATAGCGCACCCAACTTCGTTGGAAAATGAACTAAAAACACGGCCAAGCGTGTTGTTCCGGAACTATTTATTTCTTTTAGGAGTTTGAAACAGAAGATAGAAGTGCCCGCTTTAATTTCTAGAGTCGTCTTGGCTGCCGTATATAATTAATCAGTTTTATAAATGTTCCCGTACAAATATGTAAATTATATTTTTCTATTTCGGTGTTACAATGAGAATTTTGTGCAATTGTTTTCGGCAAAAACAGTGTTTCAATGAGTTCCATTGTAACATTGTTTTTGGTAACTTTTCATCTCTAAGTTGGCAGTTCGCCAAGACGTCAACGTCAAATCATCAGATGTGAAATCAAATTACGTAAAATTTATGTGTTTTCCCTGATCTTTGGTACACGAAGAACTTAATACATTCCAAATCAGCAGTTTACACATCCACCATAAATAAATTTATCTACGAGTAAAAAATTACACATTCACGGAATTTAAAGTTTCCAAATGTCAGTGTTGTGTTTATCTACGCTGCCAACTTAAAATTTGTCAACGTAAATGGTGTTGCCAACTTAAGACATATTAATTCTAAAGTTTCCTGTAGTTTTTGATAATTACTTTTTAATTAAATTAAAGCCCCGAAATAGAAAAAATAGTGTGAAAAACACGGGTTACAATGCTTTATTGTAATACTCCTATCTTGTGGACACTCGTGGCTCCGCTTCGCTGCGCCACTCGAGCCACAAGATAGTCACAGTAGCAGCCAACAGCCCTCGGCATGGGGAATAGGAGAATTTCAGCCCAACAGACTTTAGTTTCCCAATGTTAAGCGAACACGAGCGGCCGACTTTGGCCAGAAGCAAGGCTTTAATCTTCTGGTGGCGCTCGAGTCTGTACCGCCGACACCACATCCAGCTTGCTTTATTTATTATTTCTCTTAATTAACTTTTAATTTTGATTCCGCTAATTATATTGTTAATTTTCATGCCATTTGTGCGCGGACTTCCTACCTCAAAATACAACTTTTAAAATAATTGCTTTCAAACTGAGGGTTTATTGAAAGTTACCACCTTGAACCAACAAAAATCAAAGCATGATTTGAAAATGCAATTTTTAAGTACATAAATCGGTACATACCTCTCCAAATCCGCTTCATCTAATCGCCTCGATTTCTCCGCGAGCTCCTCCCCTTGCAATCTCACTTGTTCGAAAAGCGTCCCCTTCTCGTCGGTCAGCCGCTGTACCTGCCGCGACACCTCCTCCAGTCCCGCCTTTCTGCCTTCACTGTCCGCACAAAGCGCCTTTAGCTCACTTAATTCCGCGTCCCTTTCTTCTACTCGCCTCGCCAATTCACTCTTCTCTTCCGTTATGGATCTCACAGTTTCCTCGACCTCCTCCAACCGCAGAATTTTCGACTGCAATTCCTTGTCGAGACCGTCCACTTGATCGCCCAATTCCAAAATTCTTCGCCTTGCCTCCTCCAGTTCTGTCTGCGCGGTGGCTTGATTTTCGTGACCTTGCCGCTCCTTATTTTCGAGTGTTAAACGGATTTGCGACAGTTGCACGTCGAGATCGGCCTTCTCCTTGCTTAACCGTTCGTGATCGATCTCCAATTCGGCCTTCACTTTTATTAAACTGTTTAGCTCCTCTTGCATGCTTTTCTTGTCCTCTAAACTTGACAGCAACTGATCGTTAAGCGACCTGCACTCCGCTACGACCTTCAGGTATTCGTCTTCGGTTTTCATATTAGCCGGATCGGGTTCGACTGCTTTAGTTTTCTCGGCATTAAGCCGCAGCAGCCTCTGCTCCTCGAGCATTGTTTGCAACTCCTCATTATCGAGAGTTAACTCTTTAATCGTCTCGTTTAGCTCCTCAATCTTTGCCGCGTACGAATCGACGGACGTCGAGGCGGGCTCCGCTTTCGCATGCGCGGGTGAGTCAAAGCCTTCGTTACCCCACTCGAATTGCTCCAGTTTCGCGGTCAACTCGTTGTTGCGCCTTTGCAGCATCATAAAGTCGACGTTTTGTTTTTCCTTCAGCTCGTTCATACGTTCGTTGCTTGCTTGAAGGGTACCCACCTTCTGTAGCAGACCGCTCTTTTCCGTCTTTTCCTTTTGTAGCTCCGCGCTGGTCTCTTTAACGCGCTTTTCTAGGTGAACGATTTGAGATTGAAGTTCATCTTGTAGCGCGTCATCGAGCCCTACAAAATCTAACCTTTTAATGTCAGATGTTAATTTGTCGTTTGCCGATTTGTACTCCTTCAGTTTTTTAATCAGCTTGCCAGATTTAATTTGTAATTGTTTAATTTCTTCGAGGTGCCGATCACGTTCCATTTCTAAAGCGCGCACTTTCTCATCTAATTCTTCGATGTGCAGATTAAGATTTTGGTTGAAGGTGCCAGGGGTGGTTTGCTGTTGGTAAACCTCCTCCAATTTGGCTTCCTCTGGTCCACAACCCCACCCATCGTCGTTATCATCAAACGTGTCTAAGTGAAGAGAGCTGGCAAAGTCGGCACTTTCTTCATGAGGCGAATCGGAAGGAAAGCATAAGTAGGCGGTGGTCTGTGGAATCACGTCTTCAGTTACGGGTATTTTTGAATCGGGTGTGTCAATGCACGGTTTAGTTGGCTGAAATTCCACCTGCCGCAGCTGTCTTAGATCAGCTTCAGTTATGGCTACATTCTCAGACGGAATTATCTGCTCATTTAAGTCGTCTTCGGCTTCTACCTTCCTACATTTGTGGCACACAACAGGTCTGTTATTTTCAGCAGCTTGCCTCTCGTAAATCAAACTGGCAATTTCAGTAGTTAACTGTCGACATTGAACCGAAAGGTCTTCCTTTTCCTTTTCTGTATTGTACAACAAGAACTCCAAGGATTTTATTTTCAATGTTAAATCGTCGGTTGTATCGTTAGATTTGTTTTCGGATTCTACTGGCGCTTGAAATAGATCTTGCGCAACGGGTTCCACCACCACCGCCTCCTTTTTTACGAAGTCAAAGCGATCATCGGTGGTAGAATCGGACCAAGTAAACGTAGAGATCGGTTCGGGTTCTTTAGTTTTGGGTTCTAAAAATCATGAAATGTCAAATCACTCAAAAATCTCACGCAATTTTATTACGAAGTTATTTGAAGAACTCTGTATGCAGCAGGGTTAGTTTTAACAAAGTGAATTAAATGCCAAGTCCTTACCGCTCTTTTGACTAAGATTAGTAATAGGGTGCTTGGTCACTTTTGGCCAATAGAATTAGGATAATAATAATAATAATCATCTCGTCCGCCATTTTGGAGCCCAATGACAATCTGCCAGACACACATTAGCAAGGAAGTGATTGTATGCAAATGCATGTTTTAAATTAATAATATGCACACATGTGCTTTTGGATCTGGGCTGATCAACTTGAATAGAGTTCAAATAACCCAATTAATATTTGCATATTTTGCATATTTCAGTGCCCTTGTGCATAAAATATTATCAAGAGCATATTCAACCATTTTTGATCCCTGTGTAGTTATTTCTAAAGAATTTTTGTCTCTGACCTATTATAAAATTATTGCAAAGCAAGGAACTTTTGCGCTTTCCTGTTCATAAGTCGACGCCACGGGTTTTGTGCATCTTAGTGAGTCATAAATTCCGACGATTGCATAAAAAGCTTGCAGTTTTTACGTCTGCATTTGTAGTCGCTGCCGTAATTATTAGTTTTTCTTTGGAGTTTTACGAAGCAGTACCTACTTAGTAGCATTTTCCTTCTCGTTGTTATCAAAGGGTAGTGTAAGTTGAAATTAATTAGTTTTTAGTTATATTTTGTGCATTTTTTTTTTGAAAATTATACTATGAAGTTGTTGCAACCTGTTGTTTTAAATACAAAATTTGTGGAAAAATTGTGCATTTTTAAAAGAACATGATGCATATTTGGTGCATAATTATCACTATTTTTGTGCATATATATGCGCATATTTCTACATGTTGAAGTGCATATTATTCCTTGCCTTACACATTAGTGTTGGGCGTTGTCGTGGTTGTGGGGCTTAAGTGGTTCACTCATCAAGGGGCGTTGTAAACTCAGGCTCAGATTAGCGTATAACGGTCCCAACGATAATCAGACCAGCACTGGAGGACCTACTTGGAAACAGGTGCTTAGCTTCGACAATAAAATCCTCCCTATGTTATGTAATCCGCCATGGTTTGTCAGGACCGCTCAAATCAGAAGAGATCACAAGAAATAATTCAACATTCTGAACTTCCTTCGATAGCATAAGGTAAGCAAGTTAGGAATACTTTAGGCCAACCTTCTAAGTGTACAAATAACGAAGTTATGGTCAAAAAACTAAAAAATTTTATTTTCAAAAATGCGAAGGCGTTTATTTATTTTCAAAGATACCAAAAAATAATTTTAACAAACTCATTCTGATTTTTCTCAGCTTTCTAATGGCGTTGAAATAACATTTTTATGGCTTGTGGGTTTCGAGCAAATCACATCAACTTTCTTATGGACGCCATATTGGATTTTTATGTCGTTTGATAGAGAAAAAATTACAAAATCAGGGATACTACTCATTTAGTATTTCATTTGGGAATCAACCTTGCATTTTTGCCTTAAGTGACGGTGGTGCTCTCGATGGTGACTATGCGAGACAATAAACGAATGAAATTGGTTTCAATCATAATCAGCCATGGAATTATTCCCATAAAAAATACATGTAAACTTCGAGGTAAAAATGCAAAGTTGATTCCCAAATGAAATACTAAGTACACTGGTGTTGTAATTTTTTTCTCTATCGAATGACATAAAAATCCAATATGGTATAAGAAAGTTGATGTGACTTGCTCGAAACTCACAAATATTCAAAACATTTCTTTAGCACAATATTTCTTTTTTGGGATAATTTTCAATTGTGTTTATAGAGCGTTAATTCGCATAAGGAAGCCCTACTTTAAGGTCTGCAAGTACCAATTCAAGGTACTTTTCCACCATCAAAGAGCCAATTATACATCTGTAATTACAACGAATCCAGTGTATATGAATGCGGGATTTTGATTTTTTTTTAGTAAGTAGAGAGAACACTGTCCAGGAAAAGTTTTGTTTAAAGATTTCCGTTCTATTGAGCTAGCTGAAAAAAAATGACCAAGGGTTTGTTACAACCATTTTTTGATATCTTTGAAAATGAATAAAGGCAGGCGCATTTTCGAAAATTACATTTTTGGTTTTTTTTTACCATAACTTCGTTATTTGTGCAGTAAGAAGAAACTCTGAAAGGGAAACTTAATCTACATAAAATTCTAAAATTCTTTGCCCATTTAACCGACTTTGTATCTCTTTTGGTTTACGAGAGCCCCATTGGAAAAACTTCACCTCGTATATATTCTTCTATTAGCCCTAGCGTCTGGGTAGACGTCCCCTAGTTCGGCTCTGTGGTAGGTGAAGAGCTAGAGGGGCGAATTTCCACTTTTCTGACATGGAGGCTGATCAAATTACTAAACCAAAGGGAGCATCCCAGGATATCTCTCAACCTATGTTACAGGTCACCAGCCTCAACCCACCAGACCACGCAAACCCATCTCCGGCATTGAACAGAGGAGGAGAAAGAAGGCCAGGCTGGCCCAAATGGATCAAACTGCTCACCTCCAAACCATCCACCTTCTGTGACCCAATCCAACTCAAAGGCTAACTCCTGTCAGGCGGGCAAACGGATAAGCGGCGGGAAAAAGAGCCAGAGGTCGGATGACTTCACACCGACCCAACCGCCGACGAAAAAGAGCAGACCACAGCTCCAACCAAAGGCGGGTATCAGAAGGTTAAAGCGCCGGAAGTGCAGAATTCCTGGGGAAAGATAGGCAGCCGGTGTCTCTTCCACACTCCTGTGAAGAATCAACCTCGAGAGAGGCTTCAGAGAAAGGCATGGAAGAGTGTTTGCAGCTCTATAGAATCCACTTCCTCTGCATCCCGACTAAATAATATTCTGACAAAAGGTTCATATTATAACCCAGCTAGCCTTGGACGAGAGGAAGGTTCCTACACTGACAACCTCTCAAAAGACAGCCGAGGTACTGAGAAACGCCCACTTTCCCGGAGCCACCACAGCGCCGCCCAGTCAAAAATAAAGGCAAAATAAAATAAATAAAATGACCTCTAGGTTGGTTTCCGAATGTCACCATGCACTAGAGCAAGTAGCAATACCCTTGAGGTCGTATGGGTCAAAGGGCATACTCTGGAACCTTCCAGGTAATGAGAAAGCCGATGAGCAAGCCCCACTGGCCTCAAAATAGGTGTTTTATGGTCCAGAGCCGACTCTTCCACTTACCTACCCTGTCCACCCTCCACACCCTTCACAATCCAGAATCTTTAAATAGTAAGACAATGCATGCAGGACATGGAACGAGTTACGCTCCAAAATGGCGGACGAGTCAGCTGTCCTATACAGTGTGTCCCAGGTAGAACGGCAACGTATTTTTTTGCAAAGGATCCACGAGGCCTCTGACATTAGCGTTCAACGTACTACTCCAATCTCTTTCTAGCAACAGGCAAGAGCAATAACGTACGTTGAACGCTAACTTCAGATACATATCAAAGCCCTCGCGGATCCTTCACGAAATAGTTATTTACATACAAGTCCGGAAAATGACACATTACTGGCGAGGAAATATTGAAGTACGAGGTCCCTTTGGGGCTGAGTACTTTCATTTCCGAGTCAGGTAATGTCATTTTACTGACGAGTTTTGTATTAAATTTTACCTGAAATCGTATTTTAATAAAACATTCCAATATTCATATAGAACTTTTTATTAATGTCAATTTGTCAGTGATGACAGAAGTCATTATAGACATTTAGCAATGTGACAGGTGGCCGGTAAAGTGACAAGCGGCAGGAAACAGTCTGCTCTGCCTCTGTCATGGAAACTAAAATTTCCTGGCAGAAAGTAGGCATGAAAATGAAAGTGTCAGGACGATTTTGGGTAAAAATACATTATATCTGATTGCCTATAGTGGCACACACTGTATAAAGTAGCTATAGGAATTACGTTGTCAAAAGGACATAATTTTAGGATCACAAAAATTACCTATTTTCGTTAAATTTTAGACATCTTTGATAATAGGGCAATGTATACTGCATTCATTATAATAAGATAGTAGATGGCGCTGCGTTTTAAGATAGGCACACACAAGAAAAATATAAAACAGCACCAAACTATTGTAAAGTGGAAATATCCGCTACTGTGACCAGAAATAAATCGTTTTCACGCTTGGATTTTGACATTAACAGCTAATGACAGTTTGACAGTTTGGTTTGGCAACAGAAACTATGAGCTTACAAAATTCGCCACTGGTTTTATTTTTCAGTGTAATACTGACTCACGTTTTAACCATTCCCAGTGAAGGTCAAAGCTTCCCTATGCTTTCTACCGCTACCTTCTTAAAATGAACAGAATATAAATTATATCATTTACAGGAACCTGAAGCTAAGAAGGCGAGAGATGCCGCATCCCCACTATTTTGCTCATCTGCGCATAGCCCGCTTTCGTCTTCTTAGCTGCTGGTTCCTGTACACATTTTGATGTTGCAATGTATGCTACAAGTTACAGTATACAGTGTGTCCCAGATCGGGTGGGATTGCATGGGTAACTTTGTTATTATTAAGGATAGAGAATTGCTTAAATGGGCAATGTTTTGCAGTTTTTGATGCTTATTTAAAATTTCCTTATGGAAATTCAAAGTATCGCATAGGTTCGACGAAAATTAAAAAAAACTAAAATTGGTCATTTCTTTGAATGTCTTATATCATCGAAAGTATAAGAGATATAAAAAAAAGTTTTATATAAAAGTTACTGTCTTTGATACGTTTAATTTAGAATTGATGTCAAAAAAAATTCAAGATGGCTACTTTTGAGGAACATTTACCAACTTCCTAAAGTTAAATAGGCGCCATATGGGATTTTTAGATTACTTGATAGATTTTTTAATTCTCTTTTCAACGAGCCATCATAACATAAGATCGAGCATAAGATTGAAAATAAGATACCAGTTATATCAACGGTTTTTGTATTTTAATTAAGTAGGCTGTGATGAATTAAAAAAAACAAAACAAAATCTATTCTCTTCCTCGTCCCGGAAACGTGCATTTTTCGTACTTATGAAACAAATAACTATTAGTTTTTTTGAATTTATGTCGAACCTATGCGACATTTTGAATTTCCATATGGAAATTTTAAATAAGCATCCAAAACTGCAAAACATTGTCCATTTAAACAATTCTCTATTTTTAATAATAACAAAGTTACCCATGCAATCCCACCCGATTTGGGACACACTGTATATTAGAATGTGAGTATACTTCTATTTTAGTGGTAAATTATCATAATAAATGAAAACAATGCTTTAATTTGATCTTTCTTTCCAGTTCCATGCTAAAACACTCTAACCCAGTGGTTCCCAAGCTTATCTTTCAATGGCGCTCACTTTCTGAAAACTAAAATTATTCACGCCCCCCCCTCTCTCGATTAAAAAAGAAAAACTGCTTTTACTACAAAAAAGTATTTATTTCTTCTTTCTAAGTGTCTTGTAGGTCTTCAAATAGCGAAGTTATGGCAAAAAACCGAAAAATGACAGACACATCAGGGATCTCGCCCCCCCCCCTTGTTTGGGAACCACTGCCTAACCGCAAAGGTCAACTAGGCAATAGAAAACAACACGTTCTACTATTTTCGAATTGCGTAGCGTCCTCAAAAACGGAATAATTTGAGACAACTTACCTTCACGTTTCTGCTCCAACCCTTGAATTCGATCAGTCAAACTCGAATTCTGCTGTGCAAGATCGGAATTAATTTCCATGTGCTGTTGCAGTTGACTTCTCAGCTCGTTCATTTCACGCGTCAACTTGTGCACCTCCTCGTCCCTCAACCTAACTAAATCCGCAAACTCCACATTTTTACTTTTCAACTCTCGATACTCCGCATCGAGATCTTCCATAACCGCCAGGTTCTTCCTATGTTCTTCGCTAAGTTTCTCAAACGCCTTTATCTGTTCCTCAAAATCGCTCTGCTGCTGATCCAGCTTTTGCTTGTAATTCTTAATGTCTTCAACGTATAACGATTGCTTCTCGACGTACTCCCTCAGCTCGTCTTCTTTTTGCTCGCATTGCGTGATCAATCTCTTACGTTCCAGCGCGATTTGCTCAACTTGATTCTGCTGTTCCAATTCTAACGTCTCTATGTCGGCCGCCTTCTCGCCAAGTTTCCGTTCGTAATTCTCGTGTAGATGTTTGTTTTCGTTTTCGAGTCGCCCAATAACCTCGTTAAGGTGCGAAAGCTCACCCTGTAAACTTGCCAAGGTCTCTTGATCCGACGAGGATTGAAGGTTCTTCTCGGTCGCCGCGCTGAGATGATGCTTAAGTTCGTCATTTTCTTCCATTAAACGTTGATTCTGTTCCGTCAACTCCTGGTTTTCGACAACCGCGGTGTGCAGTCGTCGCTGCACCTGCTCATCGTGGGCGGTTAGCGCCTCAAGTCGTCGCTCCAGCACGTCTTCGGCTTGCGAAATTTCCTCGTAACTGTTGGACTTCTCCAGCAACTGGGCATTTAACTCGACAGTTTGCTTCTCGAGCGAGAGCCGGCGCTCTTCGATCGTCGATATGAACTCCTCCAGTTTATTTATTTTCTCCTTAAACTTGGAGATTTCCGTCTCCTGATTCTCGACCACCATGTCCATTTCGGTTATCTTCGCCTGAAGGGCGTTCGTGTTCGTCTCGGCCTGGTACTGCGTGCTCTCCAGCAGGCGATTTAGATTTTCAATGATCTGGTTCTTTTCGTTGATTTCGATGTTGAAAAAGTTGCTCTCGTTCGAATGTTGCATTTCGGTTTCTGTTCTCAACGCGTTCAGCTGCGACTCGAAGTCTCGATTCGCGTGCTGCAATTCCTCGAAGTTCTGCTTCAAGGTCGTTATTTCGCGACTGCGCTCGTCCAGTTCGTTCGATTTTTGCGTTAGTAAAGTTTCGATGGCGGCCATTTTTTCCTCCAGATTTTGTAGCTGCTGCATCTGCGATTTAATCTCGTCCTCGTGGTTGTCAATACTCTCTTGCAAAAACTGTTTCTCTTTCTCTCGCGTTTCGAGTGTTTGGGTCAGATCCTTGCATTTCAGTTCTAATTCGGAGTAGGCGGTAGTTTTCTTTTTTAAATTTGCCGCTATTTTTTTCATTTTCTCAAGTTGTTCCTTGTTCTTTGTTTCTAAGGCTTCTATTTTTGATAATCTGCAACAGAAGAAGTGCAAGGATATAGATGGATAACGGCTAAAAAGCCTAAAAAAACAGTCTACATATATTCCATACACTGTGAGACTATTGATCTATTTTATTAAATTGTTTATATTGTGGGGGCTTAAATTTAAACAAGTAAAAAGGTTTTCGCCCTAAGGCGAGTAACTACAGCGCATTTTCCATGAATTGATCAGTACCTCCCTTAAAGCCATACTAGAGGCATAAATGGTTAAAATTTCAAAGGAATATCTCCATAAATAAATAGGTTGCGCAGTTCGCGCATGAGCACATTTAATTTATACTATAGGCATGCGATGTTTGTATTTACTAGAAGCATCTATGGTCAAAATTTCAAAGAAATATCTGCATAAATAAGGAAGTCGGCACTGACTGCGCATGCGCACATCTAATGTTTGTAATATCCAATATGTTTGCCTTTAACAGAAGCATCTGTGAGTAAAATTTCAAAAAGATATCTCGATAAATAAGAAAGTTGACATTGCGCATGCGCAGTTTAATCGGCAAAATTTTCCTTGGCTCAGGCGCCAGAGCTATACACTACTGAATGCAAAAAGAACAAACTTAATATCCTGAAAACCAAGAAGCTATGAGAGTATCATCGCCTAGGCAACCTGTGGTCAGTGCTTGCTCCAGCATTAGCAACTCACCCGGGCCGATTTCGAACTGGGATGAGTTTACGAATACTGAGGCGCTGCTCGTATCTAAATTCTAATTTAACACCATTCATGATGAAGGTAGTAAGATAAGCTTTTTGATCACATGACCTATGATGCTATTTAAAAAAAAATTCAAGATGGCGGTCGCATTCGAACACTGTATAAACAAAAATTCCTTTTAACGTTGTTGTATATGTTCAAACCGCCCATGCGAAATAATGTATTCTATGTTCCACAGCAAAAGTGAATCATTGAAAGTTCATGAAATTTGGTATAATTGTTAAAGGCGATGTATATGATGTTTAGATAATTTAAAAAAAAATAGAAAGTTTACCCAAAAAGTGACTTTGAAATTTATGAAATCGTAAATAATAAATAGGTGTAAAACAACAATTGAAAATAGCGATTTTCACACATAATAACAAAGAATTGCACGAGATATACTATTTTTAGCAATAATTCTCAATAAAATTCATATTATGATTATTCCAATAAATAAACAGCCAAAATAGACGTGAATTTTGAACAGTAAATACCTATCATAACCATATGCCCACTATATATTAAATATATAGTATATATATCTAGGTAAAAAACGACTGTATACAACATTTTTTCTATATAAAAGTTGATATATATATATATAATTTCCCATAATAAGGCAGTATTCAATTGTTTTTATTTCAGAAAACAAATGAATAACAAAAAACAATTGAATTTTTTTAATATAGCAATGTACCCTATTATTAGGCTGACTTGATAGATATTTTTTCTCTTTTTAATGCCACTATCAAGTCCAAGGCCAATTAACATTACCCAAAAATTGTTTTTGGATTTTGTTCTTTATGCCGAAAACCATTTTAATGTTTAAAAAATTTATAAAGAAAATGCCAAAATGTAATGATTCTTAAATTAATTGAATTTTATAAAAAAACATTTTTTGATATTGTAACCCACTACATTTTCAATTGATTTAATTTAAATATTATATAAAATATTTCGAACATTTAAAAAAGGTTTAAAAATTTAAGAGAGAAAGAAAATTTCGTCTAAAGGGATTGTAGAAGGAAAAGTGCCCATAACACTAGCAGCATTGCCGCGCTGAATGGCCAGACTAAGTTTTTGAATTATTATATTAACTTTCTCATTTATACTTTAATTTATCAAGTCATAAACATGAAAACACAACATTATAATTATTAACGCATTCATCGAATTAATTTATTTACGTTATCAGTAGGTTCGAATAAGTTAAATAATTCAAGATCGAATGTTATATTTGTCAATACTTCATAATAAAAGAAGATTTTTATTTAAAAAACGGGTTTGTGAGCATACTCTGTAAAATTGAAAAAATTTACATCATTAATTGCATTCAGGTAGGTAAACTTGTTTCATTGCTTACTAATTATTCAGAATCTTTCTCTGTCTAAGATGGAGTTTATTCGCTTTGGTTAGATCTGCTATAATATCGCCATCTAGCGGAATGCAGTTGTCCCTACTAACAACTAACAACTTTAACCTCAAAATATGTGAAATAAGGCCGGCATAGCACTGGCGCAGTATTATTACCTTACCAAAAAATACCTATGACTATGTAGCACACTACGGCACTATACAGGGTGTCAATTTTAAAACTTGCAGTCGGCAATATTTTCTAAACTAAAGAAGATATTGAAAATCGCGAAAAACCGTTTCGGGGGTATCGAGGGGGAACCCCCTTAACGCCCCCCTCTTAAAAAATCCTAAATGGCAACCCCATACTTGTGACACATCGTTGGAAAGCTACTGAAAAATGCTTTTCAGTGGTACCAATAAAGTCAATATTCATTACAATTTAAAAAAATTTTTATAATTACCAAAAAAAAAATAAAAATTAAGCCATGCCTATGTTCAAGATTTGATCGCTAAAGTCGAAGAAACGGGATCTGTTATCAATAAAAAAGAAAGCAACCAATTTTGCTTAATGAAGCAGCACAGGTTGAAGTTCTTGGCCCATTTGCCATAAATCCCTCAATGTCAACATTTAGGTTTTTTTTGTTAATTATTAAATTTTTGTTAAATTGTCTTTAATCAATATTGACTTTATTGGTACCACTGGAAAGCATTTTTCAGTAGCTTTCCAACGATGTGTCACAAGCATGGGGTTGCCATTTAGGATTTTTGAAGAGGGGGGCTGGGGGGGTTGTCACTCATAACGTCATTCTGGTTCCCCCTCGATACCCCCGAAACGGTTTTGTGGGATTTTCAATATCTTCTTTAGTTTGGAAAATATGGCCGACTGCAAGTTTTAAAATTGACACCCTGTATAAAGGTTGTTTGACATTGTATTCATAATACCTCAACATCGAAAACCTAAGAGCACAATACTTGGGAAACAAGTTTCTCTTCCTTAATAAAGTAGGTAGAAACTAATTAAAGCAAAAAGCAATACTTACGGATCCTTTATGTTACTCAACGACCCAGCATTCTGCTCAATTTGACTCTGCAGCGTAAGATACTTGGCGTTTAACGACTCGCAAACCTCCCTAAACCGTTCCTCCTTCTGCCTCAACTGATCTTGCAAATTCACGATCATCACCTCCTTGTTATCCCTCTCCTTATTCAGTTTGCTTATTTCGTCATCCTTACACGCCAACTCGTGCTCCATATCCAGCAGTCTCTCGCCCAACTCCTTCAGCTGAGTGTTCAGCTTGCCGATCGTAACGGAATTCTGCTGCAGCTCCCGCTCGTAAACCTCGATCTGATTGATGTTCTCGTTGAGGAGCGCCTTGAGCTCCTGAAGCTGTCCGGACATCGCCTCGATCGTGTCGACGTACTCGTTATTCTTTCGATTCTCCGAGTCCAAGTGGGAGAGCGCACTGTTTAATTCCGCGATCACGGAATTTAAATGTGACACCTCGTTCTGATAATGACCAATTTCGGACTGCTTTTCCTGCACTTTCTCTTGCAAATCGGCGATGACGTTCGAGCTCGAAATGAGCTCCTCTCGATTTTCTTCGATTATCGCTTTGTAGTTCTCTAGTTCGTCAAGGTTTTCGCGTAGTTTCGCGTCGTATTCGGCGATTCGACTGCGAACCGTCGTCAGTTCCGTTTCCATTACATGCTTCTCTTGGACCACTTCCGAAGTCTCCTTGATTGTTTTGCTTAGGTTGTCGTTTTCGGATTTGAGAGCCGCGTATTGCTCTTCTAAAGTTGTTATTTTTTCGTGCAGCTCCCTATTCGCCACCGGTAAGTCTTTGTACGACAGCAGTTCTGCTTTCAACTCCTTTATCTCACTCTTTTGCAGCTCTACCAGGCTTCTGGACTCGTCGATTTGTTTCTGTAATTCGGCGTCCTTCGTGTCATCTAATGGCATTACGGTTTCGAATGACATCACTTGTTCGTTCTCGCTTCCACTTTTGATTTCATGCTTGAGCATTTCGTTCTCCTTTTTCAGTTGGGCAATTTCGTTATTTAATTCCTGTTCTAAAAGCTTCAGGGTATTTCTCTCCTGCTCGACGCTCTCCTTCTCATTTTGTAATTGCTCGTAGGTCTCAGACAGAATATCTCGGTTGTTCTCAATTTCTTGCACTTTCATATTTAACTGGCTGTTTTCGGTGGCTAGCGTTTCCATCTTTTCCATAACCTCCTTTCTCTCCTCAGTAAACAGCTCAATTTTCCTAAGCAAGTCGCAAGTCTCCTCCGTAAGTTGATTAACACTCTCATTCAGCTCAGGATTCGGATCTAAGGTTTCGATAGCGCCGCCCGAATTTAACTCCAAACTTTGCTGGTAGGCCTCCAACTCTAACTTCTCCTGCTGCGTGAGATTTTCAACCATTTCGATACTTTCGGCCGACGACACCTTCTCGGCGCTCAACTTTTCCAACTTGTCAATGAGGTCCATATTCTCCTGCATGTAGCTATCCAATTTGCTCGCGATCTCCTGCTTCTCCGTCGCCAGGTTCTCCAATTTCTCCAAAAGCGACTCCTTTTCCAACATGATTAGGTCGTTCTTTTCGATCAGAGCCTTCTTTTCCAATTCTAAATTATCGAGCTGTTCTTCGAAGTGTATCGAGGTCATTTCGGTGGCCACTTGGTCGTTTTCGATTTGGGAGAGTTTGTTAAATCGCTCGCTGAGCGATAGCAACTCCGTTTTGTACGATTTTAGTTCTGAAATGAATAGGTTTGTTAGTCGAAAGAAGTTTGCAACACGCAAAGGTGATTGATATAGGTCTATACCTTTTGCTCTGTGTGATGCATAAGAAAGAAAATTTGACAATTTTAAGGTGTGAGAATAAGGGGTCTACTTACGTGATTCCTTGTTATCGAGTAACTCAGATTGCTCGAACAGCTGTGCCTCCAATTCCTTAATACGTTCCGTATTTGACGAATCTATAATAAATATAAATCTAAAATCAGTTTTGATTTGAAAAATAAAATATCGACAGGATTTATGATCATATAAATTAAATGAAGATCTAATAATAAAAATGCGATTGCAAAAATTTAAAAAGGTATGAGCAACAAAATTTTGATAGAGTGCGTCTAATATTCATTCATTGACAGCTCTCGTTAAGACGTTGTTACCCATCAGTGAGTTCATTGTGTAATTAAAAACAGTTATAGATAAAATAATGGCCGTGTAATACACTGATTAGTGCAATTGGCTGGTCATTTTTTGTAATATAAACCTAGCATAACTTTTGAAGGCTGCGGCGCTCAAAAATCTTTTTCAAAAATCCGGTCCGTTATTACCCCCCGCACGTTAGTATGGGAAGTATTGCATTGGGGTAAAAAAATTTAGTTTTTTGACGGAAATACACCAGGAAATGTACCAGGAATTCGAATCAAATAAAATCTCGATGACGTAGGTCTGTCGATCTATCTGTACTCTCATTTCCGGTTAAACCGATCGGAACTAAATTTGGCGCACACATTCTTAGACATAAAAGGGCAGAATCGCGCACGCACAGGGGTATCTGTGCGAGCCACAGTAAATTTTTGTCGTTTCCGTATGCCTAATACAGGGTGGGCCATTAGTGTGTGGGTGAAAGATTGTGGGTTTATTAACGCACATAGTTAAAATTCATTGACGGGGCATGTTGGGGGACCCTTAAGGCTACAACCTAAAAATATTTGCACAAAAATTGCAATTGTTATACAGGGTGATTTATATCAAAGTCGCATTTTTTTAAACGGAACCCCCTATACAGGGTCCTTCTTGACGAGCGTCAGTTAGAAACATATGGAAAACCTATTTTTTTTACATTTTCGGATTCTACGTCGGAATTTGGAGTACAACGCTACCCCCATAGTATGACCCTTTGTCCTACCGGCGCTTCGTCGATCATTCAGTTTCTATTTGTCAAAATTTGTCAAGGGGTCACTTTAAAAATTTTATTATTCGAAACCCGGTGGGAGATATTTGCAAAACCGGTTTGATGCTCTTATTAAGCGAAAGCAAATTACTACAAAATTGTAGGAATAACGGTATGTTTCAAGCAAAAAAGGAAGCCTTTGGTAGACCACCGTAAAGGCAATGTACTTTTTTAAACAAATATGGGTGCCATTTATACTTTTTGAGAATTCTTTGTGCACTCGTGTCTGATATGTCAATTTCTCTTCGGATATCATTAAGCGATGCAGTTGGATTTGTAGCAAAATACGCCAGTACAGCTGTTCTTGGTGCTTCAGAGTCTACCACAGGCTTCCTTTTTTGTATTTTTGTTTGAAACATACCGTTATTCCTGCAAATTTGACGTTTAAACATTATCATAATAAAAACAAAAGAATAACATCAAGGGAATTAATTTTTTTATCAATTTGCTACAAGAAGTAACTAAAACATGGAATATCTCGGAAACCGTTTGAAGCAGCTTTTCACATTTTGTATCAAATTAAAGGTCTGGGAAACAGGAAAACAACGGTGAAGAACAAAATGGGGGGGTGCCATTTAAAAAAATGGAGTTACCGAAATTTAAAAATTTAAAAGTTGAGAGCTTTGAAAAAGTGACGTAGTCTCACTTTTTTAGACGGTTTCGTATACCATAAGAAAATTCGATCTTTCCTTAATAAAGCATTGAAAACTGTTTTTTAATATCTCTCACCGTTTTCGAATAATGAATTTTTAAAATTACCCCTGCAAATTCAATTTTTGACATAAAAACTTGAATATCGACGAAGCCCTTGGAGCAAAGGGTCAACTATGGGGTATCGTTGTACTCCAAATTCGACGTAGAATCCGAAAATGTAGAAAAAAATAGGGGGTCCCTATTTAAAATAACAAAGTTGATGGCTACTTCCGGTATTTCCGGAAGTGGCGCCATCTTGAAAATATTTTAGTTCAATTCATCATGTGCCAAAACCCTTAAAGAACTTATCAGTTTATTTTCATTTTCAAAGGTTTTCCATATCTTTCTAACTGACGCTCGTCAAGAATGACCCTGTATATTATTACATATTTCGATTTCTTGGGCAATTTTAGTGTGACTCTAACACATGATATCTAAAATGAGTCGTTTAGCCGCAAATCGTCGCTTTTTCAAAAAGTAGATGTCCAGTAAAAATTGAATATCGCAATTATCATTAATCTGAGAAGGCCGTGACTCGGCAGCATTACTAGTCATGAAATGTACGAACATACACCGAACGGCTAAAGTTAAACTTATTTTGTGTTAAAAGAAATCACAACGTCAATTTTTCAAAATTTCAACTAAAGATAACTTGATTTTTTTCAAATGGAACTACCAAGATTTTTTTATTGCATGAAATGTAGGAATTTATTACCTTTCTAACGATATAAGCATGTCGGTATGTATCTCTTGCCTATTTTTTGTAATTCAACAATTTCTAATAATTCAGTGTTTTTTGATTTTCAAAGCCTCTCAGTAATCAGTAGGCCGTTAAAAGTTATAAACAATTGAAATTATAAAAAACTTATTTCAAATAAAACAAAACAAAAACTTTACAAACACCAATTCTAATGATAAAACATTTACCCCCAACAAAAAAATAAAAACTCTTGTTTTTCATAGCCCATTTTAAAAAATAAAATAATGAATTTTGCTTTTAAACCAATCCATGAGCTTAAATAAATAAACGTTGTTTTTTATTATGAATTTTTAGGTTCTTCTACAAAATGTTCTGGTCTACATGCACATCGTAGAAGAAATGTGGTTTCATCACGACGGTGCCCTACCTCATTTTGCTATAAACGTTAAAGAATGGCTGAATCAATCATTTCCTAGGAGGTGGATAGGTCCATGAGGCCCTATAAATTGACCAGCGCGCTCTCCAGACCCTACACCACTTGACTTCTTCTAATGGGGATAAGTGATTGGAACTGTATGCAAACCCAAAAACAAAAGAGAATATGAAAATGCGCATTCGTAACATCCATAACGCCAGCTGCGCTTCGTCGTGTCAAAGAATGATTTTTCTAAACCCATCGACAAATATTTGGCCTTGAATGTTATTTTTCTCTTATTTTGTTCAAACGTTTTATTTAGATTTTTATCATTTTTGAGTTTTTGTTTTGTTTTATTTGAAATAAATTTTTTATAATTTCAATTGTTTTAACGGCCTACTAATTACTGAGAGGCTTTGAAAATCGAAAAACACTGTGAATTATTACAAATTGTTGAATTACAAAAATTATGTAAAAGATAAATATCGACATGCTTATATCGTTAAATCCTACATTTGATGCGATACATGGTTGTAATTTAATAAAGGATAAATTCAATAAACATGAAATAGAGGAGTGTTCTGAAATACGCTCGGACCCGTCGATTTTGCTTTTGAATTGCGCATATTTTCACATAAAAGGTGAGTGTCTCAAAAAAAGAGTGGTAGAAAAAATGTTTTTTCCTTAAATAGAAACAGTACCGGATTAACCATTAGGCAGTGTAGGCAACTGCTTAGGGCCCCGTTCATCAAATAAAAATTTTATTTAAAAATTTGAAAATAATGGAAGCCAGCCAAGAGTATGACAAGGTTTTTCTAATTCTTCTGCACTATTCTCTAAATTAACACCGTACAGGATTAAGGTAGTAAGAAAGAAAAAAAAAATAAGCTTTCTAATGACATATCACATGATCTTTGTTATCATTTAAAAAAATTCAAGATGGCGGTCGCACTCAAAAACCATTAAAAAACAAAAAAACTTTTATTTTAATTTCATGAAAATTTTGACAGTTGTGCATGAAGCATAATGGATATAAAACTGTCAAAAACGTTTTCTTTAATACCTGGTTTGAGCTAGGAAACTGTTCTGTCAAGAATTTGGCACCTGGTTTTACTTTCTGATTTTGTTTACAGAAGAAAGTAAACAAATGTGTATTGAGATACATAATTACACAGCTATTTTTGAAACGAAGTTCACCTAAAACTAGAAAATTATAAAATTAATTAACAAAACCATTTTCCTTCATTTGAGTTTTTCTCTTAAAAATTTGATTGTCATACCTATAATAAATTTCTTATGCTCCTATTTCCAATAAACATGCGCTCTTTGAGAATACGTAACGAAAAGTAGTAGTTGCCATTAAAAAATATATGCTCCCTTTCATCATGCATAAGTACGCCACTGACCGCAAATTTAAAGTACGCGGATACTAAATTGGAAGTAAATTTTTTATAATTTTGGATACCACAGATTCTTAAAAAATGTTTGCAGATATACAGGGTGGGCCATTAGTGTGTGGGTTTATTAACGCGCATACTTAAAATTCATTGTGGGGGAATGTTGAAGGACCTTTCAGGCTACAACCTAAAAATATTTTCAACGAAATTGCAATTGTTATACAGGGTGATTTATATCAAGGTTGCATTTTTTTGAATGGATCCCTCTGTATATTATTACATATTTGGATTCCTTAGTCAATTTTTTTCGATTCCCAAAACCTCTCAGAAATTAATAGGCCGTTAAAAATTATAAACAATTGAATTTATAAAAAATTTACTTCAAATAAAATAAAACAAAAACTTAACAAAAACCGAAATAAAAAGTTTAAATAAAAATAAGAGAAAAATAATTATTTCAATAAATGTTCAAGACCACGCCTCCCACGAAATTCAGCCATTCTTTAACGTTTATAGCAAAATGAAGTAGGGCACCATCGTGCTGAAACCACATTTCTTTTCCGATGTGCACCACAACATTTTGAAGAAGAACAAAAACAAGAGTACTTACAAATTTAAAGTAAAGAGCACCGTTTAAAATATGTTATTTAAATTCCATTTTTCTAACACAACAATCAACAACAGAATTGTAAATGCTAATAAAATAAACTGACAGATGTTATTTCATTTTATTTTGTGTTAATATTTTCTAATATGGCTTTCGTGGCTTACTATTCAAATTGATTTATTTATAAGTTCACGTATTGGTTTAAATGCAAATTCATTATTTTATCTTTTAAAATGAGCTACGACAAAGAGTTTTTGTTTTGTTTTGTTGGAGGTAAATGTATTATCATTTGAATTGGTGAATTATTAGAAACGTTACATTTGCAACAAAAAAACTTCGTAGTTCCATTTAAAAAAATCAAGTTACCTTTGAATGAAATGATTAGTGCTACTGCAAAGTCACGGCCTTCTAAGTTTTATGATAACTACGATATTGAATTTTTACTGGACATCTACTTTTTGAAAAAACGACGAATTGCGGCTAAACTACTCATTTTAGATATCATGTGTAATAATCAAGTCACACTAAAATTGACCAATGAATCGGAATATGTAATAATATACAGGGGGTTCCATTAAAAAAATGCAACTTTGATATAAATCACCCTGTATAACAATTGCAATTTCGATGAAAATATTTTTAGATTGTAGCCTTAAGGGTCCTTCAACATTCCCCCACAATGAATTTTAAATATGCGCGTTAATAAACCCACAATCGTCCACACACACACTAATGGCCCACCTTGTATTCAATGTTCCAGACGAAATGTTCACCCTGTATATGAATACTATCTCATTAACCTTTTTAGCAATTCTAATGTTAATCCAATTTCTACCTTTGCAGTAAGTAATCCTTATCCAAAAGATAACGCTGAAACAGACAACTACTAATTGTGACTAAGTTTACGAATCAGAATACAACAAATTGTTTTTATTTTTACTTTCTTTTTAATTAACCAGCTATAAAGATCTTTAATCATAAAAACAATTAGATATTGTCACTAATACAATCATTAAAATGGTTCCAAGACATTTCTTTTTAATCTCTACTTGATATCTAAGGGGATGTAATAGTTATTTTTGATACAAGAAGATCCATTTATTGTCGTGTATAATACAAAATTTTATCTTATAGAAGCCATTATGAAACTTTGGAAAATTCTGAATTTAAGACGTCAAAAATAGCAAGCTTACGTTCTCCCGTCGTTTCTATGGAAACAATATTGTATTCTGTTCTAAACTTCATTTTATTTCAAGTTCCGCGTCCCATTTTTAATAAGAATAACAGATGTCATTAGAATGCACAATCATTTATTTCACTTTATCTACTCTTACTGTTAAAGAGAGACTTAGCCTACTCATTCCCACCTATTAAAATGTCAATTTCATCTGCTATAGTCAAAGGTGAAGTGAGTACCTAGCAGCTCATATTGTAAAAGAAAGAACGAGAAACTTACCTGTTTCCAATTTCAAAAGCAATTCCTCCTTGCTCTTCTCCAACTCTCCAATGGCCTCCCTCAATTTAGTTATCTCATTTTGCTGCTCCACGATACCATCCTGCCCTGCAGCTCCCTTTTTAAGTTCATCAATTTTCTTATTCAACTCCTTCAACTTGCTCTTATGTTGCGCCTTAATTTTGATCATATTTTTATTACCCTCGTCAACCTGCTTCTTCAATTTGGCAACCTCCTCGGTTTCCACAGGGGCCGACTGACTAGCCGCTTGCAACTCGGCCACGGTTGCGTTCAACTCCTGAATTGTTAGCTCATGTTCCATTACCTTCGCCTTGTGCTTGTCGCAGTCGTCCTTGAGACCGTCGATAACCTTTTGCGGATCAACTTCTTTCGCCTTGCCCTTCGGACCCTTTTTACCCTTCTTGCCGCGTTGCGGGGAATCCCTCGGCGAGCCCTCCAACCGCGACAATTCCGCGTTAAGCGACTCCAACTCGGAGACGCGATTTCTCAAGGCATCCACCTCCGGTTGCAAATTGTCCGAGTGTGATGTTACCTTGATAATTTCCGTTTTCAACATCGCGTTCTCTTCATTCAGAGCGAATATTTCCGCCATCTTTGCGTTTAACTGTTCACTGAGCTCCACCGGATCTTGCAAAGCACCAGTTTCCTTGTCGACGGATGCATAGAGTACTTCCTCCAGTTTCGATCGGTAGATCTTAACATCTTCCTGGAGGGCCGAGTTACTTCGATCCAAAGTAAAATTGGCGGACTGTAACTCGGTGACCAAAGCGATTTTTTGTTCGAGACGATTTACCAATTCCGCTTTCTCGGCTTTCATTTCCATTTCTAAAGTGACAAAATTCTCTTGCATTTTACGCATCTGTTCTTTGGTATCGTCCAAAGCGTCGAGGGTATTTTTACCCTTTTTACTTAGACTTTCAGTCATTAAAGTAATTGCCTTCGTTCGGGCGTCAATCACCGAGTCTTTCTCCTTGAGGTTCTCTTGTAAGTCTAAGACGTTTCCTTCTAATTTATGTACTTTGGCATTTAGTTCCGTTATTTTCTTATCTTTAATTAAGAGTAAATTATACAATTCTTCGTGGCTAGTGTCAATACTGTAATCGGTTCGGGTGTCAGCTACAGATGGCTTTAAAGGAGTTAAACTAATGAGTTGTTGCGAATCGTCTAATTGGGCCTTTAACTGGGTCACCGTTTCTTCCATGCCTTTCTGGAATTTTCCTCGTTCAGCTAAACGCAACCTACAAGCACGACATTAATATGATCGGGGACAAGGAGACAGCCTACCTGTTTTCTTCCAACTGTTGACGTAACAACATAATTTTTTCGGACGCCGGCGTTTCCGAGGCGGTACCCTCATCGCCTTGCTCGCTTCGTTGAAGCCGATTTTTTTTAACGCGCGCACTCATTCGTGTAAGAGTGTTGGCATATTCCTCCACTTTTTCTTGGGTAACGTTCGTATTTTCGGTTTTCCGTAACATTTCCTTTAGCTGTGCTATTAAAACCTGTTGCTGCTCGAACTGATCTTTGAGGTCTATAAATTCCTGGTGGCTGGAGGCACCTGTTGAGCCCTCTTCGCCCTTGCCACCTCCGGGATCAGGCTCAGATCCCGAACCCACCCACATCGTTATTGCCTGAAAGCACAACTTTAATATTCGCTTCTTAAGGGTGTCTACACGCAAGTGTTACCCTAAATTTGTTGTAATTTTGAATAAATGGACAATCATATGTTTATATCACATACTCCACGTAAGGAGTGGTGATTAAATTCCCCCAGAAGTTGGCCACACCGATGACAGCTGACTGACTGACAGCAATTGATTAAAGCAAGATTTACACTAGCTATACGGTTTACAGGAAGAAAATAAATTGTCCCTCAATCCCTTTATACAAAGCACTACAACTGTGGCATGGAGTACGATTATTCCCTACCTTCTAGAAGCGTAACTACATAAAAGGGGCAGACTTCAAGATTAAATAACGCGTGCCTCTTATTTATTATTTTTGCCTTTATTTTGAGTAGGCGAAGTTTCAAGCAAGGCTACTCGAAAGAGGGGACGGCTCCAACGCGAGACCTTATTCAAGGGCCTAGTAGCGGGCCAGCTCCTATTCGCAAGAAGAATAGGCGATGGCCAGCACTAGCCGGCTTGAGGGTAAAACCTCAGGTCAAACGCGAGCCCTCTGCACTAAAACCACAGGGGCCAAAAGTGTCAGATCGGAAGGAAGCACTTCTGGGTCTGGCTCAGGGCACAAGCCTAGAGATTCTGGAACACCCAAACTTGCGGGTTCATCATGAATGCGGTGAGGATCCTACTTTCAAGGCGAGTCTGTGGAAGACGTTCTTCCACAAAGAGGAGCCTGGTGTCGATGAGGTATTCTAGCGGGACACTCCTGCCTGATGATCTGTAAAGGACACGTTGAGCGAATAAGCAATAAGATAAGAAGAATCGCATACAATTTTCAGTAAGGAAATTTTTTGCCATTCAGCTTGTATTAAAAAAATCAAAAATGTCCCTAAAACGCCACTACAAAAAAAATAAGAATACTGTACGGTGCACTTGTATCGTGGCCTATCATGCGGAAGGCAACTTCAACAGGAAGCAGCTTATTATATGTAGGTATAGGTAAATTATACAAAGACTCCGCCTGTCTGGGAGCCACAGGACCCATGAAGACCACGCCAGGATTGGAGGGCTTCCACACGAGGGCTTCCACACGGTTAAATGATTGAGAAGTGGAAGGATTGATGTAGCCTTGGCCACGGGTAGAGAGGAAATCAATTCAAAAGATTTGGACAATTTGCCTCTAAAAAATTAGAATTTGGTTTTGTTGATCCCCATGGTTACTTGATCTTGGCCAAGATGGTTAATTGTTCAAGTTTACTTGCGAATTGGTTATGGACATTTAGATTATAAATAAGTAGGTACCTAAGATGTTTTCGATGATTATTTAATTTACTTTTTTCTTAAGCCCCATTTAGAAAGTTGTCTGTGATCTCTGCCACTTCATCCTGGCTACGGGCGTGAGAGTCATTACCCTGTTTGGGTATCTCTTTCGTTCTTCTCATCTCCATATGGTTTGTGTTGGTGTTGCCTCTGTAGAAGTGATGGGAATAGGCAGTAAGTGACCAGCCTCCGTACTTCTGGTGGCGGAATTGCACTGCTGCCTCGTTCTCCCCGGAAAGTATGCGGAAAGCACACACTATTTTTGCAACACCAGTACTCATTGGCGCTTCCACCACCACCAGGTCTCTTGTTATGAACTCTGAAAGAGGGAAGGCTGTTAGCTTCGGCTTTATGAGAAATTTTGACCTTTTGACCCTTTGACCCTTTAATAATTCAAAGTCCCTGCAGAGTTAGGATAACCCTTGATTTCCCACGGTTATGTGTCCATGAACCTAGCAGAGCAAAGTCAGCAGAACACAATCAAACATATTGCATAATTAGGTGCTAATTAAGTGCCCTATCCCCGAATTAATGCTCCTTTTCATTTAAATTATTACATGTTCTGGTAGGTTCTTATGAACTCAGCAGAGCACTACCTTAAAAACCCAAGAAAATGAAAAGTGAACTAACTATAATAATTAGGTTTTATCTTAATTATCAAAAATCACATAGCATCCTACGTCCGGTGCCCGTGCTACGCTTGCACTTTTCATAATTCAACGCACTAATATAGCAATTTGCTTTCGAAGTACGCCTTTGTAAAATTTGTTTTTTGCGTTTTAGAGCAATAAATTAGCACCCTTTAATACACCAAATCACGAACACTTAAAGACGTATTTGTTTTTGTAAACACAGTGCCTGTCGCTGCTTAAATCATGTAAATAGTAGAAGTAAAAATAAAAAAAGGAAGAGCACAGAATTTGAAAACAGGCCACTTAATTAGCACCTAATTATTAGCATAGAGAAAATTTTCTTATAGAATGTGGCCTGTAGAATCTAATATAATTTCAAACAGTTCCAAGATTGGGCTACTAGTTCAAAAGTTACGGCCCTTTGAATTTTCTTTCGAAATTGGTTTCCAGTCTATAACTTTTGATTGAGAAGTCTGATCGAAAAAGTATGAATTGTTTTGGATTCTACGCACCAAAATTAATAAGAAAAAGTGTTTTCCCGAGAAATTTTGGTGTAGTGGATTTTTGATAAAAAAGGAAGGTTATACTATGCCTTTTTTTTTGGGCCGAAAGAAAAATTGTCTCAGATCGACCTGGAAAACAAATTTTCTTATAGAATGTGGCCTGTAGAATCTATAATTTCAAACAGTTCCAAGATTGGGCTACTGGTTCAAAAGTTACGGCCCTTTGAATTTTCTTTCGTAATTGGTTTCCAGTCTATAACTTTTGATTGAAAAGTCTGATCGAAAAAGTACGAACTGTTTTGGATTCTACACACCAAAATTAATAAGAAAAAGTGTTTTCCCGAGAAATTTTGGTGTAGTGGATTTTTGATAAAAAAGGAAGGTTATGCCACAGATAAACGGAGCTTTAAAGCTCCGTTTATCTGTGGTTATACTATGCCTTTTTTTTTACCGAAAGAAAAATTGTCTCAGATCGACCCGGAAAAAAAATTTTCTTATAGAATGTGGCCTGTAGAATCTATAATTTCAAACAGTTCCAAGATTGGGCTACTAGTTCAAAAGTTACGGCCGTTTGAATTTTATTCTTTCGAAATTGGTTCCAGTCTATAACTTTTGATTGAGAAGTCTGATCGAAAAATTACGCATTGTTTTGGATTCTACGCACCAAAATTAATAAGAAAATGTGTTTTCCCGAGAAATTTTGGTGTAGTGTATTTTTGATAAAAAAGGAAGGTTATACTATGCCTTTTTTTTGGGGCCGAAAGAAAAATTGTCTCAGATCGACCCGGAAAAAAATTTCCTTATAGAATGTGGCCTGTAGAATCTATAATTTCAAACAGTTCCAAGATTGGGCTACTAGTTCAAAAGTTACGGCCCTTTGAATTTTCTTTCGAAATTGGTTTCCAGTCTATAACTTTTGATTGAGAAGTCTGATCGAAAAAGTACGAATTGTTTTGGATTCTACCATAGAGTAAATAAATTATTTACTCTATGTTATTAGTTAGTTCACTTTTCATTTTATTGGGCATTTTAAGGTAGTGTTCTGCTGAGTTCATATGAACCTGGCAAAACATGTAATAATTTAAAAAAAAGGAGCATTTAATTCGGGAATAGGGCACTTAATTAGCACCTAATTATGCAATATGTTTGATTATGTTCTGCTAGGTTCATACGGTTCCTGTGTGTGGGCCATGTTTAGATTTCCTTTGGTGAACCTCTTGTATACAGTGCGCAATTCACCTGTATAAATTTTATGTCGGCCATTATGGGGCACGGGGCTTTGTTGTTTCCTTTAAATGACCGAGGAGGGACGTCCCCTTTTCCTGACCCTACATTGAGCAGTTTACCTTTCCCTTGGCTTTGGTTTGAGCCACGACCAGAGCTTGTCCGCCTTCCATTGGAAACACCTTGGTGGGTTCCACTGTGAGTGTTCCACCAGAAGCTCCTTTGGACCCAGCCTCTTTGGCCGAAGCAGCTTACGCTAAACAAGGAAAGAAAGGGGATACCCTTAAGTGCTGTCTGGCCGGGCTCCCCTTCTGAATAGAATAGGTTTGAAGCAAGCCGAAAGAAACGTGTAACATACAAACGGAATGCTTGAAAGAGGACCAAAGAAGGTCTGAATATGACGCGCTTGGTATTGTCGAGAAAATTTATAGAGTACAAGGAAATAGGATTCGTAATGCTAGAACTCTACGGAGGAACATGTGTATTGTGTTGCCTATATTACCTCCCGCGAAATTTGATTCAATTGTTTATTTAGGCCAGGCACTCTCTGTTTTGTGAATATAAAAAATTACGATATCCACCAACAGGTGGCTCTACTATGTTCACGCTGAAGGCAAACAAAATACCTACTCCGTTTCCCCGTGGGTGTAGTATTGATGTGAGTGCCCACAAAGAAATTTGATTTATTTTCGCATCTCTTGCACCTGCTATGTAATAACATTGTGGTACTTTGTGAAAAGAAATAGGTAAGTCGATACTGTGCATTGCATTGTCATTACGTGTTCCGCCTATAATTATATCAATTAAATTAATTCTTTTGTTTATCTCGTGACCACTTTCACTGGTGGGTTTAAAAATTGCGACTTTTGAGGCGTAAATAATAGTCGCAATAAAAAAGATCTCGCTGAAAGGTAAAAATACTTTCGCAAATACAATAAAACAAAACAAAGACACTTTCTATATTGCCAATTACGTTAAGTGGAGCACCTACCGCAGCTTCATTCGCGATTCGATTGTTTATTTTTGCGTAAATGTTGATCAAGAGTGAACGTTCGAATCCTTAACCTTGCCGATTGTGCCAAAAATCCTGTTTCTTTGGGTAAGTAGATCAGGTTCATGCCAGGGTCATTAACTGCTGCTATCAGTAATTATCGGGATACATTGTTCCTTTTCATAAACATTGTTATTTGTTTATGCGTGGCGGAGCAAAATAAACTTTGACCCGCCTATATTTGCGGGTGATTAATTGCTTATCCTGTTGCGGTTCATTCGGGAAAATTCCTCAGATCGGGGAATGTACTTCAAGGATCATTTGTTTATGCGTTTGTTTAGTCGAGTCATGTTGCAGGTTGCATTGGCAATATTGCAATAGTGAATATTAAAATATAGCTTTGGGCTATAGCAACAAATTTTTAGTGTTGAAATACAAATCCTTGATGTAGGTAAGTAATTTAAAATTGAAACTCTTTTGCGTTTTACTTTTCAAAGTACACATTTGAGATTTGACTAAGTATTTTATGCGCAATGCAAGTGTTGTTGCAATTGCACTAACAGACAAAATAAAAATTAAATGATTTGTTGTAAATAATATATATATTATTATTATAACATGTTGCTCTTTTAAAGTTAATTAAACCTAATCATTCTTTGTTAATAGACGCACAAGCGTTGCAAGCTGTATCCAATTAATTGAATTATAATTGAAGATGATTGGTAAAGAACAAGTTTGATACTAGTCTTGTTTATTGTTATGGGAAAACCATTTTATTTCCATTTCAGTCTGGTTGCATAAACTAGGTATAACTAGAAATTGCCACGACATTAAATTCTTTAAATGCGTAATCCAAATATGTCAGGAGAAAATAATACCATAGACGGCATGTGTATTTGTCTACTTGATCAGCATGATTTTATGACCTAACCATCTGGCAATAGTTTTTTCTGTCCATTTAAAGGGCGGCCCAGACGCTACGTCTTGCCCAACTTTTTGTTTGCGCAGTCTTAAACGGAATGAAAACGTTGCAATTTTAGAGCGTCCACATGGCGCAGAGATATTTCACACAGTTTTGGTGGCATCGTCATGGAGGAGGTACTACAGTGGTCAATTTTTGCATGCAGTCTTGTTAGGAAAAATAAATCATTGGTTCAGCCGAGAAACGACTGCGCAAAACTATATTCCTGTAGAAACGTAATACAAAATCTATTGCATGTAGCGGGGTTAAGTGGTAGAACAGATGGTAGTGTAGTACGGCTTATGCGAATAATAAATTTATGTAAAAATTTTATTAAAATTAAAATTTGTTTTTTTAAAAAATAAAGTTAAAATTTTAATTTTGAATGTTAAATATTGTATTTTTTTAAAAAAATTTTAGATATTTATATTTTAAAAAGTTAAATTTTGGCTTAGAAATTCAATAGATTATTATTATACATGTAAATTTTTGTTAAATATTATTTTATCAGTAAATAGTTTTATAAAATTAGTAATTTAATTTTAATAATTCATTTTATATTTAATAAAATTTGTGCCAGCAATTGCGGTTATACAAATAAATTAATTGAATATTTTTAGTTGTAATAAGTTATTTTTGAACATGAAAATTAAAATTTTGAGGTGAAATAAAAATTTTAATAATTATTTTTATTTAATGAATTAATAAAGTTTAATTTAAACTAGGATTAGATACCCTATTACTAAAACTTTAATTTATAAAATCTTGATTAGTAGTAGTTATGTTCTTGAAAATTAAAAAATTTGGCGGTATTTTAGTCAATTCAGAGGAACCTGTCCTATAATTGATAGTCCACGATAAAATTAACTTATTTTTTTTAGTTTGTATATCGTTGTTTAGAATTCCTTTTTTGAGATAATTTTCAATTGTTTTAAATAAAATAGATTTCAGATCAAGGTGCAGCTTATAAATAAGAATTGATGGGTTACAATAATACCATTCTGAACTTCGCCCTTTTGGTTTAACGGTGTTTGCGTCTTTTTTCTTTTTATTAAGTTATTTTATTTTATATTTCTTATTTTGTATTTGTTTCAGTTATCCCAATAAATGACGATTATTATTATGATTATTATTATTACAGGCAAGCAATACAAAACAACCACCCTGTATTCCATGCTAATTACAGTAACTACAAAGTAGAAAATAAAGGATACATTTACCTAGATTGCGAATCAAACACATATACTCCGCATACCGCAATATCGTGCTACCCCGACAAATACATCGCGAACACTGTATGAAAAGTCCGACGCGCGCCCGCCCGCCAACTGTGTCCTTGCATCATTTGAATTGATAAGAACGCGGGTAAAAAATTTACAGTGGCGTAACTTGTGTTTTTCCTCGATAAATTAAATGCAGGAAAGCGCAACGTGTTGAACTGTGCAGACAAAAGGTTGTTCAAAACGTAGCGTCTGGACCGGCCTTTACGTCATTTATCATGTTTTAAAGAAAACCGGAAAGTTCCGATTACTTCCGAAGATATGCCAAAAACCGAAATTTGCCGATTTCGTTTTTTTGTGATGTTATTTGAACAGATACAAAAAAATAAAAAAACACCTACCACGTTTGGTTTCGGAGAAATCATCACGTGTATTTTTTTATATGGTTATTGTTTTGCGTTTTGTCCGTCCGGACTCACTTTTGCCGTTTCGAACTACTTCTAGGGGAATGGTCCTAGAGTCCTGGAATTTTTTGCAGTAGGTAGCCTATACCTTGAAGGTGTGCCAGACGGCCATCAAATTTCTGTCTAAAAGGGGGACCCCCCCCCCCCCCCTCAACGAATTATTTCCTGAGATGCTGTTTCTGAAAGTAAAAGGTGCATAACTTTTACATACGACAACCAATTGGTCTCAGATTTTGCATACGTATGCATTTAGTGGTACCAAGTTAAACTGTAGAAAATGGGAGGGGGGGTAAACACATGTTCTACCCTTCATGGTACTCTAATGAAAGATCTCAACGAAAGGAATTAATTTCTACCAATCATAGCCCTCCTCCTCGGCCGCTTATCGTGATCGGGTATATTCCTTATACCTCAAGAACGGATTGTCGGAAGAGGGTACTCGCAAAGAGCGATTGAGACGTCTGCAAGAAATGTATCAATTTGTGATGTCACAACAAATGCTGTTTCGGTTAAAAAAAATGCGCTTTATCTGCACAAGAATTGTGCACAATTTATACTTGTTACGAGAACAACGATGTATGGCACACACAAAAAACAAAAGTTGGAAACTGTTTCAACAGGATGGTGCATTCGCGCACAACATCTTCTATGGTTTCCGAGATCCTTCGGTAATTGGCCACTACCCTGCGCGGAGGTCCAACGTGCTGAGAACGCTCGCTTTTAGTCAAGCATTTCGTCTAACAATTGAGTTACAAGTGGTTTTCCCTTATTTCGACCCTCCTGAATCCAATTCTGCCTGCTGCCCAGTATGAAAATGAGCCGGAAGAGAGATATTCAACATGTTGTCCAATATGACGTTTTTTGGACCGCCCTAGCTATACTCCGTCTAAAATTTTTGCTCGATTTTTAAAGTTCAAGGGTCTGGGCCCACGTTTTTGAGGCAAGGAACACGATGGAAGGTTCAAAAACCGTGATTTCTAATCTTTGGGTATCTCCCCTCCGGTCCATTGTCAGACTTGGTAACAGGCAGAATCGAAATAGGGTTTAATGGTTCAGTGAAATGATATCAGAGTCATCTTGATCCTATTATGATTAAATAACGTCACAATCATTGTGCGCCGCCATTATAAACCAACCGCACAATATCATAAAATGATTATGTTGGCTCAACCTTGTTTTTCAAAATAACAAATTATACATGATAATATCTAGGATTATTACCATATATAGTTTATCCTTGGTAAGTAGGAAAAAGCTGTGCGAATCTCCCATGCATTTAATGCAACGAAACTATCCCCCGCATCTTTCTTTAATTGAGTCCCTATCTTGATGCGGACAAATTGGCCGTTTCGATTAACATCCGCATAAAAGACGTCATTGTGTTGTACTTTCATAATAATTGTGCACAATTTTCCTTTTAACTCGCGCGCGATTGACTGGTCGCGGTTGCTACGTAAAGAGTTTTTCAATGTCAATTTACGATCGTGAAATTTTTCGTAGGCCAGGCATATAATTAATGCGCTCTCATATAACATTTTGACGTATTTTCCAATAGTGAGTGTGCCGAAGTGCTCGTTACCGGTATAATTGTCATACAATGCATAAAAGGAAAGGGCATAGGAAGAAGAAGTGTGGTGCGCATTTTTGTAAGAAGAAAAGTATGTATTTTTACCACAAAAATATAATAATAATAATTTTTTTTTAATATTGAAAATTCTAAGCTAGTTTGAAGAATTTAATATTTTCTTCGTTAAATTATGTGCCCCGTTACAGTACCCCCCCTCTCAAAATTAACGTGCACTGGATAGACATTTTTTTTTAAATAATTGACTCTTGCTCATAACTATATACATAAATGCGGATCCAAGTGGACGGGGATTTTTTTTGCAATCACTCATAGGTGCAAAGTTTTTTTTTTCGAAAATTACTTTTAGTTACTAGCTCAGTGATAGATGGGCCGGACTAGTGCAACCTTTTTCTTGGGGACCTGTTTCTTTCTATTATTGACAGTAGGTAGTAATAAAAGCATATCAAAAATGTGTTATAGCTGTGATGTAATGTTATGATTAAATGAACTTTATCATATCCGAGACTTCCGCCAGTTCATAAATTACTAATCAATATCTAAAAGTGGAAAGTGCAAAATAGGGACAAGGTTTGCGTTAATTGAAATTAATGCTTTGTTTCACGTCGCCTGGATAAATATGGTTAACATGTAATTAATATTGACCTATAAGTACTCAAGTTTAATTTTTCCGTTTAGCACCGTCCTTGCTCTTGTAAAGATGTAAAAACCCATTTGCGTTTTGCAATTTTTGTTGTTTTAAGAAAATGCTTTTGACGAATTGTTAATAGGTTGTTTTGCCATTTGTTTTCAGCAATTTGTATAATAATGTTTATTTTCGCCTTAAGCCGAGTAACTATAGCGCATTTTCCTTGAATTGATCGGTACCTCCCGAAAGGTCATGTAACGATCTATTTATGTGTACAAAGGAAAATAAGTTGTGGCGTAAATATTCATATAAATCTGCGCATGCGCACAACTGAAGTTTAAAATATGTGATATGTTTGCCTTTACTAGAAGAATCTTTAAAATTTCGAAAAATATCTTCATAAATAAGATTCGTATGCGCACTTTAATCGTCAAGATTGTTCTTGGTTGAGGTGCAAGCTAAAAGAGTGTATTAATTGCAGTTGAAATGCTAGGCGATTATGAAGAAGACTCATCCTCATCCGGGGGAGAATGTACTCCGACCCGGAAACCAAATGCATCGATGGGGCTCGGCAACAATCAGCAGAACACAACGATTCTCTCCTCCCTACGTAGCATACTTATCGTTATAAGTACTGCGCTCATCGTATTTGCCGCTGCTCGTAACACGATCACATGGTAAGCGTTTTCCGGTACTAATCAGATTTAGACCGATTGCTTGCAGGCATTGCCAGAAGTTCTGGGGCGCTTCCGGCGATTTTTGGCAGGCGCAATGGGACAAACTCCTCGATATGATAGGGGAAGATCCCGTCATTTTGTGGGTCTACGGCTCGTTGATCGTGACGATGATTGTTTATTGGCTGTTCGGCGCGATTTACACAATTTTAGATCTGACAAACAAACCGGCGGCGATCAGACGATACAAAATCCAACCAGGGACCAACGAGCCGGTCGACACTAAACGACTGATGAAGGTAAGGGTTTCGATTAGAGATTCGATCTGACCCGAGTGTTACAGGTAATCTGGCAAGTGATCCTTAATCAGACCCTTGTCAGTTTGCCGGTGTCGTACCTCAGCTACTGGATAATGGCGCGACGCGGATATCCGTCATTTCGTGATTTGCCCACTTTTCATTGGGTATTGTACGAGTTGGCGATGCACATCCTATTGGAAGAAGTCGGATTTTACTATTCGCACAGGTATGTACCGACTCACCCAACTTCTAGACGGATTATACAAAGGGTACCTGTTTGGGAATCTCAGGGAATCTTTGAGGACCTCTGATTACGGGGGATCTCCAAAGGATCATCTGGAGTTCTGAAGTTTGCAAATTTTATTAAGGTTATTCTAATGCTTTCATTGTAAATATTTCGTTAATGGTAAGTATTCCTAACTCAAACCAAAAATCGCACTTTTGGAAGAGTGTCTTCAAAAAATGGTAAGTGCAGAGAAAAAACGTGTCCCACGAGTGATAAGATCACTGGTAGTCGCAAAGATTACCGCAACTCACAAAATAAATAACCGCTATAACGCCAAGTGGTCTATTATGCAGGCAATAAATCATCCCCTGAAACTGATATCTTTCTTCTCCGAATTCCTTGCCTTTGTTATACTCTGACAAGAACGAAATTTATGCATTATTAAATTAATTTTTCTAATTAGTTCACGATAGTTGATAATTTTGTATGATTCTCTCGCAAAGACCTCGGGGTCAGACCCCACGCGCTTTTTTAGGGGAATTTTTCGTAAGAAAAAAATTTCATTATCCTAAACCAAAACCAAAGAAAAGTGTATACTGAATAGTCAATGATATGATACAAGCATGAAATTTGGTATGCATGCTTCTATAAGGCATTAAGATTTGTATAAAAACGCTGGCCACTTAACAAATTTAATATGGTCGCCGGTTTTCCAAGATGGCGGCACATATTAGCTATTGCATTAGTGGTAAGTATCTTTCAAGTGATGATACTACCATGAAATTTGTTATGAGTGCTCCTATAAGGTTTGTGTTTTATATCACTTGAGAAATTCAAGATGGCAGCCGTTTTCCAAGATGGCGGCACAGACCATGCAAATAGTAACTATTATTAGTGATAAGTAAAAACGGCGGCTGAACAGAAACCCCCTCTCGTAATGGGGAGAGCTTCGTTTGAATGCAGCTGACGCTCACTTATTGAGGGTGAACAGCAGCCTCACTGACCTGATTTAATTGGCTTGGTGTGAACGCCAACGACGTGATTAGAAGACCAGTTGAGATTTAATAATAATGTTTATTGTGATGTGTGAGCTTTTATAATATTAACCTATGACGTTATATGTTGACTTAATATGCTATAATTCTAATTATATTATTCTGTAATTTCCCAATCCCATACCTACTTACTATTCCTATTATGCACAATTGCAGTCTACTTCCCCAGTTAACTATTTCTAAATTTCCTAATTACAATTACAAACTAACGTGCAGCTTCTCTGTTTAAAAGTTGAATTTTAAACATTCTGCCAACCCTTAACGCCGCTTCCCCGATACCATTGATTAAAACGATTTTAAACATCGGCCATTTAGAATTTTTTAATGACCAGCGTTTTTATATAAAACAATATCCTTCTAGAAGCATTCATACCAAATTTCATGCTTGTACTAGCTCTGAAAGGTGCATGCTATAATCTGAGCCGTTAAAGAGCTCTTGAAAGACTTAGTAGCTCTAGGGCTCTGTGGTCACATACCTAATGCTGTTTTATAGGACTTTGTTACCTGTCCCATCTAAAACAGGTGCCTATTCCTAACTTTCTTATAATAGTCAAAATTATCACTAACACGCATTTCTTTTTCATAGACTTTTACACAGCAAGTTCATTTACAAATACATCCACAAGCAGCATCACGAATGGACAGCACCTATCGCCGTGACCGCAATCTACGCTCATCCAATCGAGCACATCTTCTCGAATTTACTACCGCCCTTCCTGGGCGTGTTCATAATGGGCTCGCACGTCGCAACTGCGTGGCTATGGTTTTCGCTGGCGATCTTATCAACCTTAAACGCACATTCCGGGTACCATCTACCGTTTCTACCATCACCCGAAGCCCACGACTTCCACCACTTAAAGTGAGCATCACTCTTGCGACGTAACCCCGTTAACCCGGTCGTTTCAGATTTAATCAGTGCTTCGGTGTCTTGGGAGTGCTGGACCGTTTGCACGGCACCGACATCAATTTCAGGGCGACGCCCGCATACGCGCGCCACATCATGATGTTGAGCTTCTTACCGCCGCGGGACGTCTTTCCCGATCCCTTACCGAAGCATAAGATGGGCAAACAGTAAGGAGGCGATTAGTATTACCATCGCAAATCAGTGTTATTTTTTGATATAATGTGTATCTGTAACTAGAGGTATTATTTTATAAACATTTCCCGATTGGGACCGGGATTTTAAATTTTACTAAATGACTAAAAATACGAATGAATGCATTTGAGAGTGTCGTTTATCAATATTGACTGATATCTCTTAAGTTTGTAATTTTATTTGATATACAGGGTCATATTTCAACATCGCTGTCTTTTTTATCGTGGGCGCTACGTTTCAGAGTGGGGTAACATATTCGCAACTCAGTTTTCCTATTTCTAATTTTTCACAAAAACATTCAGAATGGGGAAAACCTCAACAAATAATTTTGAAATAATATATACAGGGTGTCAAATAAGTTGTAATATTGTTACGCCTACTCAAAAATTAACGTCCCATAAATTTTTTAATTTAGCTGTTAGTTTATAGACCCATAGACCGATGTTGGTGTATGATTCTGTGTAGTAAATGTGGGCCAATGATGGGTTATACAGGATGTTTATGAATTTTTGATAATCTTAAGAAAAAGAAGTATACTATTTTGTATTTTTATTTATGTCACACGAGGAGGAATCTTATCGCTTGTTTGTGTTATTCGAGCAATTGTAGCTTTGTTTTGTGTAGTGTCTACGTCAATCATGTTGTAACGTTACTTAAGATAACCCAAAAACTACACACCTTCTATAAGTTCATCTGTACCAAATCTTTATTGTATCCTTGTTTGATAAGTACATAGTGAGAGAGAGAGTGAAAATAAATGTGATAACTAAATATATAAAACAATTGTTATTTGATTCGATTTTTCACTATATCGGTGTTATTTGTAAATTTTTATCTTAAGTATTACTTAGACCTAGAACTCATTTTATTAGTAGGACAAATTCAAATTTTGTTTTACGTATTAGTGCAAATAAAGATGTTTACCCTTAAGAGATTTTTATTGGCCGCGAGAATTGCTTATTGACCTCTTCTTAAACAAAAACACCAAACAACAAAGTTCAATTGATGACGTGGTTTATCGCAAATACAAAATTGATAAAACATAAGGCAATCGCACGCGGAAATTAGTACAAATAAGATCATGGAAGCGATCGATACAAGTGAAGAAGGTAAGATAAATCAAAATTTGCTTATTAGATGCATATAAAAGCCGTTTCTAAATTTTCACATCGGAATATTAACAGATTTCCAAAGCAGGTCAAAAATCAATGCGGAAATTACCATTATCTCTCTAAAATTGAAGATTCTAGTTTATGGTAGAACAATGGAACGCAGATTAGTTTTACAGATCTGAAATTCTAAAATTGGCTTATTATGCCTCGTCTGCACTTCTGGTGGGATTTATTGATGTTAAATAATAAATTAAATGCCTCTATTTTCAATCATTGGGCCTGAAGTAGCCTTTTTTATCCATGGAATTCCAAAATATCTTCATTGCCAATCAACAGTTTATAGCTACAAACAGAACATAATTTCGTGAATGTGCTTTTGACTGAATATCTTGAATTTCTTATTTTTGTAAACTCGACAAGTCCATGTCCGATCCCTAGTTCTGATAAATTTTTAACTGGCAGAGAAGATCTAAAAAATCTTGCTTCAGAACTGCTTTCTCCTGGTCCAAAAATACGACAGTGCGCTGAATATTATCGAAATTTTTTTCAGTTCAAACTTTTGAACGTGGAGAATTAATAAAACCCATGGAGACTCGACGGAATTTAATACTATCGTCACTGCGTAACATCGTCGTCGTTATTTGTTCATTTTTAATTGTCTTCGAGGCCGCTAGGAACAGTATAACATGGTAAGGGTACGCTCCGTTGCGGGCCAAAGAATTAATGTGTGCTTTTAGGCACTGTCAGCAATTTTGGGGGGCGTCCGCTAACTTTTGGCAATCGCAATGGTACAAGATACTAGATATCTTCGGTGAAGATCCCGCAACGCTATACGCTTATGGGAGTTTTGCGGTGATGAGCTTAGTTTACTTTGTCGTTGGGGGATTGTACACATTGGCAGACTTTGTGAATAAACCCAGCATGGTGATGAGGTACAAAGTGCAACCCGGGATGAATGAGCCCGTTGAGAGAAGTCGCGTGCTGAAGGTTTGTAAACGATTCCATGCACCTACTCGGATGAGCGGTTTCTTGTAGGTTTTGGGTGTTGTGCTAATAAACCTAGTTATTACCATACCGGTCATGCGCTGTATGACCTACCTTATTGAATGGCGAACATACCCACCATTTCGCGAATTACCCACATTTCACTGGGTACTATTTGAGATGGCAATTTTCATCTTTGTTGAAGAAGTCGGGTTTTATTACTCACACAGGTTGATGATATATATTTTCTCTACTGTAAATTACATTTATTATCGATTTCAGACTTCTCCATCATAAGCTCATTTACAAACACATCCACAAGAAACATCACGAGTGGACTGCACCAATAGCAATAACGTGTATATACGCACACCCAATCGAGCACATATTTTCTAATATAGTACCAGTTTGGCTCGGGGTGTTCATAATGGGATCGCACGTCGCCACCGCGTACTTATGGATTGGCCTAGCTCTACTGGCAACCTTACACTCGCATAGCGGATATCACCTACCTTTTCTACCCTCCCCCGAGTTTCACGACTACCACCATTTAAAGTACGTACCCACCTGATGTTTGATAGTGAAGCGATAAGTTTTGGCTTTTCAGGTTCACACAAAACTTTGGCGTACTCGGCCTGCTAGATCGTATCCATGGGACCGACGTGCAATTCAGAAACTCTCAGGAATTTCAGAGGCACGTTATGATGCTCAATTTCACTCCGCCGAGAGAAATGTACCCAAATAAATCGCAAAAATATCAAACGTGTAACTAATAATGTAACATTATTTTTGACATAGGTACTGTGTACCTACCTGCTATATTAATTATTGTATGTATATGTAATTATTATTAATTATTGGCATTTTGAGTTCCTTATAGTGCGTAGTAAGTATATTATTGTAGTCACGAAATGGTTAATAAATCAATATCGGAGAAACATAGTTCGATTGACTTTAAAAATCTGTGCATATACCACAACCTTTTGGCCGCTTGAGTAATTGTGTAATTCCAGTGCCTGCTGGAAACTACTGAACTGCATACAGAACACACTCTAGAGGTGTGTTACGAGGACGTATTGACAAGTAAGGTCTCCGTAAATAACGACTGTATACAATATTTTTCTATATAAAAGTTGTTTAACATTTATATCAATTGCTTTTATTTCAGAAAACAAATGAGTAACGAAAAACAAGTGAATTTTTTTAAAATATCAATGTACTCTGTACTCCAGCGGAGAAACGACTGCGCAACTCAAAACCAAAAATCAAAACTGCCGCCAAAACCAAATGAATCTCTAGGCAGGTGATCGTAATGTCACGAGATAACACCATAAGAGCTCACGATAAGAAGAATACACATAATATAAAACTTTGGTTAATGGTGTAGAGCAATAATGGGGGGTATGTTCATGGTTCAGGGTTCAGGCGCCTGCCATTTCCGCTAGGCCATGGCCTGTTTTACTTGAATAGTATTCAGGGTTATAATATTTGCATACAGAGTAGGTTTTCGAGGTACATCACATAACAGATTCCAATATTCAAATATTCTGCAGGCATGAGAAATTATATCACATTTGGCCTTTATGCGAAATAAGACAGTGGCAAAATACCATTGTCTTGTATAGCCACAAATTTCTGAAATATCCGCTAGGGGGCGTAACAGCAATCTTGAATTTAAAAAAGTGATGTTTCTGTGAATCTCGCTATATTAACCTAACAAACAAATATGAGAACTATCTGAACCTATTTTTGTTTGACAATTTTTGCTGTATCTCTAACAATAAAGTGGTGGGGGATATTCAAAGGTTTCCGTAAAAACACCCTGTATCTTCGAAACGGCTGAGCCGATTGCAACGAACTTGTGAGTCTCACATGTTGCCCCTTGAGGGTTTTTTTCGACATTCCGACAGAAATTAAAACAATTAAATGCATTGGTATGATTTTTTTTTCATGAAAAAGTAGCTAAATGATCCCTAACCAATCTCGCGAAAACCCCATCTCGATATCTTGTTCCTAACCTAAAATTTAGACCAAAGAAAATTTTATACCCTTAAATTTTAATTTTTGTAAACTATTTTTTCTGTAATTCTTCTTTATTCATCAGAATAAAATCACCCTTTTTGAAAATATTACAAGATATAGCTACAGGGTGTTCTTTATGGAAACCTTTGACTACCCCCACCATACAATAAAAAAGTTAAGATTATCCTCGACTTTAAAGACCGGGTATTTTTTGTTAGGTTCATATAACGGAATTCACAGAAACACAAATTTTTTAGATGCAAGTAAAGTCACTAAATATAGAAAGTACCGCAATCCATTGGGCTCGTGTGTTAGAGAGAGAACGCATGATTTTTGCCCAAAAATGGCGGCAGTTACCAGATTCTAGTAACTTTAATGTTAGGGATTGTTCCACCTGTTTGGAGATACCTGTATATATTTTTATAAAACATGACAGTACTATGAAGTTAGGTTATAAAAAATGACAGCTATTCAGATTTTATTTGTCAATTTTTTTAAGTTGGCAGCAAATTTGCCCAAAAATGGCGGATGATTGCGGTACTTTCAGAGACATGGAGAGAGGAGATAGCGCATGAAACTGCGCGAAGTGACAAAACAAGGGGGCTGCCATTTTGACACCCATTGAAGCGCGAAATTTGAACAGGACTATAAAGGTTTACTGACGCAACCCAGAGACATCTAACGCAATCTTCATACACTACACTCTATTCGGCACCAGCTCCGTAGGAAGAAACTAATATCTCAATCCAAATGAACAAAAGAAAATGCCAGTGACGTTGACGTTACAAAATAAACACTTAAACCTCGAAAAAAGCTCTCCTAAACACGAACACACGCTAAAATAACACCACTATAAACACAACATGACACAACGGGTGTAAAAATGGCAGCGCCCATGAGGTCGCACCCTTTCTTGGATGCGCACTCGTCGATCAGCGATCTCCTCTCTCCATGTCTCTGGGTACTTTCTATATCTAGTGACTTTAGATGCAAGATTGCAGTTACGCCCTCTAGCGACCATTTTAGAAAGTTGAAAATATTTTCCAGGTTGTTCTCTTGGCCGTTTTAGTAGTAACTTTTTTTTTGCTGCATTCGCATTCTTAGTATGACCACCCTGTACATGAGAAAGCATATGTATGCAGTGGCGTATTTACGGGGGGGATGAAGGGGATATCCCCCCCCCCCCCAGAAGAATTGAGTTATCATCATAGCTATTAGGTATTTAGGTAATACTCCGCTATCCGCTCCGCCCACTTTAAAATAAAGGCAATAATATATAGGTATATATAGAGAGCAATTTTGGTTTTGGTTAAAGTCTAAAGTCACTAAAATCTAAATATTATGTAGTATTCAGTATTCACTATTCTGTGACTGATCAGTGTTGGCAGTCAACGATTTGGCTATTCAGCATTAATCGGGAATTCGCTACATTGATGCCCAAAATAAGAAATAGGTATCAGGTACTTAGTACTGCTACTGAGGTGAGGTACCTGCGTCCTGCCTTTCACGAAATGACGAAAATAAGAATTTTAAATTTTAAAAACAGGAATTTTTTTTGCCCATAACTTTTGATGGAGACGTCTAATCGAAAAAGTACGCATCGTTTTGGATTCTACGCACCCAAATTAATAAGAAAAAGTTTTTTCCCGAGAAATTTTGGTCCAGTCGATTTTTGGTAAAAAAGGGAGGTAATAACTGCCTTTTTTTGCCCAGAAAAAAAAATTGTCTCAGATCGACCGGAAAAAATATTTTCTTATAGAATGTGGCCTGTAGAATCCATAATTCCAAACAGTTCCAAGATCGGACTACTAGATCAAAAGTTACAGCCCTTTGAATTTTTTGTCAAAATTGGTTTTTTGCCCATAAATAAACCTATTATTCAAAGTTTTCGTTGACTAATTAAAGCAAAAGCAATAAAGGGGCCTGTCAGCAGTAAGAAATAAAATACCGTTCTAATCTAATCTTTTTCGCCTGTACAATAATAAATAGATAAATGACTAGCAGCATCAGCAACCTGCAACCCAATTTCTATTTCTTTCAATATACTATTAACACATAGCAATCTAGATACGGGTTTGTTTCCATTTTAAATGTCATTATTAAGATTAACGCAGCAATTGTTTTTTACTTTCCTCACTAGAGAAAATTGAATTTTCTTCACCCTTTTTAGAAAGGAGAGCTATTCCAGAATTGGTCGATAATGGAGGATGATGCTCGGTCCATACGCATGTTTTTGAAAATTTTCCATTTTTTGTAGTGGATGAAATATTTGTAACTCATCTAAATCCCGTACGTCACAAATGGATTCTTTTTTCGAAAATAGATATTTTCAATTCCCACAATGACGTTAATTTGGCGTAACTCGCAACGCACTACATAGATACAAGGGGTAAAACAACAAAGTTCAGTCGGTGATGTCATTTTTATCGCAGTTATGAAATTCCACAAATGGTATATAGTACCTATCTCCGCATATAAAACATTTACGGATTGTTATGGCTTAGTTCACACAAAATAATGCCAGCAATCGATAAAAGTGAGGAGGGTAAGATAATTAAAATTACCTTGGTCACCATACTATTTTTCGATTTTTTTTCCAAAATTTGTGCTACTAAACAGAAGATAATTATTGTCCTCTTTATATGCGTATCTAGAACGGCGTGCAATTTTTAACTGTATTAATTACTTATCTATGGACTTGAAACCCCTTCTGATTGATTATCTAAATACTACCCCCACCTCAAGTGAATTAATTAATTTCTCTCTGTTTCTCGCAGATCAGTTTTTTGAAATGAAATCCGTCGACACTCGACGAAATGCAATACTATCATTACTACTTAACATCGGCGTCATTTGCTCCATTCTAATAGTATTCGAGGCCGCAATACATAGGAACAGTATAACATGGTAAGGATACTTTCTGTTGTGGACGTAACTAAAGCGCGTTTCCAGGCACTTTCGGCAAATGTGGGAGGCATCTACGAACTTTTGGCAATCCCAATGGTTTAAATTTCTAGATGTCGTTGGTGAAGATCCCGTAACTCTATACGGTTACGGGAGTTTAGCGGTGATGGTCTCTGTTTACGTTGTGGTTGGTGGAATGTATACGTTGGTGGACATTGTGAATAAACCGTCATTGGTGATGAGTTATAAAGTGCAGCCGGGCATGAACGAGCCCGTTGAGAAGAAGCGCGTCCTGAAGGTTTGCAAACAATTGACTAATATTTTTAAGGCTAACCCTGTGCTTTAGTTACTAGGTATGGTGCTAATAAACCTCATTCTTACATTACCAGTCGTTCGCTGTATGTCTTCCCTGATTCAATGGCGAACGTACCCAGCATTTCGCGAATTACCTTCTTTTCCTTGGATGCTCTTTGAGATGGTTATTTTTATTGTCGTCGAAGAAATAGGATTCTATTACACGCATAGGTTGATACCATATCATTTTTTGAATACCACTCTTATTGTCGTTTTCAGACTGCTCCACCATAAGATGATTTACAAACACATCCACAAAGTACATCACGAGTGGACCGCACCAATAGCGATAACCTGCATATACACCCATCCGATTGAACACATCCTCAATACAATACCAATGTGGTTTGGAGTGTTCATAATGGGATCGCACGTCATCACCGCGTACCTGTGGGTAGGCGTTGCCTTAATGTCAACTTTACATGTGCACAGTGGATACCATCTTCCTTTCCTACCGTCACCTGAGTTTCACGATTATCACCACTTGAAGTAGGTATTATGCGCTCGTCCTTTGATGACGCTAAAGCTTGACGTTTCCAGGTTCACACAAAACTTTGGAGTACTCGGCCTCTTAGATCGTATCCACGGTACCGACGTGCAATTTAGAAGATCTCATGAATTTAAGAGACACTTTGTAACGCTGAATTTTACTCCACCTAGAGAAATGTATCCAAACAGGTCACAAACGTGCAGCAACAAATAACCATAACGTGATTTGTGATGTAGGGGCTGTGTAAATCAGAGTTGGACTGGGTCACCGGGTCAACTGGCTCACCTGGGTCACTGAAGTAAACTGGGTCACTGGGTCACGACATACTCTTTTCAGTTAGACCCAATGACCCAGTTTGATCCAGTGACCCAGTTTGACCCAGTGACCCAACTTGACCCAGTTTGACCCAGCGACCCAATTTCACTCGGGGACCCAATTCGACCCAGTAACCTAGTTTGATCGAACAACGCAGTTAAGTCAGTGCCCTCGGTTCAAGTGTACAGATTATGAAATAAATGAAATGCTGGTTTGTTGAAAATAATACTCGATTGCGTGACAACTGCCATTTCTGTGATGTTTGCTTTAATACTGTCGTAAAAAACTTTCCATGTCCCGAATTGTATTAGAATAATGTTATTTCTTTGCTTCAGGGCTTACCAGTTTGCTTACAGGTGTTCATTCACATTTAATTTTTTTCTACTAGTTAGCTTAATCCAAATAAATCTTTTCTCTAAATACTTTCATTGACTACTTGACTACAAACTATAAACAAATGCATTTGATTATTTTAGGTGTTAGTTCTCTTGAATGAAATTGGGCTACGTGCTTGTTGGCGAATATTATTGAGGAAGTTTTTTTTTAAATTAAAAGTTACTTGAAATTGTTTTGGATGATACCTAACAATAATTTAATTACTGGGGCACCGGGTCAAGATGGGTCACTGAATAAAGCTGGGTCACTGGATCCAGCTGGGTCACCGGGTCAAGCTGAGCCACAGGGTCAAACTGGGTCACCGGGTCATGCTGGGTCACCGGGTCAAGCTGGGACACCGGGTCAAACTGGGTCACCGGGTCAACTGGGTCACTCTATGCTTGACCCAGTCCAACTCTGGTGTAAATACCATATTTTAGTAATGTAGGTATACCTATGTGATAAGCTAAGACTGTATATAAACTGATAGTATCACAGTGTAGATATGAAGAGGTTGTTATCATAAAACGATTAATAAATTAACAAAGCAGAAATCTACAACCTTTTTTTCCTCTAAAGAACCAGTTTATACAAGAGAGTGCATTATTTTTCCAGGGGAAGAAAACATTTAAATCAGACTATTTCAAATGATTTCTTTGAGCTTGAAGGACCAAAAAAATTTTATTCTGCGTTTTTTTCTATTACGAAGTAGATGGTTATAAATTTTAATTCCCAAAACAAGTGGAGAATGTTGTCCTATTTTAGATTTCGTCAATCCTCTCCGTTTTGATATTGAGTCACTGTAACAATCTGTTTCTTGTCTATTGTAAAAAGGTGGACAACCATTGCAGAACCATAATTTACCCAATAAGTGGTTAATATTGACACAATCAAATAATGCTCTTGTCAGGTCACAAAATATTCCTAGCGGGTGTTCCCGTTTATCTGGGTACTCTATCAACCGTGTACAGAATCGTTCTTCCATCCCTTGGTGTGGCATTTAATTTTTGAATAAAGGAAGGTGTTGGAGCTCAATCATATTTCCTTCCACCTTTTCATTATTTTCCTTTAATGCTTGCCCTCCTGCCAGCTGGTTTAACATCAATTTCCGTGTAACTTCTTTGGCGACTTCATCTACCTTAACGTTTCCGTAAATACCGGTTATCCATACAATAACTTTCACACTTTTATGTTATGAATGAGTTATGAATTTTACATTGAAATCCCTATGATGCGTTACGCAAGTCACCACCCTGTATATGAAAGTTGTCTAATATTTGATTTCCCATAATAAGGCAGCATGTAGTTGTTTTGATTTCAGAAAACAAATGAGTACCTAACGAAAAACAATTGAATTGTTTAAATAGGAATGCACCCTTTCATTAGTCTCATTTGATAGATTTTTTTTCTTTATACAAAAAATTTTTTTTTAATTTATTATAATTAGGTACATCAATAACATTAAATCTAGATACCCTACATCAAAATAAAACAAATGAATGTATACGTTTCTTGAAGACAACACGAAATGAGCAATAATAGCTGCAGCAATTTCTCTCAGAATATTCATTTCAAGCTTTCCGTGATAGGTTAGTTCACTGCCTTGCCTGTACCCGACAGCCAAACTGTATTAACTCCATTTTTTTCAAATCGGTATTAAGTTCTCTTCCTACTAAACGAAACTCGCTTTTTCACATGGAATATAGTATTAAGTTCTATATAATATACTTTTGAAGTTGGCCAAAGTTAAACAGTATTATATCAATAACCTTTTCCCAGCAAAATAGTATTATGGAGTTAATATTGTTAAAGAAACTTCCATGTGTGGACATAATACAGTTTTCAGTGCGTTGATGTTGTGTTGAAGTGCACGTGTGTTTTTTACTCTGCGAAAAATGGCAAATAGGTCAAGAAAAATATTGGAAGTCGCTTTTTTACACCGTGCAATCATTAAAAATAATAAATAAATAATTTCAGAATACATTAGTATTTTATTGTCCATATTAACTCCATTTTCATTTTTCAAAAAAGTATTTAACACAGTTTGTAATTCGAAGTATTAGGGCCAAATGGTATTAACTCCATTTAATTGACTTGTTAATAACTTTTTTTGACAAAAATAATGAAAATTTTTGAAAATTAAAAAAGGAAAAATTTAAGGACATCCACATTTTATTTTTGAGTTTAATTTCTTTTTTAATAGTTATTAAATAAATATGTTGCATTAATTTTAATGTCTTATAAATTTTCAAATCGCTCTGCTGTAAAATTTAATTTTTTTGAGTTAATACAGTTTGGCTCTCAGATACAGAGAAATATTTTGAACAGTAATTGCGATGAAAACCATTTTATTGCTAATTTAATTTTGTCTTCAAGGTTTAATAAAAAAACGCACCCGTCCATTTCCGTATTTTGCTGTAGATTAATGTTATTGATGTAATTAAAATACTTTTTTTTGAAAAATGTTGTTACTTCATCGAAAAGAGAAAAAAATCTCTACCAAATGAGCCTAATGAAAAGAGTACCATGCCATGTCAAAAAATTCAATTGTTTTTCGTTATTCATTTGTTTTCTGAAATAAAAACAACTGAATGCTGCCTTATTATGGGAAATAAAATGTTAAACAACTCTCATTTAGAAAATTTTTATATACATTCGATATTTACCGAGAGTGCTATTTATTATGTCTATTTTTTCTTTATGCCTACTTTTAAAAGACAAAATCTCTTCTGAAGGGCGCCTAATTTTATGAAATCACTGTATATACAATGATATAAAGCGTAAAAGTACAACATTTGATTCTTAGGGTAGATACAAAATACAAATTAGCACATAATGACTGGACATTTTGAGGAATCTATATATTATACCAGGGTTTATGCAGAGATTTTGCATGTAGTGCAACCCGAATATTGGTTAAATATTAATAGAAAAAATTATAGCTTATGTAGAAAATATAGGTAGGTACAATCAAGGCCGTATGTAGGCGGTGGCGAGATGGGCCTCGGCAAAATTGGCCATGAAAAAATTTCATTTTACATTAGTGCATTAGGAATTCAGGTTATTTAAACAAATGTTATTCCAGATTGTTAATACTGTACGTACTGTGACTGTGAATAGCTGGGTAGTTACAAAGTGATATTATACATTCATCTCTGCCCTTCCCCCCTTTTGCCTCCTTATGGTAATGTAATATATACAGTGTGTCCAATATAAGAAGGAAAAGCAAGCAAGTCAAATGATATTTTAAAAATTTGTAAATTCCGATCTTTTCCGAAAAAAAAACGAAATGAATCATATTCGGTTTTATTTTTTGCCAGCCCTGTTTGAAAAGATATCAAAAAACAAATAACACTTCCTCATAGGAACTTTTTAGGCTGTACAATTGGCATCTTTGAGAAACCATCAACAACGATGTATGGCACAATAAGATTCTTTACCTATATCATTTAAAGGAACCATTATTTTGATATTTTGTCAACGCCTACTACAGTAAAATGTTAAAAATTATTTATTATTAAATTTAGCTCAGAAAAATGGCTTGTTACTAAATTTTTAACATTTTTGGTTTAGTAGGCGTTGACAAAATGTCAAAATGATTTGTTCTTCTAAATGACATATTGTACCATACATAATAAAAAATGTTACTCAATACCTACATTATGTACTTTTTTCCGGTCCATATAAAAATATGAAGTTGATGATGGTTTCTCAAAGACGAAACGTCGCAGCGAAAATCTTGTAAAATGGTGAGCTGAAAAAGTTACTTTAGGTTTTTTTTTTAATATCTTCGGAACTGATCGGAATTTCGGCATTTTTAAAACATCGTTTTATTAAGCCCTAAAATGCGCAACTCTTTCTAATTTAACCGACTGTGTACTTCTTATGGTTTCCGTTGTGTCCATGATGTTCATTCTTATCTTGGACACACTGTATTTGTAATCTTTTCTCCATGTTTTAAAGAAACGAAATTCTCGGATCAAAAAGCTTCAAACACCTTGGACTTAAGAAAATTTTCGGCGTTTTCGTTGGGGGGTATTTAATACCCCCACGCGCAGGTGTGCCGCAGGTTGAAGTGCCGCCAAGGGCGCGGTCATATCTAGTTACGGCCCTGGGTACAATAAATTATATGAATTTGCACACTTAAAGATCATGATCTTTGGCACACTTAAGATTGTGGCATGAACATGTAATTGCACTGTAGATATTTAGTCCTCCCAATTAAAAAGGTACAGGAGTATTATTAACATTTTTACAAATCAAATAATAAACGCGCATTTTTCATTTGTTAAACAAAAACGCCAAGTAACAAAGTTCAATCGATATTGCAAATATGATAGTGATAAAGCGCAAAGTACAGTTGCAGACCAATACACAAGTAGGTAGTACCAGTACCTACCATGAAAACAATCGAAAGAACAGAGGAAGGTAAGGCAGTCCTAATTATTTTGTTGACTATACAAATGATTTACATTTTCAAAATCACACGAATGTTACTGCTTACACTTGGGAGCTTCCTTTTCTATAATCACCACAGTTTGCGTTAGTAATTAAAGGGAACAACAAATAAAAAATATGTTCTCTTCTAATTTGATTAACTAAAATTGATCTCTGATGCAGTTCAATCC